ACGCAGCACAGCACACCATCAATGTCAAACCAACTAGCCCAACTCCAAGCATTATTTGTAAGGCTGTCAATCTCTCTAAAACCACCATTTATTTTTCTCTCGCTCGCTCTCTCAAAGTGCAGTGCTCAATGAAACGAAATGGAGCAGCGGACCACGTGGATGGATGGATGGATGGATGAATCCGGCTGAGCCCTTTGGATTGGGCGGTAGCTTACGCCACCAAGCCATTTTGTTTTACCATTTAAGCTTAGAATATTTAAATGTGAAATCTATATTCACCCCATGCTGCAAAGAAAGTGAGGCAGTTAATAAGAAAATACCGTATTTTCCGGGCTATAGTCCGCGGACTATACATGTTTAAGAGTTGAAATTTCTGGCTGTGCGGACTATACAGGAATTATGTTTTTCAAGATTGATTATTATGACGAGACGTGACGAATTTTGTGCACGAAAGTGTATGTTAATGATGATTTATGCACATAATAGGCTTTATTGTGAGCTAAAAAGCAGACATTTGTAAACGTGTGCCGTCTGTGAGATTTTCGTGTCGACTAAGCACCAGGTGCGGACTATGCACCGGGTGCGGGTTATGCACCGGGTGCGGGCTATCTAAGCAAAATCTTTTATTTTTGACCCCAAATTTACCCCTGCGGACTATACACCGGGTGCGGACTATAGTCCGGAAAATATGGTACCTAGTTTTCTCTCGCTTTCTGCCACCATTCACTTAATGTTTGCTTGGTAATCTCTACAGTCTTGAAATCCACTCTCCCTTCGCTGTCTCTAAAACTGAATGACTTTACTAAATCTATGTTGTCTTCGGTAGGCATAGGGTGAAGCCCTTTACAGTCGAGTAGTGCTCAGCCGTCTCGCCCACCTCTTTACAAGCAGTGCACACTGTATCCATTTCCTGGTACTTCGCTCTGTATGTTCTGGTTCGCAGAACACCCGTCCTTGCCTCAAACAACAATGAGCTTCCCCTAGAATTGTCATAAATGCTTTCTTTGGTAATAACTGTTTTGTCTAATCTATAGCTTTCCAGAGCCGTCTTTGTCTGCATTCCCTCTAGCCACCGATCTCTTTCTGTGGCCTTAACTTTCTTCTTAACTGAGACCTGCTCTTCCGTATCTCCACTATAGCCTAAAAACTTTCCTCTTAATTTCCTAGTGCACTGTCTCCACTTTGTGTCTATACTCCTCATGTTTAAATAGCTGAAAACCTTTCGTGCCCATTGCTCCCCATCCATTTGCCTCAATCGATTCTCAAATTCCATCTTGCTCACCGCTTCCCCGCTCTCAAATGACACCCATTCCATGTCTCCTTGTACTCCTTGGTTTGGAGTTTTGCAATGGGCCCCCAAAGCCAGCCTAGCTACTCCGCGCTGTTTTATTTCTAGTCTTGCATGCACTTCGCATTTCATGCATAGCACTGCGTTTCCCAAAGTTAAGCCAGGCACCATGACCCCTTTCCAAATCTCTCTCACCACCTCATACCTGTTGTAATTCCAAAGTGCTCTATTTTTCATTACAGCTGCATTTCTGTTGCCCTTACCTATTATATACTTTTCATGGTCTCTGAGATATTCTGCACCATCACATATCCATACTCCTAGATACTTGTATTTACTAGCTCTCTCAACTGTAATATTCTGTATCTTCAGCCTCTCAACTTCATCCTCGTTAAAAATCATGACTGCTGATTTTTCGCTACTGAATTCTAAACCTAATTCCTCTCCTTCCCTACCACAGATGCTCATCAATTCCTGCAACTCTGTCCTGTTGTTAGCCATTAGTACGATATCATCCGCATACATCAATCCCGGTAAGGATTGCTGAATTTTTTGGCCTAGTCTACTGTACGAAAGGCTGATTCCAAGCCCACTCTTCTCCAGTCTATCCTCCAATCCTCTCAGATACAACACAAACAGCAAAGGCGATAACGGGCACCCCTGCCTAAGGCCTTGTCTTATCTTTATTTTCCTTGTCGCCTTTCTTTCCCATGTTATAATCACCTTATTATCTTTGTAAATGTTTTTTAATAGTGCTGTTAGTCCTTCATCTAGGTTTAAGCTCCCCACTATGTCCCACTGGTTCCTTTGGCTCACATTGTCATAGGCACCCTTGATATCCAGAAATGCCAGTCAGAGCTGTCTGTTTTCTTTTTGCGCTATTTCTATACACTCTGTTAGAGAAAATATATTGTCCTCCAACCTTCTTTGTTTCCGAAACCCGTTCTGTAACTCGCCCAGTATGCCCTCGCAATCTACCCATTCCTTCAGTCTGTTCTTTATCATCTGCATTACCAACCCGTAAATAACTGGTGTCACGGTTATGGGACGATATTTCCTACTATCAGACTTATCTCCTTTTCCCTTATATATGATACTCATCCTACTAAGCCTCCATTCATCTGGAATATTTCCTTTTGTTATCATAGTGCTCACTACCTCCCTTAGTTTTGCATTAGATTTAGGACCTGAATTCTTCACCAGCTTGATTAGGATACCATCTGTGCCTGTCGACGTGCCTTGTGTACCTGTGGCGCCATCCTTTAGAAGCGGTCTATCTGGTGTCGCAAGTTGCACATGTGCACAGCTGAGCCAAGCACTCAGCGGCTGTTCATGCTCGGTGCACAACCCCCGATAGCTGATCAACGCTGGCCACGAGTTTGCAACACGACAGCGTTCTTTGTTTTCTTTCTGTGCAGTAGCGTAAACAAATTTATCTGTTTCCAAAGGTTAAAGTTGTAAAAAGGTGACCACCACCCACAGTGAACTCACTGTTCATACTAAATAAAGGTGTAGTGTCATTGCACGTGCATCCTTTTCCTATACTAGATGAATAAAATGTCTTCCCTTTTCGCCAATTCCTTATTTATATATATTTGGGGCAATATAACTTCACGTCTTGAAGGGTCGATAAAAATTGTGTGTCATGCTACGATTAAAAAAAGCAGTTAAGCTTGAGATTCATGCTTTGTAGTAATCACCTATCAGGGGATGCGCCCCGAGCGCGAACAGCCGCTGTCTGCTTGGCTCAGCTACGCGCATGTGCGACTCGCGACACCAGATTGCACGGCTCCTCCCGGCAGATGTCGCAGTAGGTACGCGAGGCCATGCGCTACGCAGGTCCATTTTGTTTCGTTGAGCACTGTACATTCCCCAAATCTGGTTTTGTTAAATTTGTATCACAAAATGGTGATTTGCCAAATGAAAAAATATTGGGGGGGATATTCCAGTTTCACCAGAAATGCGAGCAGACGACGCAATGCTCCATTTGCACTGGGGGTGGCTTTCCCGCAGAATGCCAAACCTTCGCTACTTCTTGCTCGGTCAGCGCAAGCAAGGTTAAAAACTTTAGGAGAGGACACTCCTACATGAGAGGATTGCTTGCAGAAGCTACAGGGTAGATGTAAGGCTCTCTCCTTGTCATGCCCTTTCCATCATAAAAAATAGTGTTAAAAAGCACTTGTATTTCACTTTGCAAGTACATTGTATTTATAGTACTTTACCTTGCAAATGCATTGCATTTATAGTACTTTACTTTGCAAGTATGTTGTATTTATAGTACTCTACTTGAAGTACATTGCACCTGGTGCCCTTACTACTTTACTTGAAGTAGTAAAGCTTTCATTTGCTTTGTACTTCACTTCAAGTACTTTTAATATGTGCTTTACCCAACACTGAACACTGGACCACCTTATCTTGTCACTATTCTTCGATACCTTTTGCTGAATAAATGTCCAGTTATTAATAAACCACTGTGAAAACTTATGTCCTTAAAAAATCCCCCGGCAACATGTTGCATAAGCATACCCAGTGCTTGAAGTCTCCCGTAAGTTGAGGGGGGTCCCTACAAGAAGGGAGGAGGGCGGGGAGGATGAGGGGGGGGGGGGGGGGGGGGGGGGGTTCTGACGAAATGTATTAGATGCACATGAAATAAAACCGACTGCTGACTATGTCCCCGCCGCACCTGCAACCCTCAAATTGCTCATCCCCAAATGTCACATCCCTGAAAACAAGCTATTTTATTACAAGATATGATTTTGATTTCACTAATGCTGGGGCTGTGGAGGAGGGTCCCAGCCCATCCGTTAAACTCAGGGGGGGGTCCAAGACCCCCTGAGACCCCCGAGACTTTAAGCCCTGAGCATACCCACACTACATCCTTACTGAACCAAAGCGAATGCTTACACTTCTATGGCTTCCCCAGTTCCAACTTATGTTTTCACCCGAGCAGCAGAAATTAACTCAACTGCCCAGCCGTGGACAGCTGGTAGAAACAGTGTATTTAGAGGCGAGTGGAGTAGCTCTTAAGACGAGCTCTCACATCGCGAAGCCATTCGGCAAGGGTGCCGTTCCACCTTGGTGCGCATAGTTCCAGAAAAGCTATTTGGGTTGAATTTCCAGGTTCCCCAAGGGCTCTAGTTTTCGATCAAAGATATGCATCGGGATGCCAGCCGAGTCGCCAGCAATGTGTGTCGCACCACAGACTCGTCTCTTGCTGTCGCTCAGAAAAAGGTAAGCTGAATTTCCCTGACACACGCCGAGTGGGGTGGAAATCAAATCCCCCGACAATTCCCACTTTTCCTTGTACGGTAGAATACCCCGATGTTTCTTCTTCATAAAACATGGTTAAAACACTCGTCTGAACCGATCAATGTAATTATTTGTGCGTAGAAGCGAACCGTAAGGGAAAATAGGATATTCAGTAAACTGTGTGTGATAAGTACTTAAGGTAAAATAAAAACGAGCTGTAGATTTCACAAATCGGAGAGTTTTCGTAGATCGTTCCGACAGCTCCGACAAGAACCCAATAGCGATCAAATACATGCGCGAAGGCGTCGGCAGAGTACCGTAACCGGAACAATCTACTAAAACTTCCTATCAAGACAAACAAAAAAAAAGAAGGTAAACCACTGTGAAAAGAACTCCAGAACACGCCGAATATCGTTCGCGCGAGGTATACGCGGCAGGGTTGTCGATGCAAGGTTGTCCTTACCATTCGAGAATGTTGGAAGGCAACGGGTGCGCGATGATGTAAGGGACCGGGTCCCTCGCGAGCCTCAGGTAATCCTGGCGAAGTCTCTGAGCTGCGGTGTTGTACTTTTTATTCATCCCAGCTGCTCGCCCTGCAGCCAGACGCAGTTCGCAAAGACGTCAGTGAGAAGAAACCTTCGTGCGCGAGAACTATGTCCTCAATCGGGACGCGGCAAAAACTCGCCACTCCAACGACATCGTTTTATAATCGCCCACAAAGCGGGCGAGTTGAGAGATTTTAAAACAGGAAACAAGGAATAAATAGAGGGGCGGAACGAACAAAAAAGAAGAAAAAAAAGGTCTAGTATCACGAACACGCCAGCCAACGATGCCAGCACGTTTCGTCACATCTTTTGCGGTAAACAGAATAGAGCTCGCAGCAGAGGTAGAAATCGAGGCCCCAGTAAACGCGAGCGTTAAATTAGAAAACCTCGCTCTTTTTTTCGACAAAAAACTGTCGCCGTTTTCTGTTTTGTTTTTCCTTGCGTGCGCATAATTGTCGACTTCCTCATTAAATCACGCCAAAGCACGTCACTAGCACCCCATAAGATCGCGGTAACCCGTACACAAACATTAAGGGCGGATATTATTTTGTCACAAATTGCCTTCTCAATAAGTAGCGACGATCGAGACTTAGCTGTCAGTTTCTACGACATAAAAACACTAAGTGCAAAGGTCGCGAAATCTTACAAATACCAACACACTTCTCTCTGGAGGCTAAATCGGAGATGAAGTCACTCGCCTTGAACCTAATGGCAGACGCTAACCGACGACGGCTGTTAATGCAACAGGCATGCGACGCTGCTTCGACGCTTGTAAATATACATTTAGGGTGCTCTTTTCTCGCCGTAAATGTCCAAATATGCGCTTTACACGTCATGTAGTTTGACAAACGCCTAACCGCTGAAGACGGCACGCCATGTTCTTTTGGGTGTGCTCAAAAGGCGCAACAAAATGCGATTGCTAGAAATCAGCGCGGTAAAGTTAGTAAAATTATAAATAATTTTTTCGCAATGAGGTAACTTCCTGTAATTGTTTCATGATTATTTATTTAATCGTTTTAATGTTATTTTTCAAATATTTTGTGTTTTTATTGTTAGTAATTTTATGCCTGGTGTTCTGTTGCTCTCGTAGGTTGCTCTGTTGCTCTAGCTTCTGCATTTCTGTTTTCACTTTCCGAAGGGACGTGCCGCTGGCTGTGGCCACTGGCATGTTACGATGTCACCCGACTCGAAAGACTGGATTGCTAGAAATGTGCGAGCCTCGCGTATGTACCGTGCTTCATACTCCCTCTCAAAATCTCTTCGGAGCGCGCCAGTTCAAACCATATCTGAATTGACTCCCGGTGCATCCTTCAGTCAACGCTTGCCCAGCGTTCACTACAACCATGCCGGATGATGTGGATGGACGAATCTCACCGTTGCTGGCTTATCCACACTACCCAGGTACATCGACGTCTCGCAAAACCTCCGGTCACCATGCCCAGACTCCCCCGTTGTTACGTTCGGGCCACTTTCTGGTTCATAATCGGAATCATTCTCGGCTGGCGACTGTGTTCGATACGCGACACACAGGACCAAGCCAGTGCGAACAGCGATCATGAAGGCTGGGTGTCTAGAACTACCTTGTTTGTGGCTGTCCTGTCAAGTCCGGGTGGAGCCGAGCTCCGCACGGCAGCGCGCAACACCTGGCTCCGCCTCGGAGCTGGCAAACCCGTCGCGCACAGGTTTTTCGTGGGCACCAAGGGACTCCCGGGTACGCAGATCCAATCCTTGGAACAAGAAAGCCGAAACCACAACGATGACATCGTGCTCCTCCGTAACCACGAAGACAGCTACGACACCCTCGCTGCCAAAATGCTCGCCATCTTCGACTGGACGGCGACTGTGTACAAGTTCGACTTCTTCCTCAAGCTCGACGACGATTCCCTGGCGCGAGTCGACTCCATCTGCCTGGAACTCGACAAATTCGCCAAGTTCCCTAACCTCTACTGGGGCTTCTTCGCGGGCAACGCGCCGGTGTTCAGGACGGGCAAGTGGGCCGAGAAGGACTGGTTCTTGAGCGACAGGTACCTTCCCTACGCCAGGGGCGGAGGCTACGTCCTGTCGTACACCTTGGTCCTGTACCTGAGCGCAAACTCGCACCACCTACAGCACTACAAGAGCGAGGATGTGGCAGTTGGGGTTTGGCTTTCCGGGCTCAAGGTGAAGCGGGTTCACGACCCTAGGTTCGACACGGAGTACAGGTCGCGAGGGTGCTCCAACAGCTACCTCGTCACCCACAAGCAGACGGCGCGGATGATGTTCGACAAGCACAAGAGCCTCAAGGAGAACGGTGTCCTGTGTCCGTCCCAGGTGCGTTGGCGGAGGTCCTACGTGTACAACTGGAAGGTGCCGCCGTCACAATGCTGTGTCCGTAACGACAGTAGGATACCCTAAGGTGGCCGTGTAGCCTGTGCGGAATAGCGTGTGCCAAAGCGAAACTTCGTTCTGTAGGACTGTGCGACGTAGTGATGCAGATAGTCACAATTATAGTTATTGCAATGACTTGAGGGCATGAGCTGGATTGCCTTGGAGCAAGGAGAAGTGTTTTAACTCCTCACGACTGCGTTCGTCTGGTCTAGGTCAGCCTCATGAACGTTTTTTTTTTCTTCTGTTGCGATGAATGAGCAAACATACCTGCATTGAAGATAGGCATTTGTGGCTTTATATATACACTCATCACTCAAGCTTTCCTTTGTTTGCTTTGCTTCACAGCAAACTTAATATCCTTGTTGAAATGGTTACAACAGTCTGAAAATGGCAAAAAACAGCTAGAGATCTTAGCTCTGGTTCGAATTAAGATGAAGGAAGAACGGGCAGATTGGGCTGCTTTCCATGATATGTATGATATTTTACTGCTTAATGCCTGTTAAAGACCCCAGTGGTACTGCACTGGCTAAATTTCTTGTCTTTGGGAGACAACAGACACCCATGTTGGAGCTGACTAACTTCCTGCTGTCTAGGCATAAACACAACACTTTTATTACTGTCAAGGTGTATGACGTAAACTTGGGAAGTATGTCAAGAAGAAAAGACTTTCTAATAGACATGCCACCAGAAATGCATGAAATGCAGGGTGCCAGCTTTCAAACTTACAGTTGACAATGCTTTTAAGGCTGAAATAGAAGCTCTATAAAATCAGAGCTCCATATATATAATGCATCACTCTAGGTTTGTCTTTTATCATTTCTTGGGCTATTTTCAAAATATAAACGAGCAAAGACAAAAAAAAATAATACCAACAAAAATTTGATGGCACATGCCCAGGCCTGATTTACAATAATGCCAAGACTGTTTCAAAATGATATGATAGCTGGACAAACATTTAACCCTTGCCTTCTCAACTTTTTCTTCAAGGCATGTACAGCAAAGTTTTATTTTAAACACAATTTGAATTAAAATAAGACATAAATATTTCCTCAACTTCCAGGTATTGTATCTTGCTCTAAAACAAAACTTCTGGTCCAAGTCCCACTGATGTACAGACGCCGAAGTTGATGGAATGCTTGCAGGATTTACATTGTTTTCATCACTTCTGTCACTGCCCATCAAGCTATCATCCAATTCCTTAAATCCGGAAAGGCCCATGGATTCATCATCACATATGCCTGAGCATTAATCCCTTTCAAAAAGAAGGTTTTGCATCTCTTGGCTGAAGTGGACATCTGCACCAAGGCCGTGTTGTTTTAGCACAAACACTCACAAGCGACTGCTTTTTTTTTCTTGGCTAAAGGGAGTGTTCTCTCTCTCTCAAACAGCAAAACGGACGTGCAAACTGCCCAATGTAAATGGAACAATAGGGGTGGTTTTTCCCATTTGCCGAAACCGAAACGCGAGTCACACTTGTGGTCTGGCTTTATGGTATGTAAGGGGCGGCACGAGTGACACTATTAGTAGGCAAGGGGTTAACATGAAAATCGCTGTGCGTTTTTATACTGGACCTATTGAATCGAAACTAGCCCTGTAGCATTTAGCTTGGCTGAATGCAACATGTAAACAACATGAAAAGCGTTTTTTTTTTTTTTGGCATATTTTGTTTCCAGGTTAGAGAACACGGAACTCTAACTCTGTTGAAAAGTCATCTGCCATTGTAATAGAGGCCTTTATGTCAAGTTTATTTCTATCACTCTTTCAAATGTGCATAGGTATAGCATACTCCTTACAAGTATACAATAAGTTTCTGCATGAAAAGATCAAGTGGCTATTACCACAAAGTACCGCGCATCCACCCATTCCACATTAAGCGCCCGTTACCAAATTTGTGAGATCTGAGGAAATACGTACAGTACATTTATATGTAAAATTCATGACCGGACAAGCGCCCATCCCCCATTTTTTTGCGATTATCCAAACTTTGAGTGGGCACTTGCCAGGTATTTTACGGTATATACAATTATACACACAGTGCACACTTGATCTAATCATGAACTTAGGGAATTGAAAACCTATATCCTTATTACATGGAACATTGCTCTAACACAATTTAGATGGTTTGCTGCGAAAATTCCGATTAGAAAAATCATTGAAAGCGAGTCGAAGTTTAGGTTTGGTAATAACGATCAGGTTTGTTCTTGGCTGGTAGGGAGAAAAATCAATAGCATCATTGTTTAAATTTATATTTGCTTAGTATTGGGATTTGCAAGCTTCGAAATAATATACTGTTTCTTTTTTGAATTACGAAATTTCTCGAGGAACAGGCCGTGAATCATTTTTGTTTAACGACAAAGAAGACACAATCTTAGCATGAGAACTTTTGAAGTGTGTTCGTCCTTGCACTCACTGAATCATTGCATTTCTCAAATGAGGCACTTTAGGTGAAATTCACCATTCCACTCTCATGCTTCCTTGATTGGCTTTGTTTGGCATAGACTAGGTTCCGCATTCCAGTGATGGAAGTGCTGCGCCATTTGCGCCAAATTGTGCTATGAACGAAAGTCCGCTACATCTTGCATCAAAATGTCATTTTCCTCCTACCTACTCTTGCAAATATTGGAGTCAGCCAATAAATAAATATTAAAATTTTTCATCTTTGTTGAACCCACTCTGCGCAGGTATGGCACAATGACACACCTGTGCCGTGCGTGTTTTAACAAAGATAAAAAAAATTAAAATATTTAATTATTGGTCGACTCTAATATTCAGAGAAGTAGGAGGAAATTAAAATGGTACAAATATACTATATTTCACAATGTCTCTACTTACCGTATTGTTAGTCTCATCTTAGGTCAGAGTACAGTCGAAAGCTTGATGAACACATAAACAAAACCACGAAGGCACATACTAAAAGTGCAAGTCACAAGACTTTCCCTGCACTTAAATGATCTAGTTGATCAAAGTACATATAGTAAAAGAAGATGATGAATGCCATGATTTCGCACTGTGGCACTGTACGAATGATCCCACTGGCTCGTACAGCGGTTGCACTTTGAGTTAGGGTGAAACGAAGATTTCTTGTCAACCACGCTGGGTGGTTGATGCCTCGATCAAATTAATTGCCACGCCAACGTCGTCCAAATTTCTAGAGGATATCGGGAATGTCGGGAGCTAAAAGCCGCGTGAAGAGTTTGCAAAATAGTTGGATGGAAGATATTGTAATAAATCAGAACCAGGGTTTTGTACTCCTGATGGGACTGTTTGATTATTGTGTCTGCTACCGTGGCACTTGCTCCGCTTGCGTCAAACTTCGCTGTCTCTCACCAGAGCGCACGTGTTGAGCTTCACCGCTTGCATTGGAGTGCTACAGTCAGTTACAAGTTAAGAAAAGTTTTCGAGGGAAAAAAAGCGGGTGAAATGCTGGAGAGAGGGGGGTGTTTCTTCCTCTCCTCTCCAGCATTCCGTTTGCTTCCTCCTCCCCAGGCCTCCTTTCACTCGTATGCTTTTCTTACCCTGTAACCGACCATAGGAGTAGTGGCCGACATGGGGGAACGCATGGGTGAGCGTGGTATGCTCCGAAATCATGCTCAGTACCTTGTTCTTTGGTCTTGATTGTAGGTTGACTTGTACAGTAGACAAACTCCAGGAAGCCACACATTTTGTTTGAATTATCAGAAATTCATCTAAATTTGATGAAAGATAAAATTATCATTTGCCATATGAATGGCTACAAATACAAAGCAGATATTCGATGAGCTCCTTTACATAGGCCCACTGATCGTAAGTAGGTATGCCACACATGAAACATTCGTGAAATGTACGACATAAGTTTATTTATCCCTCAAAAATGTTGTTTATTGCAAACTGTTTAGACAGCGTATGACAACTCAAAACAAAATTGTTTGTTCATCAGGCCAAGAGGCTGTTTAATGTGGAAGCAGGGCACACATGAGCGATGAAACCGGGCACCACGCGGCAGTTTTCATAGCAACTTGTGCGGACGCTGTGACGTGAACCCATGTCATGCCGCCACGTCACAACGTCCGCGTAAGTTGCTATGGAAATTTCCGTGTGGTGCCCGTTTTCATAGCTCACGTGGTAGGTATAGGAACGTTTGTTTCACTTTTTTGCATTAAGAAATGCTGTGGTGCTTCAAAGCTCTGCTCTGCTTGAGCCCCTTTAAGTGCGCTTCTCATCGAGCACCGGTGTACTGCGAAAAAGCAACACCCGTGGCGGTTAGCAAGCTCCGCGAATGTTGCCTCTCTGCACTGCACCGGTGCTCGGAAAGAAGCGCGCTCAACAGGTCCGCGAGAACAAAAAGTATATGAATTACACGAAAACGCCGTTCGGATTAAGCGACTTATGAATACATCAAAAACATAGCGGAACAACTAACATTTTGAAATTTGTTTGAATTATCCAGAAGTAAAAAATATCCGAGTTTGCATTATCGCGAGCCTATAGTGTAATTTAAGAAAAGAAAAAAATGTGCCAAGAGAAAAAATGTGGGTCTATATTTGAAGAAATGTGGCAGTCAAGGTAGTCTGTGCAGCTGTCGATCGAAAGGGCAGTAAACTTTGACTCAACTCTGCTTCCAACGCTGCTGAAGAGCAGTGTCACATGTTAACCACAAGTGTGGACTTTCATAATATTTGTTTGGTTGTTGTTGCAATTTATGGATATTAAAGTCTCGAGTTTGCCAAGTTCATAAAACTTGGGGTATGCATTTTTGTTGATAGACGTTCTAGCAGATATCTAGGTTTTTGCTGGCATTTTACAACAATTACATTTACAGGCTGAATAAACATTTGAGTGTAAAAGGAGGAGGGAAGTGAGGCTTTATCTCAACTGAAGTGTAGCACTATGATTCATTTTTCGACCAATTTTAACACCCATTGTAAATGAAACCTACCCTGACAAGAGCCTTATTTTTAAAGAGAAAGCTCCGTGTTACTTTCGCTCCCTTTATATATCTTATCCCAAAAGGTAATAAAAGTAATACGCTCCAGTATCAAAGTGGAACCCTCGGTCATTATCGACGATAAATTCGTTTCGCAATGCAATCGTTTCTTTTTTTTTTTTTTTTCAAGCGATGTGTTAACATATGTTGGTATCTGCTCCAAGAGTGTCAGTGGCTGCTCCAAACGAATATTTTTCCTGCTACAGAACCTGCTTCAAAAGGTCAAGTGCTGCTTCCATCACTGGCATTCAGATATATCTGGAAAGTTCCTCTTAGAATCCTGGCTCCGAGAGTGTCGTACACTTCTCCGTTCCTTTTGTGTACTTTGCGACATTTTGGCATCTGCACTCCACTCCCCGACAAATGTTGCAACGGAAAAGAAGAGGCCCATCTTCGCATATCTACGGTCACCGGCTCAAAGTGGTGGTCATCTTACAGCCTGTGACACCTGGGCTGGCTTGCTAGAAACAAAGCCTTAGCTAAAACTGTGCGAAAGAAAGCACTGCCAAAGCTAGCGCAAGAGCGGAGTGGCACATGAAGTTGAGTCTTGGGTATTTGCACACTGTAACCTTGGCAGGTTTGTTTCGGTTTCTAGCAAGCTGCTCAGACACTTGGCATGGTTTTTGCTAGGAATGTTTCTAATCAGCCGGCCCAGGTAGTATGGCATTAAACAGTTGCTTAGTCGACAAGTGAATTGTCTTTTTTAAGGTGCGAAAGTATGCAGGCGAGCTGGTTAGAAAGCATAATCTAAGCACTAAGACAGAATAAAATAACGGACTAGACGACAGAAACATTATTTTATTTCTCCTTGTCTCAGAGTTTATATAACGTTATTTTAATGCGAAATCGTTAACTGTCTCATGGAGCGAGCCAACGTCATCATGCTTTGCAACCGCGCCAAACGTCTGCAAGTGAAACCAGCTCCGAGCTATGAATCCATGTGCAAAGCTAGCCAACGGCACCAAAATTCCCCGATCCCAAAGGAACAAAGTAAAGCTGTTGGATTTTCAGCTTCGGTCCCATTGGCTGGCACGCGCCGACGAGGCCCCCATTGGTCGGCCACGCAGTGCCATAAGGTGGCCAGTCGTTGAAACTTACACTGTGCGTCAGTTTCAATGACCGGCCACCCTATGGCGCTGCATGTCCGTCAGCGTGCACACACGAAACGTCCAAGGTCAAAGCGGCCGAGGAGAGGCGCTCTCTCCTCGCCGTCAGAGCGCGCCGCTCTGCCGTCGACGCAAATACGCTGCAGACGAAATAAGGGAGCAAAAGAAGGATGTGCATGCTTTTGCATTCACAACTCATAAGAAGTACTTAGGTGTACCTCGAACCTTTTTTTTTAATTCTAACTTACAAATGTTCTCTTTTTTTTCTTTTTTTTTTTTTTTAAGGAGACTTTTGAAATTAAGAAAATACTGTTGGAAGCTTGGAGCTAGGCACCACTTAAGTTGCACACAAAGAACCTGAAAAAGTACAGCATATAATCGTATTGCATGTCTTCAGGCGCATAACTTTTTAAAATTCCCAGACACTCGTAAAACCGGTGTACAAGAAACACACACTCCGAAGCAATCAGAATTTATATTTTACAAAAACCAAGAAACTCAACTTTATTTTTAAAAAGGCTCGAGGTACACCTAAGCGCCTCTTACGAGTTGTGAATATGAAAGCATGTATATCATTCTTGCTCTCCACGTGTAGGCGCGCTGACTGGCGCTGTGTGTCCGGCAAATGGGAGCTTGGTCGACACACGCCAGCCAATGGGACCGAGGTGTAAAAGGTGCTGTTGGCTAGCTTTGCACGTGGTTTCATAGCTGGGAGCTGGCTTGACTTGGAGAAGGATTTAAGAGCTGTTTGGCGCGGTTTCACAGCTGATGACGTCGGCTCGCTCCATGAGACCAGTTAATGCTTTCGCATTAAAAAATAAAATAAAATTTAAAAAAAAACATGCACAAGATTTATCCTAACATACATACTGATCTCCGGAAGCCAGGAATTTTTTTTCAGGGGGGGCGCTAAGGTGCTGGGATGTCCATATGACTCGAGTGTGGAGCAAAGGAGGGAGGGGAGGTAAAAATGCATGTGAATATTATAGGGTCGGCTGGGTTTGGGTGGAGGTACTGAAGCCCCATAAGCCTCTACCTTCGGAGGGTGTCGTGCAACCTTCCAGTTGGGCAGAGTGACGTGGGGAGCGTAAAGTGATGCGTCAAGCACGGAGTGCCAGATTGCGTTTGCACTGAATGGTATGCGGAGGGCAAGTTCATCTGCTTCTTGCGCAGGGGGAAGCGGTGACGTCAGAACGCCGAGCCCTGATTGGCTGATCGCGACCCCCTATCTGAGCGTCGTCTGCTCCTTTGCAGTGTCGTCTGCTCGCAACGTCGTCTGCATCTGTCTTACATTTCCTGCGACTTTCGGAAGTGCAGAGGCCAGATTCACGAAACGATCTTACGCCAAAAATGTGCGTAAGACAAACCTTAAGAACAAATTCGTATTCATGAAACAAAATTTTTGTAAGTTTAGCACAGGTTACGACGAAATCCTACGACAGCTCCGAAGCTGTCTTACGCACTTCTTACGATCAAATCAGCATGGCCGACAGTGTCGCGGTCCCGACGACCCACGGACATTTATTTTTCTACGTGCGCTTCTCACGCGTCCCGACTTCAAGCACCAAGAAAAAACTAAAAAGTACTTGAAACAGACCACGACGAACAAGAACGCTGGATCTACAAACACCCGGGAAAAGCTCCAACGACCACGATTCCGCCGAACGCGACCAAGCGAGATCGGCAGTTAGGCCTAGCAGGCACTCCGCGACTCGGAGACCTTCTGCCCACGAACGGCTGGCGTGCTGAATGGAATATGCCCGCGCGACCCTTGTGAACCCTTCCCGTATTATACTTTGATAGCTGACCTCAATTTTAGATTAAGAGGTCATTTTCTTCCTCTTGTTATCTCCTTGTTTGCCGAGGCAACGGTGACTCTCGCCAGCGAAAAGGCGGTGAATCTCTGACAGACACAGGAAAGGTAAAGCAGCCATCGCTTTGACTAGCAGACGTAAAGCAGACGACGTTAACTGCGCCAACCCGCCGACGCCGTTAAAGAGTGAGGGGTCTTGCCGCACACGAAAGGAAGGAAAAGTATTTGGGAGGGCACTTGCGAGGCGTATAGAGCCTGGTGGCACTGAATGGCGGTCACAGTGGCTGGGGGCGAAGAAGCGTGAGCGGCGCGAGGACCGAGCAACACAAAAGCATTGATTGTGACCGCTGTTCCATGCCTCCAGTGTGAGCGGCGAGAGAAACTCGACTAAATCACTGCTTTTATGCATCTCCTGGTGAAGCAGCAGGCCGCAGCAAAGCGGCAGTGAACAAGCAGCTGTAACTGGATTGAACTACGTGGCTCGCAACGTCCGCTGCGGTACATCCTAAGGCGAAATTGAGTACTACAGTTGGGATTTACGAGATAAAGCACCCAGTTTGAACAGCACCTAAAAGAAACAAGCTGGCACTAGTTTTACATAGGGAGTAATGTTTCATGATCACGTTTCACAATTTATTAATGATTGGCAGTGTTGGGTAAAGTACATCTTAAAAGTACCTGAAGTAAATAAAGCACAAAGTAAATGTCAGGTTATGTCTTTCAAGTAAAGTAGCAAGTGCCCCGGACACAATGCACTTCAAGTAAAATATACAAGTACAATGTACTCTTAAAGTAAAGTACCTGATGCCAGTCTATTCCTAAATGCAGCCTTTTTTTTTACCAAAGGGGTAATCGGGGTTGCATCAGCTATATTTGAAAATGGTGGCAAATATTGGATAAAGTTAAGTTGCCACAGGGTAGTTGTATTACTCTCGCTGACCATTTAAAGCAACTTATAAGGCCCTTATTTGTTGACAAAGCATAATTTTGTTGCCAATTTAACAAAACCAAATTTGTAGAGTGTACCCTGAAGTCGGGAGTTGTACTATCCTCAGAAAGTACAAGAATAAATACTTAAGAGTAAAGTACCAGTACATATTCAGAGCATGTACTCCAAGGTAAGTACAAGTTGTCTGAACCTACTTAAAGCAGTACTTTAAGTACAATATACTTAAAACACTTCCCAACACTGCTGATCGGTAAATAGACCACCAGTACCTGCCCCACTGTGTTTCCTGCAAGTTCGCAGTTAAGTAACAATGATGCTTACGGTCCTCAATTGTAAACGCCCAAAATGAATACTAAAAGTTACAGGATGCTTAAGCTTAGCCTTTAAGAGAAGAGCGCAATAGCAAACATACAACCATATGAACTCCTGCCTGTTCCCAAGCTGCACAAGCATGCCTTGCATGGCTTGCATGGATAAATAGCGTGTCTGGCTTGCAACCGAAGGGTAGTAAGTTTGAGTCCCACCTCAAATGTTTTATTTAACTGTCTGGCAGAAACACACACGTAAAAAATTAATTTTAGGTGGAAAAAAAAGTTTTTTAGAGCAATAATGAAGGCGCGAGACGCAATTTAGTCGGTAGTCACCTCCTTTCCACTTGTCTCTCTCCGCATTTCGGGAGAGGTGGATCGGCTTGACCATCACGTTGAGGTGGAAAATGCGTATGACCATTCCGTGACGTCATAAACTTTGCACGCAGAATTTAAATCTTGCGCCATCAATATTGCTCTAAAGAATTTTTTTTGCATAGAAATAAATTTTTGACGTGCATGTCCCAACCAAACTGTTTCCAAAAAAAACTTTTTTCTTTTCGGGTTTTTTTTTAAGGCAATTGGATTACTCTATAAAGTGAAATCATTTGAGACATGTGGCAACCTTTATTTCGCATTACGTCATGTTTTTTTGATCACCTTCATTACACGCGTGACGTCATGTCTCGCGCAGTGTTGTGGGTTGTTCAAAATTCCCGCGCGAGGTCATGTGGCTGCGACGTCGTGACCCAATCGACCAATCAGGATTTTCTGGTCACAACACCATCGACGCCGGCTTTCTTGCGACAAGCTCCTTTACGCTATCGCATTAAAATTGTGTAGTACTCACGTGTAATGGTCCTACTACAGCTAGAGTTCTCGTTTACCGAAGCAATCTTTTTTAGAACTGATGGATCAGTTCCGTTAGCGTGTTTGCATGTTTAGCTTATATCATGCGTCAATTACCTGATATTTCAGGCATTGGAGTAACAAATAACTCTTGCGCAGGCTTACACGCACTCTAGACACCTTCCATTGGGCTCTGCATCTTGATAAAGAAAATAATGTACACAACTGGATAGCATTTGCGATTCAAGGCATTTTAATTCCGTACACACACGCTACACAGAACATGTCGATGCATCAGTTACATTTACTATTGCAACAGGTAACATTGATAAGTCAGATGCAGGCACAACAGTGCACCTTTTTTTATTCTCTCCCTTTTCTTTCTTCCTTTAGCACACGTAAGTACAGTGGGCTTTCGAAGTGTCGACCCCGAAATGTCTGGGTCGCCAACCAATCACAATGCCTAGCGAAATACCGAAGACTGGAATTAACAACCGTGTTGTGGCGCGTATCACATTCTTCGCGACGCTCGCTGCAGAGTTGGACTCCTAAAACTGCTACAAAGAAGAATGCAACAAAACATATATTATAAATATTTATAGCGTATGTACAAAAATCTTTTTTTTTAAACCTCAAATTTTTTTTTTTTTTTTCTCAGATGTTAGGGCCAACTTGAAAGGAACAGAAGAAATTGGAATGTGTCATGACTCCCAGCTCTCAAAACGAAAACAAAAAACGAGTTTCGACGAAGGGGAAACAGCCAAAAGAAAAACGAAAAGAAGAAAATTAGCATGTTGCCTTAAAACTGAATCCAGGCACCCCCCGGACTCGGCTGCACGGGCGGGGCAAAGTTGCTGGGTGGCCTGCGTGGAAAAAAGATGCGCGCTTTTGAGCTTATTGCCCCGTGAAATTTCTACATGCTAAACCAGTGGTTCTCAACCGCCAATGTCTCAAGGACCCTTATGGATCGAGGGGGAGTGGGCAATATTGAACGATTGCAATGACAAAAGGGGTAAATGAGGGAGACTAAATGCGTGCAAACAAGCTTTGCAGCCCTAAAATAGGGAATAATCAACCCACTCGCTCAGTGCACATGGTTTCGTCAAGAGCCATGAAATAAGCTATGCTTCAGAGTAACGACACTTCAGCAATATTGTGTCTTAAAATCATGATTGCCAGTTATCTGAAGCTTTATCCAAGATTGCAGGGAGTGCTCTTCCGTCCTCCAGGAATGTTGAAACAGGAAGTTGCATGTTATAACCGTGACGATCGACAGTTGCGTCTGCTTCGCACTAGGATGGATGGATGGATGGATGAATACGGCTGAGCCCTTTGGATCGGGCGGTAGCTTACACCACCTAGCCATTTTGTTTTACCATTTAAGCTTAGAATATTTAAATGTGAAATCTATATTCACTCCGCAGTGCAAAGAAAGTGAGGCTATGAAACCCCCTTGCCATCAGTGATTAAGAAAATACCTAGTTTTCTCTCGATTTCTGCCACCATTCACTTAATCTTTGCTTGGTAATCTCTACAGTCTTGAAATCCACTCTCCCTTCGCTGTCTCTAAAACCCAATGACTTTATTAAATCTATGTTGTCTTCGGTAGGCATAGGGTGAAGCCCTTTACAGTAGAGTATCAAGTGCTCAGCCGTCTCGTCCTCCTCTCCACAAGCAGTGCACACTGTATCAATTTCCTGGTACTTCACTCTGTATGTTCTGGTTCGCAGAACACCCGTTCTTGCCTCAAACAGCAATAAGCTTCCCCTAGAATTGTCATAAATGCTTTCTTTGGCAATAACTCTTTTGTTTAATCTATAGCTTTCCAGAGCAGTCTTTGTCTGCATTCCCTCTAGCCACCGATCTCTTTCTGTGGCCTTAACTTTCTTCTTAACTGAGACTTGCTCTTCCGTATCTTCGCTATAGCCCAAAAACCTTCCTCTTAATTTCCTAGTGCGCTGTCTCCACTTTGTGTCTACACTCCTCATGTATAAATAGCTGAAAACCTTTCGTGCCCATTGCTCCCCATCCATTAGCCTCAACCTATCCTCAAATTCTACCTTGCTCACCGCTTCCCTGCTCTCAAATGATGCCCATTCCATGTCTCCTTGTACTCCCTGGTTTGGCGTTTTGCAATGCGCCCCCAAAGCCAGTCTACCTACTCTGCGCTGTTTTATTTCTAGTTTCGCATGCACTTCGGATTTCATGCATAGCACTGCGTTTCCAAAAGTCAAGCCAGGCACCATGACCCCTTTCCAAATCTCTCTCACCACCTCATACCTGTTGTAATTCCAAAGTGCTCTATTTTTCATTACAGCTGCATTTCTGTTGCCCTTACCTATTATATACTTTTCATGGTCTCTGAGATATTCTGCACCATCACATATCCATACTCCTAGATACTTGTATTTATTAGCTCTCTCAACTGTAATATTCTGTATCTTCAGTCTCTCAACTTCATCCTCAATAAAAATCATGACTGCCGATTTTTCGCTACTGAATTCTAAACCTAATTCCTCTCCTTCCCTACCACAGATGCTCATTAATTCCTGCAACTCTGTCCTGTTGTTAGCCATTAGTACAATATCATCCGCATACATCAATCCCGGTAAGGATTGCTGAATTTTTTGGCCTAGCTTACTGTAAGAAAGGTTGAACCCAAGCCCACTCTTCTCTAGTCTATCCTCCAATCCTCTCAGATACAACATAAACAGCAAAGGCGATAACGGGCACCCCTGCCTAAGGCCTCGTCTTATCTCTATTTTCCCTGTCGCCTTTCCTTCCCATGTTATAATCACCTTGTGATTATAACATACCTGCTAGGGAAAATGAGATGGCAGCGCATACCTGCGCTGCCATCTCGGTGCACTAGGCACCGAGATGGCAGCGCCCCCTAGCAGGTCAGGGAATGCAGCGCCGACACTTCAAGCGTAGCTCATTTAGTGGCTCTAGTTTCATCTGTTTAGCTTCATGGGGCTGCCAGCATCCCCAAAACACAAGTTTTAGCGCTTGGCTCAAGCGACGGTCGAAGCCTACTGCTTCAGAGACCCCAAAGAGGCCTTCGGGGACTTCAGGGCATCTGCGAACCCCCATCTGAGAACCACTGTGCTAGACAGTGTCCGTAGCACCACGGTTCTTCAACATCCAATCTGGAAACTCCGCTGTTTCCCGCCCCAGTAAATGTTTGCCAGTTTAACAGGGTGACGAGCACTGGATGGGCTGCTGCAACCATGTTGCCCGGAGCAACTGGCGGCCCCTCGATTTCTGCCCGACGACATAATAAAAGCGCTGTGCCGTTGCTCGCTGCGATCCCGGCGGTGGCGCTGCGGCACAGACGAACGTGACAGACGCCCATTTTGCCGTAGGTTGTTCTGCAGCTAGACAGTCGATGGAAGTCGGAGCAGACGCGAGACGGGACGACGAGACACCCCGCATTCGCTCGCTTCCTTTGCCGGCATTTCTATGACCGATCACTGGGTTCGCAACGTTTAACGACACAGCACGCGGGCCCCAGCTACACAGTAGGCCTTTTGCAAAGCGTGCAGCGCCACCCACGCCGCCGAAAGGAACGCCGGCACTTGAAGTAGAACCGCTTGTAGCACGTGACAAAGGCGACCTCGGAGGTGACGGCGAGTGATCAACTACTTCACCCTCTTGCTCTCTTCAACGTCGCACCACGCACCGGTCGTAGACACATTCCATGCACCGTAACTGCCACTCACCCCGCTGCACTTGCGAAGTCCCCCCAGGGGTCGACGGAGGAGGTCGCCGCCACCGGCGCTCCGTTGTCCACTGCCGCGTCCCCGGCGACGAGTGCCACGGACGGCGCCGCTCCTTCCTTGGGGGGGCTCAGGTCCAGCAGATTGGCCAACCCATGCTGCTGCACCCCGTGGGGGGCCGGAGAGGGCTGCGCGGCGGCGGGGCTACACGGGGGGGGCCTCGCCCCGCTGCCAAGGGGCGCCGAGGGGGGCACCTTGACCCCCCCGGGGGGAGGGGGCAACAGGCCTAGGCCCCCCGTCCCCACCAGCGATGGCTTCGGCTTCGGCTTGCCCGAGCTCGACTTCTTCTGCGCGGGGGCAAAAGAAAGGAACTCTCAACGAGACATGACAGCTGGACAGAGGAACGCACGACCTACTGTACTCCCGGCCTACCCGCCCGGGAGGCTCTTATGGCAGAGATTGAGCCAGGCCAACGCTATACTCTGCGACAACTTTTCTTGGCAATGCAGTGGAAGGTACAGGCCCGCATCCCCTCTCCCATTTTGAGTGTGTGCCGGCTCTCCTCCTCTCCCCAGGAGAGCCGGCACACACTCAAAATGGGAGAGGGGATGCGGGCCTGTACCTTCCACTGCATTGCCAAGAAAAGTTGTCGCGGAGTATAGGCATCACAGACATGAATTGAGCATGAGTGCTGCATCAGCGTTCAGCTCAGACCCGTGTCTTCACTGACCGAACACGAGTCTTAAAGGGACACTGACACCCCCCAAAATTTTTTTTAATTTCTTGCCAGGCGCTTTATTATGGTGTCGGAGGACTACCCAATTAATATTTTGCAACAGAGTAGCGTATTTTTTTAATAAAACCAAAAGACGCAACTGCTCGAAACCGAAACCGAAACCCGATGGAGGTCGGAGAAGTGGAGAGAAGAGAGTGTGTGGCGGAAGTCACGTGGCTACACCCGACCGTGCTTTTTTTTTTTTTTTTTCCCTTTCCCGGTAGCAGACGACATGCGGCGTATGGGAACTGCTCGCCGTGGGATTCTTTTGCAGTTATGTATGTTCCGCTCGTTGTTCTCTACTCCAAGATGAGTTGTTTTGTACATTGAGGAGTTGGAGATAAGTAGTGAGTGCCCGTGGTGAATTTTGATCGGCTCCGAAAAGAAATCACCCAAGATGTTGCGTGAAGAGCTGGCTCACATGTCCCGCGTCCGAAACAGAAGTGGCATTGTGCGACAGAGCTTCCGAAAGATCAACGGGATCGGGACCAATGGCTGGCTGCAATTCCTGTAGACCATTTACCGGCACCTCGGAAAGCGGACGCTACCTGATTTATATGCTCCTTGCATTTTGTGGAAAGTGATTACATTGAGTTCGCAGGTGTCAAAAAGGATATCCCATACCATCTAATTCAGCGACGTGTCGTCCACAACATTTTTTTTTTTTTCTTCAGTAATAATTGTAAAAAAAAAAAAAAATGTAGACATCAGAAAATATTTAGAAAAAAAAAAAAAAAACGTTTCACGGGGGATCGAATTCGGCTCTACTGGGCGTGAAAGGGGACGTCTTTCCCACTGAGCTACTGGGGCATATCGAAAGTGCGGTATCTTTTTCCTTAGTAATAATTCAGCCGATAAACTGTAAGTTGGAAAGTTTGCTGCCGATTTTCCTCTAGCAAAAGCACTCCCGGGTCGAAGTCGGGATGCACCACACATTGGCGACATTCTCACCTGGTAAAGAAATCGTACGCGTGCATATTCCACTCGAAGTAGACACGTCGCGCTTGACGTTTGCGCGAGCGATGTCTTCAGCCACAAGAGCGACGGCTCGGCGACGTCTTCGTGCAAATCGGCTTGGTGGTCGGGCGTGTCGTACGGGATGAATAACAATTCTTTTGACCAGTCCCAAATTTCTCTTTTAAAAGCAGACAAAATTCGCCGGTACCGCGAACGACAGTTCTGAAATAGAGGTACCACGCCCGTCGTCCGCTGCAATCGCAGTCCCTGCGAGTCCCACGATACGCGAAACGACGCATGCACAGAATGCTTCCGGTTGTCTGTGGAACTTTTTTTTCAATCAACATATTTGCAGCTTTTTAGAAGCCACAAAAAATGGGTTTTCTATTTTTTTCTATTTTTAATATTGAGTGTGTGCCTTCAGTGACCCACGAGTTTGATTAAATTTGGTGGTCGCATCGATACCTTAGAAAACGGCCCGTGACCGCGGAAAAGAGAGTGAGCGAGACTCGAACCGGCCAGTTCTTGATCGGCGGTTTTCAAGCGGAAAGAAACCGAATTTCGAGCCGCAAATTCTGTTCTGGGTAGTTGAGCTCTCATATGTCACGTACAACTAAAAACCTCGGCGAGCATAAATACCCTGTCAGTGTCCCTTTAAGGCCCGTTCACACTCTTGCGACCTCTTAAACCTGGGTTCCTTAAAACTTGTTAAACCAGAAAACACACTGGCGCCATCTATTGGGGAGCAGTGTAAACTCGGCGGTCCGGCATATTTTTTTTTATTTCTCGAGAATTATCCTTTCTTTCTTGGCTCGAAAAACTTTTGACAATGTTATAAACGAGCCTTTCTATGGGTATTACGCACATTTGACCTCGAAAATCCCGCAAAACCTTCGCTCTTGTGAAATGCAGTTCCAGGGTCACCGCATAGATGGCGCCACAATGTCAGTATGTTCCCTCATTCTAAAAACATTTAAGAAGTTGTAAGAAATCTCGTCTCTCTCAGTCGTACTCGGTCGCAAGAGTGTGAACGGGCCTTTAGTCAAACTCTGATGTGGCACTCGAGCCCAAAGCCTGGCCCGCATTTGTCTTTTTAGGTGACATTCAAAATTCCACCAAGGCCTTGTTTGCCTCCCCTCACTGTTAGGAGGGCCAGCACTGGTCTATTTCTTCTTGGTGCCCGCTCACATGCAACACTGATGAATTACCGTAATATCCCGAGTCATCGCCCATCCCCGAGCCATCGCCCACCTCGTTTTTTGGGCCAATATCGATTTCCGAAAAAACAGAAAAAACACCGAGTCATCGCCCACCCCTTCAAATACCCCAGCGCGGACTCTGCGATCCGCGAACACTCATCCTACCCGAATGACGCGGTCGCGGACCTTACGGTTGGAGGACGTCCATGACAAAGTAAAACGAAGGAGGGAAAGACACTTCTTTTTGTTTACACATTTCCTCCGTGAGCGACCCCAAAGTGGTCGTGTATCCGTGCGAAAACGATGGAGATAACAAAATAAGAGTTTGTTAACGTAACCGCGGAGTGTTAGGTCAAAGTCTGTCTCCGCCAAAGTAAGGCCACCGCGAACCCGCTCCTTCTTCCCGCCCGTCGCGACCGCGGTTGTGCAATATTTTAGGCAAAGCCAAAGCGTAAATAAAGCTTTGCTGGAACGTCCTACACAGTCGTTTGCAGAGTGTCCCAACCGTGCATTGATAGCCCGCCGTGCACGGACGCACGTATGTACGCACCAAACAAGTTGCGCAAGAGCTTGCAATTGACAAGGCGCCCGACTTGGCCCGACGCCAAAGTATTTGCCAACGCGACCGCCGGCTTTCCCGCTTTCCCAGCATTGCTCTGGGTCGCTTCTTTGGTCCGCTCGCTCGCTCGTTGCGCCTGGTCGGTTTTTCTATTTTCTTGAAGACTTTTCTTTCTTTTTTTTTACTAACTAGGAGAACATAATGGTGACATTCTTTCACGGAACAAACGTTCGCGCTATATGCAGATCGGCGGTGTTTCTAGCGCGTATGCAAGCAACGGACTTCGCTATAGTAAAATATTCTTTCTTGAGCATTTTTTCTATAAAACAATGAAACTAAATCGAGTTTTGAGTTTGATGTATCTCTTGTGCATCAGCGCTAGATACGCAGAGAAAAATAGGCGGTTTTTTCCGCTTTTTTTTTCAAGTGTTTGTGCTCACCCACCGAGACATGGCCCACCCCACTTTTTTAACGAATTTCCGGCTAGGGGGGTGGGCGATGACTCGGGATATTACGGTAGTTCGTTCCGACTAATTTTTCTGAGCTTGTTTTAACTCTACCTTAATTTCGACTTTTCTATCGATTGCTGCGGGAAGAAATTAGGCTTAAAGGCCGACATAAAATCTTAGTTCCCTGCAAGGAAAATAATCCCCCTCGGTGTCTTACTTTCCTGAACAGCATGGAGAGCCACGTTAAGTGGGGCAGAATGTGAAAAAAAAGATGCAAACAAAAGTGGAAAATGCAACATGTATGTCGGCGTTGAAGTCGCAAAAAAAAGTACCACATTCCATCCATACAACTTTGATAGTAAATACTATGAGTGTCAATTGGGCTTTACAGAGAGCTTCTCTAACATAAATTCAGAGCCTGCTGTTGTTCTTTTGTGTTTTGTTCAGAACGTCCTTACAGAGTACAATGGTGAACTCTTGAGGTAAAGAAGGTCTTCTTTGTGGTTTTACAATTGAACCTCGATTTAACGAAGTCATCGGGACCTGCTAATTATTTCGTTAAATCGGAAACTTCGTAAAATTGAGAAAAAAAGACCTCGCGCATAGGCTGCGCGGGGAACCTGAATTTTTTCGTTAAATCAAGAAATTCGTAAAATTGGGTTTTGTAAAATCGAGGTTCAACTGTACTGGAAAAAGAAAAGCGTATCGGTGTGCACTCGCGGTGACCTTGGGAGGTGGTTAAAAAAGCTGTGGACGGAATAAAATATGGTTGCTGAGTTTGAGACGTTTTTCTGTCCCCTTATTTCTGTGACTTCTTACACTTTTTCTTTCAAGTTTCCTTCCCAGTCTCAGGATTTTAACATCACGATCAACATACACCAGCTCAACTGCATCTTGACAATTAGAGCCCTGCATATCCGCGGATTATCCGCGGATATCCGCAGTAAACGGGTGGATGCGGATAAAATTTAGACAAATTTCGGCGGATTGCAGATCGGATGTCAAAGGCTGCGGATGCGGATATCCGCGGATCCGGATCTAAATTTTTGCCCGGTGGCATTCAGTTTGTTGACTGAAGTTTCATCTACAGATTGTTTCGTCGACATGCGACATTCGATCGAAAGGCTTCTCGTGTTTGTTTCATTGAAAAGCCTGAGACCTTTCGTCTCACACAACCCTGCTATTTTCGTAACAAACTTTTTGCGTCTCGCCTGGATTACAGGGGGGAGGGGGGCATGGTTTGGTTAAGCTCGCCTTAGTGAATCGCCCGCTAGCTTTTAGCGGCTTAGTAAAGAAATGCGTTTTCGACAAAACGTCGCAGGGGCATGTCCCCACAAAATGTACAGGTTCGACGAACCGTGTGTCTATGAAATGGATGTCCATGAAAAGTTGTCCACGAAATGTATTTCCACAAAATGCGCTTTGAAGAAACTATCGGTATCCTAAGATCTGATTCTCACTGAAGACTGCTTCAGTTAGTGCGTTTCCTCTCGTCAAAACTGCCATTTATAGAAACAGTAAATATTGCAGGGCATCTATCATCCCGAGAAAGCTAGTACACTGGCAGGGAAAGAGCGGAAAATTTCTCCGGGCAAAGAAGACCTCAAATGTACAAGTCACAAGTAGTGTGGTCATGATTCCAAAAACAAAAGGAATGCCTCGAGAGCGAGCGCGACCCTGTGGCGCCACGGTTTGTAAAGTTTCAATATTAACAGTGCACGCACATAGGCAGCCCATAAACTGCCTGTGTGTTTCTTTTTTCTATGCTTAGAGACCTAGCCAAAAAGTCTGGTAGTTCATATTCGTTCACCTAAGACGCCAGGGAATCTTAGCCAGACGATTATGAACTTCTCTTACTTTTTAATTGTTTGACCGAACTAAAACCTCATAATTTAGTATGCCCTATTTAACCTTTATGTTTTGTTTCGAAAGTACACGTCGGCATAAAATAGATATTACAAAGCAAAAGAATATATATATATATATACATTTTTTTTTTGTGCGGTTTTCTGGGCAGAGTGTTGCGGACTCCTAGGACGATCACATAGCCGACATCATTTTTCCTTCAACGCACAGTGTCTCGAAAAGGCTGATTGCTTTTAATATAAATAGGATGAAACTGATAATGACAAAATGGCACCCCCTTTGAATGGTGTCCCCAAGATTTCTTTGTACAAAAATGAGCAAACAGCTTAAAACGTGCTATATTTTTTCCATTCATGCTTAATGTTACGATATGCAATAAATGCCTGGATTGTGAGTTGGATGCGGTTCCACATTTTGCGGATGCGGTTCGGATACGGATATAAAGTATGCGGATGTGGATCAGAAGTGGATAATCGAACCGTTATCCGTGCAGGGCTCTACCCATGACACGTAAGCGCCCGCCTACTTCTAAAATATTTGAAAAATAAGCAAAGACATATCAAGCACCCTTTTTAGAGTTCTGACCTTACCTATCGTCAGTGACAAGTTAAAGGGGCCCTCCGGAGCTTTCTGCGATCGTCTGTTTATGTTGTTATATTGCGTAGTAGGTGCAAGTTAATATGTATACAAAGTTTTAGATTACAAAACCGTTTATTAACCAGACGGCAGATGGAATATATCGGGACTATTTTCTCTTGGAAGACAGTCCCCCATTCCCTGCCCATCGCTAAAACTTGACCAATGGAAATGCTGCATCTCGCGGTGAATGCGAACGTTATTATTGCAACACGTTTTAAGCTTGTTGTTAATTAGAGTTTGAGAAAAACGCAAACTGATTGTGGTGCGGGAAACGTAGTCCGCAATTATCGCTCCAAAACGAGCGAACTATGTTTTCTCCCCGCAAGCTTGTTCCTAGGGGGTGATGCGTCGGCTCGTCTGCTTCCCGGGGCGTCTGCAGGCTTGTTTGTGGGACATGTGTTCCTTCCTCCCGTGGATCCCGACTCCGAAGCCAGCTTTGCGATCCTTCCACGTCATCGAGTCAAAATTTTCCTTGCCATCTGTGGAATGCGACGGTGAGGTGCGACGAACGACAATTGCCGAGCACAAAGTCCGGGCCCCTTGACGACGGTCCGCGCCTGTTCGAGAGATTCCTTCGCGGGTCGGCGGTCGGCCGCGTTGGTGACGCGCAGTGACGCCGGAATCCTATTGGTTGACGCGTAAAGAGATGCCCCTCCCGTTTTCCGGGATCATCTCAGAAAGGGGGGCGTGCCGGGGACTTTGATAGCAATTTTAATAGGGAAATCCGCCGCGCATGACCGTAATTTTATGATTTTTAGGATCCTTAGGACCTGTAGATTGAGTTACCGCCATAAATAGATCATCGCAGAACGCTCCGGAGGGCCCCTTTAAGAGTTTGTGGGAAGCTCCTCCCACTTGTTTCCACTTTAGCAGAGCGAACGCCGGGGAGGAGGTCGCCTTCTCTCCAGCCTTTGTTCCACTAAAGTGAAAATAGGTGGGAGGAGCTTCCCTTGAATTCTTAACCTGTCATTGACTATAGCTAACCTACACGCTCTCCCATATCAGTAGCTTCTCCCAGCAGGTTGGTGCATAGTAAAGAAGCTTGACACACACGCACTGGTGTACGACGTTGAAGCCTGAAGCATGTGCACTAGTGCAAAGTTGTGAAGCCCACCCTATCATTAGCCCCCTCTACATTTTTGCTCTTGGACCTAACAACCACTCATCCACTCGTTTTCTTTTCTTTCTAATGCATGTCATATTATGCTTACACAGGCTTACCCACTGTAGTGTCAGATAATAAATGCTACATGGACAAACAAGGGGCCTGCAGTGCCATTAGAACACACCTCTGCCTGTCATACGGTGGCCAAAATTTGTAAGGTATGAGCATAGTGCCAACTCACTCCGATGTTCATGTTGATTTTTATCGTCTGGCCCTCCTTAAAGCTCAGGTCCAACTGGGGCTGATCGGGATCGGTGCCACCCTTTTCAAGCTCCTCACTTTTTTCGAGCCACCTGAAAAAAAGTCTTAAGGTTAGTGTATGCATGCACTAACAAAACGGTGATACACTATTCGGTTAGCACGGACGCTCTAAAACAGTCTCAAACTCGTACAGACAGGCACACACAAGAACAGACTTCAACGGCAGATGCCACAGATGGTCAAAATTTTGCTGTGGTGAGAGACTGCGGCGACGACAGCGCCGGCAAAGAAACGTGTCAAAGCATGTTTCGCATCACACGACCGCACAGCACCCGACAAAACCGCTGTTTTGTTTGGATCTGACGAACTTACAGAGCCAGATGAGAACAGTGCCACATACTTTCTGCTTCTGTTGCACATCACTATGCTCAAAAGAATGTAAAGCTGCAGAAAAAGCTGGAAAGATATACTACTTATGAAAGGTTTTCTCGGGGATCCTTTCTTGATGCACCTTACAATCCTAAGGGACGTCCAAACAGGATACTACAAAACTCACGACTCCGGCAAATCGTGCGGCACTCCACTTCTGGCCATCGGGGGAAATTTCCCCCTGTCAAATATGCGGGGGGAAACTTCCCCCCGTCAAATCTCCCCCTCGCTACCCCCAAGGCGGCCTTGCTCTGCTCAACACGTGGGTCCAGAGAGCCACTCACACGCTCTGTTGGCTGTCAGTCAATCGCTCAAGGCCTCTGCCGCTTTGGAAGTCCCGAAAACGAGAAAGGGAAGACTCGAGTGTGAGGGGGCAAGCCAGGCGAGCGCGTGTCGTGTTTAAGGTCGTGTCATCTTCCAGCAGTTCTGTAAATTGGATCGGATTTCCGCGGCTCTTGTTCCTAACGTACTTCATATAGACAAACAAACCTGGTTGGTTTGGAATTTAATAAAATAAATTATGTATTCTTAAAGGGGCCCTGCAATCATATTTAAGTGTCTACCTTTTTTGCGGTTTCCATGTCTCTTGGGGTTCGGGCAAGCCAGCGGGCACGAAGGGAGTAACTAAATGTCAGTGCGTCATATTTTAACCGGACGACGCGGAAACCTCCTTCACCGACGGGGGCGACCCGCGGTACCGAAAGCACGCAAAATGCGACGTCTTTGGTCCCGGGCTTACTACTGGTCAGAGCCGCTAAAAGCTTCCTTTTAGTCAAAAATACAAAATATAAGTGGCGCGAACCGTTTCAATTATTTATAAAAGTAGTTTCTGTTCAGTATTTTAGATCAGAAAAGAAACAAATGATGTTTATAAAGTACGGAAACAAGAAATGACCCGTCGACATACCCACCACCAAGCGGTGGAAAAGGCGGCGCACACTAGAAAGGTGTAGTGGGATCAGACACCGATGAGCAGCGAGCATAGAAAGGTCCCGGGTGTATGCAGTGGCGCTGCGGTCGTAAACGGACTCAGGATCCGACCGGTTCCAAGTGTTCCGAAGGCCTTCGGCGAGCAGGTTTTGCTTGCGTATGGCCGTTTGGCGGTATGGCAGCGTGAAGTGGCTCCCAATCTGAACTGATCTTTATCCCGTGTTTGCTGTCGTTTGTGGCCGATGAAGTGTCATGCCGAATTAGTGTTTAATCGCGCAGCAAATGCATTGCGAGCCGCCCTGGCTGCCCGAGCCCATCCAGAACATGCTTTAGTGGCGCCCTCTCGAGCCGTCGACACGGAGTGCTGCAGCCGTGAGCGCTCGCTGAGCTCACTACCCCTCCTCTAGTTCATGGCCACACAAGCAACCAAGGACGTCATGAAGGAGGTTATTTTTTGCTTGTTTTTGTAATTTTAATTTGCCTATAACTTTTAAAATAAAGCAAAATTCGAGAAAAGAAAAGTTTCATTAGTGCACTCAGGTTTGGTGCAAATTAAAAACCAGTAAAAAAGTCCTTGTAGGGCCCCTTTAAGTTCTCAGTCTTTGTACATACAACTAGAACTCTCACAGTGGCGCACCTCACTTCTTTTTTTTTTTTTCGAGCTACAAGCATAGATTTTGACGAAAAAAAGCCGAGTTGGGGCGGCCGAAATGCACGCTTCGACGCAGGAATCTCCCAAATTCACCCGAAGCCGGACCTCTTCGGCCTTCCTGTCGAGGTGACGGCGGTAGCAAGGTCGGCGACTTCGTGAGCCGTGGGAGATAGACGAGCATCAGGAACACCATTGGCAGGTGGCATATGACGTTAAGTCTGACGAGCACTGACGTTAAAGAAAAGTGGAGAAGGCGAGGAGGAAAGTCGTGAATTTGGGTTGGCCGGCGTCCAAACAGACATTCGACCGACGACTGCCGGACGGTTCAATTTTGACGATTTTTGCAGGAGTCGTGTGGCCTGACGACTGTTGTAGTAGCCTGTTTGTACAGGCCTTTAGCCACCTGCAGCTGCCATATAGAACAAGAAATGAATCGCTTCAAAAACTAGGCTTGCACAAAGATTCAGGTCCAGTTACGAAAGTACAGTGCCAAAAAGGGCCGACTTAGAACATCTTAATGCAGGATCAGCAATATATCATACTGGGTTAGCCACACCTATAAAAAGATACCCTATTTCAAGGGTCAAACCTCTTTATCCATTGCTCATGGCAGTTGGCATAGTATCTGCCCTTTTCCATTTTTGAGCACCGGTCAAGCATGCTTTCAGGTTGGGCATTGAAATCTAGAAAGTGCAAGAAGGTATCATACTTGAAGTGGTCCTGGAGTGCGACGTTGAGATCAAACGAATCCCCTCGGTCAGCAAAGCCAATGCCAATGAATGCCGCTCGACCTGCACGGAAACATTGAAGAAAGTGGTTTCAACGTTTACGGATCTGGTAGATGCCCATTGGAAATGGCACGTTTTTAAAAGTAATTTGGCTATTTTAAGGTAATTCTGAAGTATGTGTTCTGTAATGGCGCCACATGCCTAGCAAAAACAAACCTTCAAACAGACTGTGCCACGATAGAAAAACAAGTCCAAGCAGAGAAGCAATCAGACCCAACTTTTTCTTAATTGTCACAATTGTGATACAGTGGTTCATTTCATTAAAGTTAAATTCATGTTCAGCAACACAAAGCTTCTTTGGATGGCACAGAACCATTTAGAAAAGCTTTCAGCGATGTCATCATGTCAACTTGCTAGCTCGCAAAAATTTAAAAAACAAACGCGGCCAGCGTAACATGTGAAGAGCGAGTGACCAACTGCCTAAAATATGACAGGAAGCAACCACAACTTTAGTAAGCAATAATTGATGCATCAGTGATTGCAGGACATCTACTTCAGTGTTGAGAAAAGGTAAAAATGTTGGCAACAGCATAAACTTCCTACCTCATCTATCAAGAAAAATAGATAGGATGGTAAGTGTATGCTTTGCCAGTTAGCACATTGCTGACCAGGTGTAGCAATTATTTTGTTTCAACTACAAGCAAAAGAGTAAAACGTTTGAGCAGCAATGGCCTCACGTGATCAGCCATGACCCCATCACATATTGTTATCATGACCCAAGGACAGAATCAGTCCCAATAGTGTTTTTCAGTTGCCGTTACGACTGACAATGGCAGCACCACTTGCTCTCCTGGCGAGGAATGTGCATTCTAGTCACACATATCTGGTCAATGGCACTCAGCATTAAGTAAAGTTATGCCCAACTGTCATAAAGGAAGAAATGAGCTGCCTTGGGCAAAGAAAATGGTTGAGTCATGAACCATTACAATTAAACACAAAGGGCAAAAATGTCACCAGAGAAGTTAGACGCATTTCTCACGAGGCAGTTCCAGAAAGATTCCCGAGAAACATAGACAAGAGCTGAATGAAAGACAGGGTGGATGATTATATTTTACTACACGTCACTCGACTCTAATACGCTAAATCCTCTTATCTTGATTAACCTCGATGGTTCACCATGACCGCTAAAGAAAAAGTAGAAGATCTGCAGCAATCATTTCATCAATAACTCGGAAAGCTTCAGGCTGACCCACCTCACTAGCCGACTTTGTTCCCAGATCATTTATGAAATAAATTATTAGGCAAACGACTGCAAAAGGTATAGTCGGCATAAAGTACTAGCCTGCACTTCACCTTACCTCACAGGCACAGGCTTTTTATTGTTTCTAGCAGGTGGCCAGAGAAGACTCGTTCTGCAGCAGCAAGGTGTAGGCTTGGGCTAGCCCATACATGGTGACCGTTGAGGATAAACAGTGCAAAAAGGTGAACACACTATGCTTTGTTCACTCGTAAGCTGACAGTTCAGAGGAAGCTAAGTGCTTACTTGACCAGTCATACGTCTACCTTTTGCCACGAGACCACGCTTCCGCCGTCCATACCCTTGTGCAGAGGCAGGGCCCAGTACTCTGTCCAGGAATTTTTTTCGGAAAAGGGGGGGGGGGGGGGGGGGGGTACTGAAGGCGGCTGCAATGTTTATGACTTGGGGGGTAACCGGACAAAAGCTCATTGGATAGAAGCTCACCGAATAAAAGCTCACTTTTTTTTTTTTGGCTACCCGAACGAAACATGGCCTGGGATAAAGCGTGGATGCGATCGACATTGCACCTTTTTTAGGAGAACTGGTACCACATTTCATGCAATGGTACCAACAAATAAGCAATTACAGGCACAGAAGGTTGAGCAGATAAGATCAAGCTTGGTTGACTCAAGATGTGCTGGAGTACCCCGTGCCACATCCAAGAAACTTCGTCAACCGACGTTTTTGAACCCAAGGGGTGACTTCACTTATTCACTGTGCTTATGTCACGCTAAACGAGCACATAAAGGTTAGGCACAATGTCTCTTCACTAATGCATAGGTTTTCTTGCAGTTTAAATATTTGAAGTGGATAGCTAAGAAAATGAAATTGTTTCTGTCATTGTGCATCATAAATGTATTTGAACTCATGGTGATCTTAAATGGAAAATTAAGCAAAACTGTATTATACAAACCATAAAGTTGCAAATATTTTTAAATACTTTGCAGGTACAGGAGTTGGGCCTTTTGGAGAAGTAAAAGACTAACGACCAATTTAGAAAGCTGTGCGGGATGTTGGATGGGCTGGCGTTCGTTCCACCACAGCTTGCGCTCAAAAGGCTAATCTACATCAGAGAAAAGTCTACCAGTGACACAGGCGACCTGCTGAACTACTTTGATTGCACATACGACCAAAGTTTTGCCTGGAACGGTGAAATATGTACAACGCCACTCTTCAAGATGAAGACCGAACGAACAAACCCTGCAAAGGACGAAACAATGGGTTCCCAAAAGCTTGTCAGCCACACTCATCCAAGCGTCTGGAGGCTGATTGAATGCCTACAGAAAGATCAGGTGCTTGTTGCCACGGCACTGACTAAAGCCCGGAAAGGCAAACCCCGAGTGAAGCGGGTGCGAAAAACCACTCCGTGCCTTCAGAACCGTCTGAAAAATATTTGCGAGGGGTTCCAGGTACACCGAGACCTACCGAGACTGCTGGAGGTAGTAGAGGACTGCATTCGCTTCTAACCAAACAATAAATAAACTTGTTTCCACTCTAATCAACAAACCATGTGCCTATCAGATTTATTTATCGTTCCCTTTTAGTGCCGCGCGTATGCACCAAGTTGTCCACATTCGTGGCACGCGTTAAGACACGAGTGTGTTGGGGTGCGGAGGGGGGAAGGGGGGTTTAGAATTAATGTGTATATTATAGGGTTGGTTGGATTTCGGGGGGGGGTGGGGGGGGGGGAGGGGGGGTTCAGCCCCATAAGCCTCCTCCTTGGCTACGCCAATGGCGAGGTCAGGTGATGAAAGGGAGGCAGTTAATTGGTCCCGTAAGCATGTAGCTCCCATTGCACTGCCAGCTTAGAGGTGAACGAAGTATAGCACTATGCGTCCTATTTTTCACCTGTATATCTTCAAAGCCATTGTTGGCACACCCTGAAATGCTGCAAATGTGAACTAGCCTACACCACAAGTTGTACACTGACACGATTTTGTGTGAATTTTCAGGAACACAGTGGGTCAAGGTTGTCATGACGTCACACTTTTCATTCTTCAAGCACCTTCTGTGGTGGCGTGAGGAGTTAGTGACCACCTGCTAACGTCTTTAAAAAGGTCAAGTACCAGAATCATCCTGAAGCCGAATGACAAAGTAACGGCTGGAGTCCACCACCGCTTCCACAGCAATGCCTGGGTACTTGTCGATGGGGCACTTTGCAAAGAGTTCACCTGGATAGGTACAAAAAAGAAACAATGCCACGAAAATTCACCACCTGAAGGAAGGAACACATCTCAGTGACGGAGATGAATGATGACTATGCGGGGTTGGCACATACCAGAAATTTTGTCTTCGAGCTTCAATGTGCAGTCTTTTCCTTTGGTCACCAACCGCATGCGACCAGTCCATTCTGGGGCATCCAATTTCCAGTCGGCGGCCCTGCACTCAAAGGCGGTCATCAGAGTGAATAGAAAGCGGAGTACTTATTCAATGAGTGCACAAAACCAAGTCTATGTGAATCAGTGTAAGTTTGAATAGACCGCGTAAACGTACTCAATGAGGTAACCGATTCGAAAAAAATAAAAGTGGGCTGATGCGGCCGAAGGGTTCTAATAAGACACGCGCGAAAGAATATACTATGAGGAGCACGAAGCAGCGATCCCATCTTAAATTGGGCGAGGTCTAGGGTGCGTTGTTATTGATTAAGGGTTGAGGAAACTGTTAGAAAGGATAGTAGGAGTAGGAGGCGTCGTCGGAAATTGAGTTTCCGGACAAACAGGAGGCACGGCCGTGAAACGTTTTTTTGTCAATGCCATCCTCGTCAGTTTCGCTCGCGATCTACCTTCACTCGACGCTGAAGGGCATCCCACACTACAGAATCCCACCATTCGGTCGCACACTACTCGACTTACTAGTGAGGTAAACCTGATTTGCTCCGCCAAAGCCAACAAAAATACTCCCACAACTACTCATGATCGACGGCAGTCAGCGCGACGTCCTTGTAACTATTCCGTACGGTTCGCACGAAGGGGTATTAGGACGCTAAGTAGAGAAACGATAACCTCGGACTCACCTGTAGCCTCTGTTCGTCGCCCTAGGAGGGATTTTATAAACGTAGACTTCGTTTTTAACCAGCAAAATGCTCTCGTAGTCTTCCATACTGTCGGCGATGGCAGTGACGCCTGGCGCGACTGCGGAGCGCCTTGCGGACGAAATCGGCAATGATGATGGGTGGTTGCCCGCGAGATTCGAATTATAGCGTGACAAGGTCGCCAGTGCTGCGGCAAGGCCACGGTGTGGGCAAGGCCACCACCGACGTCGGTCGGGTGTTGCGGAACGCCTTTGAGCCCCTTTTGTGTTTCCTCATTGCAAAACATGTGGTACCTGTGTTGTTTTTCAGCGACACGCGTGACGTCTGAACATTTAGTGGGAAAGGAAGAAGTAATGAAGTCACGAAGTCACACCGATTTACCTACGCTGAATGGGTGTAGGCGCCAAACGCTCTCGGAACACAACCACTCGTGCACAGCACTCATTCCGCTGGGCGTAAACTTTCATCACCCAGAACCGCGGCGGATATTTTAGAATTTTTGTTTCATTTGTACCCACGATGAGAGCATTCATGTGAAAACGACAGAGGGAAGCTTTAGTCGTCCCGCCGACGGAACGAGCTTTCTACCTCCGATAGTGCGGTTATCTCCGATAGTGCCAGCTTAACGTATCGCGCACCTCGGGCGCGCGAGCGCCGCCAAACTGGCTAAACCACGGCGAAGGCATGCCTCATGCTTTCCGCCGCGTCGTGCCGTTGGCTGCGTCACCGAGGTCGAGCGCAGCCAACGTAACGTAGCGCAGAACGTGGACCTTTGATTGGCCGGCGAGCAGAAACTCGAGGGATCCGGACATTTCGGTGTGGGTCGTTTCGGTGCTTAAGGGGTATTCACACGAGGGAGAAATCCCCGGGATTTCGCCCTCGTGTGAATACCCCTTAAGGTGCGCGGCGTGTGTGTGTAGGCCACCGTTGCTGACCGTTGTAAATGGAGCATGGGGGGGAGGGTGGGGGGCACTCTTCGGTGTGAGACTTTTCGTAGCTTTAGTGGCTTTAGGCGCCCGTTTTCGAGTTGAGCGGCGTCGGCGCCAGCGTAACCGCGCTTTGCATTATGGGACGTTTCCCATGATGACGTCACGAGGGTGAAGTTTTCCCGCTAAATTTGGCGGGAAATGTTTTCGCTAAATTTAGCGGGGAAATTGACGTCCCGTGACCTCAATACCAATTCCTCGCTAAATTTAGAAAGGAAATTTTCGCTAAATTTCCCCGTTTGAAACCGAGCGTGGCGCGCGTAATGGTGCCGACATACACTTTTGGCGCTTAGCTGTCTTATCCTGGGAAAAGTGGCGCCATTCATTATTGTGGAAAAGCTCAAGACACATGCCCACATGCCGCGTGCCACTTCTGAGAAGAACACGGCGTTTGAAATCTAGCTCAGTGCTGCGCTGTGCCGCCATGATCTTCCCAAAGGCTGCACGTGTCTCGTGCATCGACGCACCTTGCGCTACTTTTAAAACATCAAGGGGCTTTAGAAGCGCTTGAAGTCTCTTTATCTTGGGCAGTGGCGTACCAACTTGTCTTTGAGTGGGGGGTCAAACCAACCGGGGGGTGGTGCTCGTACGCGTGGTATCTCTTGGGCACCGCCGGACAGTATTCGCCCTGCCTAGTTGCGGCTGTTTCGGGGGAGGGGACATGGTGGGGGGCTCTCATTAATACAAAAATACAAATATGGAACTTTGTTCGCTAACAGTAATTTCAACAAAACGTCTTCACCGCACCATGAAAATAAAATGCAATTTATTTTATATATTTCTTTCTGTTCGTTCAGTTTTCGGTCTAAAAACAAAACTCTAAACCGACCCGCTGGCCTCGACGGTGCCCTGGAAGGCGCCGCTGTATAATTAAATTAATTAAATTAAATTAATTAAATGTATTAATGGCTAAAGGCCATTAATACATTTTTTATTTTTAAATCATGATGACAAGAGCTGAAAACCGCAGTCGCTCGAACCTGCTCGAACCCATTTCAAACAGCCGTGGGTAGAAAAAGAAAATGAAAAAGCTATTAGCGTTGTGGTTTGGGCCCAGTGTACAGAAAATATTTCAATCCTCTTAGTGTTAGTCCTAATATTAGTATTAATACTATTATTAATAGTACTAATATTAAGAATCTAAAGCAGTGGTTCTCAACCACTGATGTTTCGCAGATCCCTTGTCAATCGGCGAAAATGAAGGAGGACCCCGTTCGTGTTTAGGAAAAGGGAAAGATGGATATAAAGTAGACTTTTCTCGTTGACGTACACACCAGAAAAATCACCCAAAAATTAAAACGTTTCTTCTTAATCTAAAAAGAAAAAAAAAAAATTGGCGGGCATAATTGATGAGCTTGCAGAAAGCCAAATCGTGATTTATATCCTCCACTATGATCAAGAACGACAACTTACGTTTGATTCCATCGGAATCTAAACTTTTTTTCCCCCTCTTTACTCCATTCGTCTGCAGTCGGGGTGGGTGGGGGATGAGGGGGGGGGGGGGGGGGGGGAGGAGTTTTAACGAGGTGTATTAGATGCACATAAAATAAACCCCAATGCTGACTCTGCCCTGCCATCCTCAAATTGCTAATCCCCAAATGTCACATCCCTGCAGAAAACAAGCTATTTTATTGCAAGATATGATTTTGATTTCACTAATTCTGGGGCTGTAAAGGAGGATCCCAGACCATCCGTTAAAACCGAGGGGGGTCTGAGACCCCCCAGACTTTAGGCCCTGATTCCGGATTTCCGAAGTATTCTGACTGACGAGGCAGGTAGAATGCAACTGAAATCGAAACCAATAAACCAATATTTTTGTCCTACTCAGGTTAGCGGCTAGCTCCTTCTTTCTCTACGTCTTCCAATCCAATCCGACTGAGAAATGTTTAAAGATGGCGCCGGCCACGAAGCATACGAAGCCTCCGCCGTACGGTCATCGATTTAATATATCCAATTTGGAGCAAATACTGTAAGTTTATTCAATATTCAGTGAAATTTCGATGAAGCTAGATCTGTATTTTCGAGAATATAAGTAGTGAACTTTCTCCATAAACGTTTCAGCGAAAAAAGAATGTTGACAGAGTCGTTGGTTTCACTTGTAACTAAGCGCTCTTTTATCGTATTCTCTAGGCCGGAGTTATCTACTGCTCTGAAGGAGAAAGTGTGCATCGTTTCGTTCGTTGGGAAGACGACGTTGAAAGGTGGCAGCGTAAAGGCGAACCTTATCGATGATGTGCTCGGAAACAACGTACTCGAGGTAAGACCGTATGATGCCGAGTCGCCGACACGATGAGCACATCTTTCAGTTGTCCCGCCGCCAACACGAGCTTGCTACTTTCGCCAGTGCTTCGGCGTCACGTGAGCCTCGAGCGTGCACACGCAGCCGAAGCACGACCGAAAGCGACGAGCGCGTGCTGGAGGCATCTTAAAGTGGCGCCCTGCTGTTCTCATCCTGATAGGGGGAGAGAGGGAGGGACAGTGAGGAATTGAAATCTGAATGGGCTCTTGAATGTAGTGCACTGTAAAACCCGTGAAAATCACCGAGACGCGTACGTGATAACGAAGAAAACTTGAAGCGCAGTGCCAACCAACAGAATCAAACGTTTTGTGGTTGTATTGTCTCATGCTTGAAGGGCACCGGGCAGCTCACTGTAAATCCGGGCCGGCTTTTGAAATCTCTCGATTGAACCTCCTGCCATTCAACCTGGCAGCCGTAGGCCGACCATTAGAGCCTCAATGGTCATTTCTGTCTAATGTTTTCACAGGCAGAGCTGTTCCGCCTTAAGAATTTATCGTGCAACAAACTCTGAAGAGTTTGGAAAAAGCAAAGTTAGTATTGAAAACGTCAAGGCATTCTCAATGATATCTGAGGGAACAAAGAGTCCTTCTCAAGTCAGAATTAAGTTTGTGTGCTGTAAACGACCTGATTTTTTCCAGGGTGTTGAACCGAACCCGAACCGTGAACCGAAAACTGGAAAAGACAGTTATTTTCGCCCGAACCAGAGTTGAACCTGAGCAAAATAATTTTTTTCGCTCCGGAGCGGAACCGATATTGTTTCCATGTGGTTTTCGGTTCATACGCAAAGTCGGGTTGCGTGAAAAAGGCGTGGTGAAAAACACAGTAACCAAAAAAGTAAACCGAAAAGTAATAAAAAAAATTATTTTCGCGCTAGTTGGAGTGGAACCGGACCGTAATAATTATTCTTTCGTTGCTGGGCAAAACTGAAAAATTATTTTTGCGGTGTTTCATTCATATGTGAAGTCAAAAAGCGAGAAAAATAGGCAGCGGAAAGCCCTATAACGTTCCATTATCAGGTTTTCACATAACGGTTGTCTTCATAATTTATAAAGTTTGTCTCGAGAACTCAAACGAAATGAGCACAGTAATCATAAATTCTCCGGAATTTCTGGTCTTATGATTTCTTAAACAAATGCCTACATTCATCTCAACCTTTTCTTGGGGACCGGAAATGGCTCATCAAAGAAAATTTATCACTAGAACATACTCAAATCGTATGTCAGCAAAAGTGACCTGCTAATGAGCCTGTATCTTGGCGAAAGGGTGAGTTTGGATGGTTGGTTTTTCATCTCGGACTAAACGCAAAAAAAGAAAGAAAAACAAGGACAAAGAGAGGTATAGACAACACGCCTAGTGTTGTCTATACCTCTCTTTGTCTTTGTTTGTTTTGGCATTGTCTGAGCTCTGTTTGGTGTTTCTTGTCTTCCATTTTGTAGAGTTGTGTGCAATTTATTTCAAACGCCTCGATTTCATTGTACAACTGATCGGATAAGAAAGCGATAGAAAGGCCGATGGATATTTTAGAACCTGCACTAGTCGCCATATTGTGGCGGATCCAATCTGCTTTTAAAATAACTCGGCGGATTTAATAATCTGTCCGAAATTAAAATCTAGCATTAGGAAGGGGAGGGGGAATTCAATCAATAGTTACAGCTACAGAAAACAGCTTTGATCTCTGGTAGCAGAGACAACAAGGACCAAAACGTTTTCTCATCGGAAACACAAACATCAAGGCGCACGGCTCTTCTGAGCATTGCTAGCGAAGGAGCCGCGGCTTTCAAAGGACGCTAGCGTGTTGCCGTTTTGGGGGGAGAGAAGAGAACGCCATCCAGAACTCTACGCATTGGCGCAAGTAGCCCTGGGAGTGTCTGACGCAGGTTGGCGTGGAGCAAGCCTTTTCTGCACTGAAGTTTATTATATCGACTCGGAGGTGCCGTCTTTCTCCGGATATGCATGACGACGTCCTGCTTCTTCGGTCAGCTGCCTGATATTAAACTGCGCTTTCACCCACGTCCCGAGGTGCCCCACTAGCACGTTCGCTCCACACAGTAATGTGAGCCTTTGCATTCTATATGTAAAACTTTTATAAAATATTCATAGTTTATCTTCTGCTGTCAGTTGTTTTTATAGCATATGAGTAGGAACCGGTTTGAACCTTTATTTTTTTTTCACTCCAGAGCTGAACCGAAGCTGAACTGTTTTCCTTGAACCGGAACAAAAAAAGTTTCAGTTTGACACCCTAATTTTTTTTGACACCCTGATTTTTTCTACATCTTTATTTTCGTGAGCTTTGCGAATTGCCTTTGATTCATGAAAAATTAGTCACATGAACTCAGGCAAAATATCAACTATCAGCAGGGCCGGCATTAAGTAACGCAAAACTAGGGTACGGCCTTTTCAGTTTAAACCGATAAAAGGACGTCTAATCCGTTTTCTAAAATTCGGTTTTAACCGAAAAAGGTCCATTTTTTAGGGCTGCGTTGAGGTGGGTGGGGGAGGTGGGGGAGAGAGAGTGAGAGAGAGAGAGGGGGCTTTGCAAGGTTCGACATTGTGTGACGTCTTCGTGATTGCCCTCTTCCAAGGTTCACCATGCGACAAAAGAGGTCTTGGATTGGCCTTATTGGGACATCTGTGTCCTTTCTGTGATCGGGCTTAGTGTGTCAAGTTCGCGGTCCTAAAAAAAAAGTTTGGATATGGGTTAGTATAAGGTTTTTCGCTTCATGCACTTCAGAGGACATCGAGGAAACCCGTTAATACCTTTCTTAACACCCTCTCTCAAACTTCCTTGTGGTTAAAAACATAAATACAATGGATTTTTGTTTTTGCCATCCCGCTGGTTTTTGTACGGTCATCACCTCAGTTGGTCACGTCGTCAGAATGGGAAGGAAAAAGAAGCGCGCTGAAGATTACGCCTGCAAATTCCGCGATTTTGAGGTGTTTCCTGACGGAAGTTGTAGCGAAGACCACGTATGTATATGTGCCATTATTCTTTGAGGGATCACAAATATCACAGCTCCAAGAATCATCTGATCTGATGTTCGATGGTGTTTCTTTCATATTCACCGGAAAAAAAACCTGTAAACTTTTATAGAAACAAAAATACACTGAAAAAAAAAAGATTAACTTTAATTTAAACACCAAAAAAGTACACCAAATTAAAAAAAAGAAGTAGAAACCGAAAATGCAGAACTTTACGCAAAACTCAGGCCGCCCCCCCCCCCCCCCCCCCCCAAAAAAAAAAAGTGAAGAAAAGATGAAAAGTTAAATAGGTGCGAGAAAATTTTAATTATACATCATATCATTATATATACATACATACACATGTGGTAGTGTTCAAATGTAAGAACTACAAATATGAAAAAAAAAATATATAAAAAGTGGCGGTCACATTTTGTGAAGAAATATTTATTTGAAGGATACTGCCAGCCGACTTTTACCCAGCCAAAGCATTGAGCATTATACAATATTACGGCAGGAAATTATTACGAAATACATAAACTTACATTCTACATTCTAGCAAGAAATAATATTCGACATGATGATTATTCACTTATAATTAAAACAACTCATCAAGAGTACTAGCTAAAAATTCAAATGTAGAAATTCAAATGCAGTATGGAAGTAGGTTTATTGCCAAATGTAGCAATGCTGCATTTCCAGCCGTTCCAGTCGTAAACAGACCTCTGAAAAAAATAATATTTAAAATTGCACTTTCTGCATTGAAACTCAAGGGTTAGTTTTCTATGTTTTTGTACCTGAGATAGCCCTCGAACTTCAAGCAAATCTTACCATGTATTATGTCGCTTTGCTTTTCTGCGAGTAAATAACTGGGGTTTGGTAGCCCAGATACGGTATAGGATCACACGGACTTATCATACATTTCATAATGTCGTAAACTTTATAAATAAAATGTAGTGCCTTTTTTTTAATGCCTTCCAATTGGTCAATAAATTATTGGGAATGTGGGTCTCATAGTGTGTCTGTATATTTCAGTAAAGGACGACTTAAGACATGTCTGCCACGGCTTTCATTTCAGAAGTACAATGATGCATTGTCCTGCATTAAGGCCATAACTTTGGGATGCAATAGCTATAGTATTTTTAATATGAAGAGACCAACTCAAATTCGACGTAATGGTCACACCTAGATTCTTTTATGAAGTGTGCATTTTTAAAGGCACACAGTTGATAGCGTATGCAAACAAAAGTAGACACCTTTTCAGTGTTAATGTCATTTGCACACATTTCTTGACATTTGAATTCATTTGTTCCCATTTACACCAGGAAAATACCGAATGAAGGTTATTGCGTAGACAATTTTTGATCGGTAGAACGCGACACTTCGGAAAACAAACCACAATAGTCGGCAAAATCAGCAAAATAAACGACACTGTAATGAGGGCGTGTCAACCCGCAGATCATTAATAAACTCCAAAAAAGCAAAGAACCGGGTACCGAGCCTGGGATACTCCTGAAAGAACGGGTTATTGTACAGATTCTGCATTACCAACAGTAACATACTTTTGACGATTCGTAAGGTAGGAATCCCTTCATCGTAAAAGACAATCATGTTGTAGTAGCTGTTTAAGTTTATAGGGTAGTTTAAAAAGCAATACTTCATCAAAGCCTTTGCGTAATCTAAAAAAGAGTAGCACCTGCTTGGCCACCCTTCTCTGTAATCTAAGCGAATTCATGAATAGTGCAAATAAGTCGTGTCACTGTTGAGCATCCTTCGTCGAAATTCATACTGATCATTTAGCAAATTATAGATGATATGCACACAAACGAAAAATACCCGAACCAGTAAATTGGCTGGAGAGACAAGGTGGGCGACTGATGTGTTTACATGCCTCCTTCTTGGAGTTTGTGACATAAATTACATAATAAACTAACGTGCATAAAAAAAAAAGGAAATTTTTTTCTTTCCTTTTTTCCTCTGTTCCTAGTGTCTGTCACGGACGCATACAAACAACAACAAAACGTGTGTGTGTATATATATATATATATACGTATATATAATTTTTTTTTATTATTGGTTTGGGGATGTGCAGGGCCCCCTTTTGCGGCTGCGGGGCCCTGGTGCCTGTGCGGGGCTTGGCGCTGCCGCCCCGCTCGCCCTTCCTAATGCCGGCCCTGACCATCAGTATAAATGCACAAAAATACACATTACCCAATAGGAATGTGCATGATTGTGTGTGTTGTGTGAGTTGTATGAGTGATATATTTGAAATAAAATAAGCCATGAGTTGGGACATGTGCCTACCTCAACAACTTTATTCCATACCTTCACTGACACCTCCTGCCAAAGTGTAGCTAGGTCATATTGCATATTAAAGGAAGGGGTGCAACAATTCCCGGTCTTGGGTAAAAAATTTGTGGAAATTGCCTTCTGACACTTCTGAAGTAAAGAACAGAAAACTGATTTTGCCTGCGTGTCCAAGTTGTTGTGTACTAAAAAGAAAGATAAATGTTCACATTTCTGGCACCCCTCGACTCACTCTTGGTCTTTGGGGTCACACCTGGTTGCACTCCTAATGGCGTAATTCGTAGTGCCATGTGCCTTTTCGGAGGACGCTTTTTCTCCCTCTCTCTGCTGACATCAACGGGCGTTATGCTGCAGCTTAGAGCCGAGTGAGCTCGCGTAAGCTTCTTGCCGTAGTTCCTTCGGCTGCCATTCGCGGCTGCAGGGGGGGGAAAAAACTCGACTTTGCTTTGCGATTGTGCAGCGGAATCACAACTTTTTTTTAATGAAGGAGACGTTTTATCTATTCTCCGGGACATGATAAACAACATAAAAATGACGAGATGCAAATTTTTTTCAACTGTTAGGATCACTTTAATTTGCTAGTACAAAAGAATGCATACTATCAATTGCAGCGTTGCAATCCTGCAGATCATGCAGTCCCAGGGAAGGTGGAGATTGACTGTAGTCTGTGCAAAGGGTGTAAAGTAGCAAAGTATAAACCTAGCAAGAAGCCAACATATTCTCTTTCTTACTGTTAGAGACGGACAACTGGTAGTGCAAGAAAACATTTCATATTCAGGCAGAACTTCTTCACTTCTCTGTCTTTTACTTTTGACCACAGTGACGAATATCATAAGAAGTTTTCCCCTAAAATCACTTGCACTTGGTTACAAAATCCTACATGACTAGTGCTACAGAACCTTCATTGTTGCCTTGTAAAGCACACCAGACAAAGCTAATGTGAATGCTAACCTGCCTTTTGTCCTTCAGGTGATTAATACTTCGACGGTTGACGAAAAACCCTGTCACCCTAGAGAGGGACTTCGAGGGTTTTCGCATCTTTTTAGGGAGTTTCTGGTGTCCCCGATAATAATACCTGATTCACCACCGGCACCTTTGTGCATGCATCGTATTGTTATCAGCTATTTTTACCAGAGTACAATTCTAGGCGGGGTCAAATTTGCATACTGAGCTCATGGAAAAAAGAGTAATTTACAATAAAGCTAAACAATCTGAACAAGACAGGGACAAACAGTTGCATACACACGATCAGGACTGGTGCTCACAGCAAGGACAAAGCGCAGATAATTGAAGGCACTCATACAACCCAAGGACGGGCTGTTGTACAATGCCGGTTCCTGTTGAATGTGTGCTTTGATTTGTCCTTGTCTTGTTTGCACTCGTAACCTCTATCGCCAAATGATGAACTAACTAACCCAAATGTAAGTTTGTATTTATATAATATACAGAATTTGAAAATATTTTAGTGAACTTATTTTGAGAAGACAGCCAGCTGTTCCAACATTATTTTGAGGCCATAGCAATGTAAACTGACCAATCTTTTTATGTTTCTTATCTGCGATTTTATTTTTTTCTCACAAAGCCTGAATTGGGAGTTGATGAGGAGATTGGTGAAGACAATGTGAGTACACTTATGGTTTTATTTCAGTCGATGGACTTTTTTAGCTTTGATCAGCAGAAGCAGCAATATTTATTTGTGTTTGTCTCCAAGTTGCTTTCTAAAGCCTCTTGTTGTACACTTGCAGTTCAAAATTGAAGGCTTCTATCACCGAGAGGGTCGTGTCATCTTTCTATACTGCTTTGGTGCATTTGACTCTGCTTGCTTAGTGCAAGTCTGCAAGAGAATGGAACAGGACCTGAAAGACAAGGTGGGCCTTGATGTTTCAGTACTATCCAATGAATTGTTTGTTTTCACAGAGCCCCATCCTCAAAAACATAGAACAGGTTCATGCCAATGTGTGGAACCTTTCTCAAGCATAGCCTGTCTCCTGCCTGGTTAGTGTACATGATGGATACCTCAGGCTGAGAAAACTGTGTTAAACAAAAAGACAACATGAATGTTTGTCTTTCTCGTTTGTTTTTGGGGGATCGTTGGTTGAGTGGGCTAGTGCACACCAGCTTGGAGCACGTCAAGTGAAAGCTTGTGCTCCAGAATTCAGGGATCCTGGGTTCAATCCCCACCACTTCCCGTTTCGATCTGGATGAGCATCGTACTGACGTGCGGTCGTGTATCACAACTGGGTGATGCACACTAAAGACCCTAAGGCTAGCTAGCGGTTGTACCGCACTGGCTAAATTGCTCATCTACAGCTGAGACACCAGACGCCCACTCAGGCAGGCTAGCTTCCGTTGTATGTATGTATAAAAATAAATAAATTTTTTTTTTTTTGTGGTCTTGGGGATTTATTATGGGCCTATGTTGGCTTGTCTCTCTCTTGTTACTTGAGCTTCAAGATTGAAATAGTTTGCCAGGGTAGTTTGCATCATAACTAAAGTTCCGTGTTTTCTGTGTTTATTTTTTTGCCTTCAATATTTTTTTTGGGGGGGGGGGGAGGGGGGTATTTTTTTACAGATTCTGTGTTTTTTATGTATGTTGGTTATAGCTTAACCAATTCACACAGAAAATACAAAATTAAAAAAAAAATACCCCCCACCCCAGAAAAAAAAAAGTTGAACAAAAAAATAAACATTGAAAACATGGAATTGTAATCGTTACATAGTGAAGAATTGCTCTATACAGTGTAGACCGCATATAACGTATGTCGCGGGAACGAAAATCCGCACTATAAGCGGTACCGCGCTATAACCAAAACATCATTTTTTTTTAGGCCAAAATACATGCCATCAGACAACTTACCTTTGTAAAAGAATTTATTTTATGTTAGATGAAAAATAAAGCTTAGATTAGAAAAGCGCCAGAAAACAGGGACAACAGGAAGAATAGACGAAACAATGCGCTACTTGTCAAGTGAATTTTTTTTTTTTTTTTCTTAGCTTAGTTTGAGGAAAGTCTTTATTTCACCAGACTAGTACACTTCTCTCTCAAGTGTGTCACGCATTTTGAAAGAAATGAGCGACTTTTGCCTGGCGCAGCCTTTTAACGGCGTCGCGGGCTGCGGACGGACATTGCGAGCGTTCGGGAATGCTAATTCTAATCACTTTTCTCCGGCGATGAAAACGCGTGAAAATTCGCATCCTTTATACGGTACGCGCCAGTAATACCTTCAACTTGAGCACAGGCGCGAAATGCTCCAAATAAGAAATCCGGGCGATGGTCGAAAACACAAATGTTTAGAAAGCACCACTGTAGTCGATGTAAACAAACACGACGACACGGGCGTTTCTGCCGTCTTGAGAGTGCCGCCACAACATCGCCGCACGAGTAGGTGGATCTTCCCTTCTAGTACGTGCTGGGTTATCATCGCGACACACAACGAAAATTCACAGTCAAGGATAGCGCTTTTACGTGGAATGATGAGCTTCCACCACGCCACGACCAACTCTATAATGGGTTGGTCGTGCACCACGCCGTCTACGTCGACGATCACAACCGACGCCATGTTCGCGGATAGAAGCAGCCGGCCCGCGACCGGCATGCAACGCGTGCGAACACTTCTCCTCAACCTGCGATTGGTCTGTCGTTGCGGTTGTTTCCAACACAGTAGAGGGACGCACGCACGCACGCACGTGAACGACACATGCATGCGTCCCTCCGTCGCTATGGCAACTGAAGCCTCCCTTTCTCCCCGCTTCTTCGAGCAACCTCCTTGCCCCACGAGTGCCGCTCGCGGCTAGCGCCGTTATCTAGTGTCGGCGCGGTCGGCGGGCTGTTCGAGAAACCGCACTATAATCGGTATTTCCCTTCGCGCGCCTGCATTTTAAGCGGTATGTAATTACATGGAGTTCTATGGGAGGCGAACCGGTGGTTTAAGAAAGCCGCGTTATACCCGGTCCTGCACTATAAGCGGTTATGTTCTAAGTGGTCTATACTGTATAGAGAAAAAAGTAAATGCTTCCACCACAATGTTTCCCATATAAACATGTGATGCATTCTGAGCTTTTCGGAATTGCACCAGATTTATTTGGAAAGGGAAAGAGGATCTTTATAAAAAGAAAATGTTCCATGTTCCTGACTGCGAGATTAGTGGGGAATTGAAAGAGAATGGAAAAGGGTCGGCTTTTAAGTTGTCATTTTAATCTCCTAACGATGGTATGCTTGACAAAGTCGTTTACGCTCTTGCTGTTTTTTTCTGTGGACCATTTTTCAGAGCTTCCTCGATGTCTGGAGTGATCTTCACTGCACAGTAGCACAGTCTCTGCTGTTTCTGTTCCATGTGTCCCACCTTGTACTGGTATGTGTGTTTCCATGAGAGGATTTCAATTGCACGTTTCAGGAATCGGGCAAGCAAACACTGAGGCCTTGACAGCTTTAGTATCTGTAATGTCTTTTACCTTGACAGCTTTAGTATCTGTGATGTCTTTTACGGGCTGGTTTCTAAATCTAGAACGTCACGAAGAGTTGTAACGAAATGATTTGCTAAGGGGACCTGATATCATTTTACACTTTTCCCAGGTTGTCCATCCGACCGCAACATTGGACGTCAGTTATGTGCACCTGTTTCGGACACTGGACAACATCAGGTAATGAAAAGGGGCCCTCTGGCTGCTCTAGATTTTGAGGTGCTGTAGATAAACTCTACAACTGTTACCAACTGGCCCAAATCACCACCCTACTTCAAACTCTACATGCCTCTTTGCTCACCTAGCTATTTATATAACCTTCTGCATGAAAGTATATGACTTACAAACTTGCAGCATGCAAAGAAGTGCTAAAAACTCTCATTGTTTGGTCAAAGACATTATTAGGGGTGTGTCATTCAATGCCTCTAGTAGTTCATAGCATAAAACACTGAAAGATTTGCCAGAACAGAACTACAGTTAAAGTCAATGTTAATGCATAGCTCCAAACTTGCGGCAAACACTGTTTGCGAGGTGATCCCGAAAGCTGCCAAGCGCAAGAAGCGATGGAAGAAGAAGGGCATCCGACCGCCATTCTCACACAGTCACGATCCAGTCCAGCATCAGTTCCAGTGACATTCACCCCTTTCCTTTTAAGGGGACACACCCCCTGGGAGGGTCAACTTTTGAACCCTTCTCTTAAAAGTAATGAAATTTACATGGTAGGCTGGTGGTCATGCTAGCGGGTGCATAAAATTTCAGGTGTGTCGGTTAAGTGGGAATGAAATTAGAGCAGCTTCTATCAGCGACACGCCCACATTGTTTAGTTAATCTATCGTCAGAAAACTATCACAATATTCAAGATATTTATTCGCTAGGTATGTAGCAGAATGCCTAGGAGGTGTGGCTATGCAAAGGTTTTTGTAAAAAGTTATTTATTTCTATCAATTTTCTCTTCTGCAAAATTGGTCAACTTTTTGGTCTTCTGTGTCTTCGACACAATGTCAGCATTTTTAGGGCGAAGCTCCTTAGGGTCTAGCCTTGTCCGTCCGGCGCCCGTGCTCACATCGATTGCCATCCCATTTGTCTTCTTAAAAAATAAAAAATGTTTGCGCAGTCGACAGGACCCGAACCTGTGCGGGGAGACCCCAATGGATTTCTAGTCCATCGCCTTAACCACTCGGCCACGACTGCGGACCGAGTAGGGGGCTCTGAGATGTGGTAGTAACTCAAGAGCTGGGGATGTCAGGGATGAAACGTTGCATGCAGCCGCTCAACGTTTATACAGGAGAGGGCGCTGCGGTCAAATGCGTATATAATCGCGTTAAACTTTGCATGCATTGGCTCAACGTTTATAGACGAGAGGGCGCTGCGGTCAAATGCTCAAATGCATTTATAACCCTGTTCCATACCACGCATTCTCTTTCTGACATTGATGAAAACAAAGGAAAAGCTCGGCATGCTGCGGCTCAGTGTATCGACACCACCAGAGCTTCACCCCAATCAACATCATTCACCATGTGGAGATGTGGTCATTTTTTTCAGAAAAGACGTCCGTTTTCAGAAAAGACATGCATTGCCACTATCAAATGATACATTGACTAAAATGGAATTTATACCAAAAAGTGGAACGGAGAAAAATGCATTCAAAGTGCTCCAAACCCTACCTTTTCTTTAGCTTCGGTGGACAGAAAATAATTTATAAAGAATTAACTATGCAGTGCAAACTAATGAAAAGTTCTGGGAATACTCTCTAGATGTTGGTGGATGTAAATACTGTAAACGACTTAATTTTCGCGTGGACCTAATTTTTGAAAATTTCGCGAATCGCCTACAATTTGCGAAAAATATGTCCAGCAAACAATTCGGGCAATACGTGAACGCTACGAAAGCTACACTCGATTCGCAAAAATTAGAACCCGGGAATAATTTCAAATTTTCAGCTTTGGCTCGATTCGCGAAAATTTGAACCCGCGAAAATTAAGTCGTTTACAGTATGCCATTTTTCAAAATCAACATTTTTTGCAGAATTTTTTTTCTGGCCAGTGTCGCCCCTTAACACGGCTCTGGATGCCGTTCAAAAACTTGTCCCTGGGAAGAGACTTCCTTTTGAAGATAACGAATGGTGGTAGCCTATACTGCCATCTATCATCGTTGATAGCATCATGGTGCACCTTTGTTTTTCAGTGCGTGTTGTCTCGACGTTCAAACTCTGTGGCCGCTTCTCTTGCACCAATAACTTGGCATATAGAAATTGGTGAGGTTCGGTCTGCATTGCCAATCTGGAAGGAGGATCAGGTTTTTTGTCATCACAAATTCTTATAAGAAAGTTGTGAAAGTTGGTTTGACTGTATTTCATTTCTAGGTAATGATTCAGATAAATATTTTTATTTGCTCCCAAAATAAAATCGAGTTTGGACACCGGGGAAAAAAAAAAAAAAACTGCTGCAAAGCAGCACGACAAAGCCTGTGGCATTACAAGCTTGTTTAATTTTACTTCTAGTCCAGAAATGACGAAAAGAGGTTTGTCGTAATAAATGAATAAATAAATTCCTTTCAAGATTAATACAGTCAAACCCATTTATAACGAACAGCAGGAAACGCTACGATAAGTTCGATATAGCAAGTAATTCGATATAGCAAAAACCATTTACAACGAACTTCCACGATACGTTCGTTGTAAGGTGAGAGCTTCTCTTCTTTTCTCATCTCTTCGCTTCCACCTTGTAACAACGCGCTAAAAAGCTTTTTTTTTTTGCCTGCGTTTAGGGTTTGTTTTTTTAGCTTATTTTCCCTTCTGAACCGCTTCTTTTCGTGGACAACGGTTTTGGGATGAAACATTTCTTTTTCTTTGCGTGTGTGCAGTGTCTTTTTTAGCTTTTTCCCCTTCTGAATCACTTCTCTTCACTCAATTGTGTTTGCAATTTGATCTTTTGCAACTTACTTTCTTTCCAATTTTTTTTGGGGGGAGGAGGGGGAAGGGACGGGCTAGAAGACGATTGTTTGCGCGTTTTTGGAAGCCTTGCTTAGGGGAAATAGTTCGATATAGCCAATATGTTGTCCGTTATCACAAGTACTTCTTACGTGCATTTTTATTTAAATTTTTCGTGAGTTCGATATTGACAATAATTCGCTATACGTGGGTTCGTTTTAAACGGGTTTCACTGTAGTCGTCAGCTTTTCTTTTTGTTTACGGTGAAACCAGTTTTAATTCCCCTCCCCTCGCCTGCGTAAGCCTAGCCCCCTACTATTAGGGTGTACGCACGGGCATTCACCCTCCCAGTTTCTTTTCAACACGCCCCCTAATATTTTAATGATCGTACGGGTGAATATGCGATATGCAAAGGTTGATGAATACTATGCCTCCACGTTCGCAGGCAGAAGTGTCTCCAGTCCATCACAGATGCCCTTAAGGCCCTTCCGGTGTCTTCGGAGTGGGTGCAGAATGGCCGGCCCTGCTCGCCGAGGGTCCTGTTTGTGTTCCTCAGCTGCCCCTTGGAAGGCACCAGCTCGGAGCTTCTCGAGGTGCGGGTCAAGACCAAGCCATCGGTAGGAGAATGCACAGTGTTGTTGTGAAGCCTCGTAGCGACAACATATGTTATTTATTTTCGTTTCATCCGATTGACTTTGGGACGAGGGAGGTGCCTCGACCTAGAAATGCTACAGTTCCTTACTGCTCAGCTCTAGGGGTGGGGGGTTCAAATTGCATCTATCGAAGCATTGACATCTAGGGGACTACCTAGTAGAAATCCAGAAGTTCTAAAATCTGTAAAGGGAAATGTTTTGTTTGTGCATGCTGAGGTCAGTAAGAATTGGAAATGACTTTGCTGTAGTTACTTTTCGTTGCACCCGACCTGTGAAATTGAAGTGCAAATTTGAAAGCTCCTTTTGGGCTTTTGCCAGTTAAACTCTTGTTTTTGTAGCTTGGTCGTTCCACAACGGTCTGTGAGCAGCAATAGCATTGTGTGAAATTTATAGCACTGCTAAATCTGAGGGTAAATAAAAGTTTGAGTTTGTGAACCTGCATTTTGATTAATAAGCCCAAGCGTGAGTCAGCACTTATGAATGAGATCTGGCCTATAGGGATGTTCCACCCATCATGCCATAGGCTGAGAAGTTTGCCGATGTAAGATATTTGTAATTGTTGCTCCAATTTCAACTGAGATGGATATGAATATAAAGAGTTTTATAAAGTGGTCTTTATAAAGAGGGCAAATATTGGATCTGAACAGGCTTTTCAATGGCTGTCACGCATCATTCGAGGATACATAGTGTTCTTTCTTTTTTGTTTGTTTTTTACAGCCAGTGTTATGAATCTCCCCCCCCCCCCTCCCCCCCCCCCCCCCCATTGTTTCTGGCTTTACTCTTTGCATCAATATGGGCATCAAATAGCAATGGTTTTCAATGTATATGAAAGATACACCTTTTCTAAGAGCTTTGCTTTTTCTAGGATGGAAAGAAAAGAAAGTGGGGAAGTCATGCTGCTCGAGCCTTTGAAACTATTTTATTTATTTTCAATGTCTTTTTATACTTTCTTTTTTGTATTCCTTCTTACAATTTCCTTTGTTTCACTTCGCCACTTTTATGTTTGTAAATGTATGCTTTACGGATTTGTTTTAATGATCTGATAGTTAGGTGGAGGTGAAGTGATGGTTAAGCAGGCTTTCTGCTGGGCCCTTAGCATGTTCCATTAAAGCAGGGGTTTTCAAACTCTGTTCCCAGAGTACCCTCATGGGTTCCTCAAGCTGAGCTCCCAAATTTTCTCAACTGTCCCTGCCCCCAAGTAAAGCTTTTCCAGATTAAGCACCATCATAGCAGATCTGAGCCATCCATTGATGCATATAACTATGAGCCAAACAGCCCCCAGTATGTGTGCATTATTGTTTACAAGCTTTGTGGGCTTCTCAGTGATGTGATTGCTGCGCCAATTGCGCCAAGCTGCGCCAAGGGGCTAACCCTGCTACATCCTGCTACATTTCGCCAAAATATGGGTAATCTGCGCCAAGCCTGCGCCAAAGGACTAATTTTGGTCGCCTTTGAAAACCGAAACAAAACTGAGTACCGTAATTGAGCACACATGAGCTAGGTGGCGCAAGCGGCCGCCCGACATAAAGTACCCTGCATCAATCGTTCATCCGGTCTTGGATGGTTTTCCCCGCTATCTCTCGTCTCGCGTCTTTTTAAAATTTTCTCAACGATAGACGCGGGCGTATGCGGACGCTACGACGCTAGCATATTGGGCACCAGCCATGCCGTCATGCTGTGAAACGAAACCATGTTTTTGCGCGGCGGGAGGTACTTTATGAGCTGAAATACTTCCTCCTAAAAGCAACGGCCGTGGCCTAACTATATTTGGTCCCTGCCTGCCAGTCACCGTGGTCGCGCGACGTCGTGTGTTGCCATCTCACGTCGCTGCAGACATGGCGCTTTCTAAACTGAAACGTAAGGACTGCCAGTTCATCAACATCCCTTTTTTTGTTTAATACGCTACTACAAAAATCTCTTTAGCTGAAAAACTGCTGTGTCGAAGTATTGATTACCTAGGTTTCTCTTGGTAGGCTTTCTTTCGAGACGGACCCCGGTACGTGAAAAATCTGCCGCGAAAGGAAGTTGGTCAAGAGAAGTGAGCTAAAGCAAAGAAGGCAATGTCTGCACACTGAACCCGCACAACGAGCTTATTTGCCTCGAGTTCAGTCATTGCACAAAGCGCTCCAAGCACTTTTTGACCCTGGCTCGCGATGTCTTGCATCGATGCGCTGAGGGTCTTTTTTCTCCTGTGCTTAGCCTGTACCTCGATCGCCTGCCGACCTGGCAAGCACGTACGTGCCGCTGGATTGTTTTTTGTCTAATGCTCGACAGTTACATTTTGCATACAATTTCGGTAACCAGTTGGCGACGGAGCGGTTTCGATCAAACAGCCATCTCCGCTCGCGCGATAATTTCGCATTGCACGGCAGTAGTTATGTTACTGTGATATTTACTACTAAGCTGGTCATTTTCAAATAAATTTTAATATGTGGAGTTTGGTTTTTATTTACTGAAGCATTGCAAAATGTGTAATGTCATTGGCATTTCAGTTACATGTTAAAAGACTTCGAGGTGGTCTAACTTGATATAATTGGTTTATTGCGGTGAGCAATCTGACCTTCGCTTGTCCACCACTTGAAATAAATATTCTTATTTTTCTAGGAATATCTGCTCCAAAAGCCACTTTTGCTGCCCCGAAACACTGTTTTAGCTGCTCCAAAACACTGTTTTGGCTGCTCCAAAGGCCACTTTTGCTGCTCCAAAACACTGTTTTGGCTGCTCCAAAAGGTGCTCCAAGTCGGTTTAGGCCAATCACATCACTGGCTTCTGCGCTGCCTTACCAGATTGATGCGGGTATCAGGAGGGATTCCTCAAAATCAAGAAGTTTGAGAATCCCTGCACTGAAGGATGAGCAAGATGGGGTCTGTCCTTCCTCATATTATTGTGTGTGGGCTGCTCTTGTGTTTCTTTTCCAGAAACTCTCCCCCATCAAGAAATTGGAGCACTCATTAGAGGACCAGGTGTACAGAATACTTCGGAAGAGCAGAGTCATCACAAACATCAGGTGAAACCTTCACTATAGATTGTGCAGAGCCATGACTACATCAGCATGCTGCTAGTTCATTTACAGAAACACCATTCAAAATTTCTGTGGCGTTTACCAGATAACTGCCAAAAGTAGTTGAGCTTTTACATGTTTTTTATTGCTACAATGTTTCCACAAAACTATTTACTGTAATAACCCGAATGTATATGCAAGGTTTCACAGAATATAGTGTCCCAAATAACTTGCACCAAACTTTAAAAAAAATTATGCACTTTGTGGGAGTGATATCAAGTGTACATTGTTAAGAAGCGTCATACAGAAGTGCACAAATTTTTCTTAGTGCACCCAGTTATTTCATTAAGGCTCATTACCTCGCTGTTTAATTATTTGGTGAAGAGCCGAAGTGCAAATTGGAGAGTTGTAGAGCGCATTAGGAAATACCCAAATAAGGTGTCTTCTACATGATGCAATTTGCGCACTTTATACTTTAGCCTAGAAAGAAAGCTCGCGAAATATAAAAAACGACCACATGACAACGCACTCGCATGTCGTGCCTTCGGAAGCGCTGTGTGGATGCTTGTTCTCGTAGCGGGACTTACCTAAGCCTAGCGTCCCAGATCAACTATTTTCATTGATCTGGCTTGATTTCTCTCTTTGCTTGTGTTGGTGCTGAATAAAGATGTGGGCTCCCGTAAAAGCGGCCCCACCGCCCTGTGAACTGTGCAACCATCGTGATAGTGACCACGGTTTCAATACCGGGAAGGTACTTACACAGGTAAGCATTTGCGAGCTATTCAGTTGGAGGCAATCAGGCGTTCAGCTCGCATCGAGTTTGTCTAGGTATGCTCCCGTCATTTTGCCTCGAAAGGCAAGTAGCTCTTAAATATTGCAGTGCACCTGGCCCACCAAAGCGAATATTTTTACGTCCCGTTTTAATTGTGCGTCATGATGCTCACCCACCTTGCTCGCGGATGCACTGTGAAAAAAAATAACAAGAGCAATGAAGCTGGAAGGACCGCATATTTATTTTGTTGATTGTTTTTAGTCGTTTCGGTCGCTTAATAACGCACATCGATATATGCTGACATACGCATGTAGTGGACTGTGGCTCGTGCGTGATGGAACGCTAGAACTTTATGGTCGCGTCGTTCGAGTGTTGCAGACGTTTTAAGACGGAGGCAGAATAGCAGACGGACGTAGCCGAAAACGGTCGCCGACGCGCGGCTTTCATGTCTGCGTTTCACGGGCAATGCATACGGTGCTGGAGGATGTTGCATGTCTGCTCGCGTAACTCGCAGGTGGTCTTAGACTTCCAGACTAGACGGACCAGGTGTCGCAAAAGGGAGACACTACGCTTTTTAGCGTGTTCGGTCGAGCAGCCGAGCCAGTGCAGTAATAAGGGGCGGGGCTTAGAGCGGGCCATGACCTCCACCTAAATTGCGCCCAAAATGTTTTTTTTTCTTTTCGTGGAGACATTTAAGAAAAAAATATGTGTCCCATCTAAGCCCTTTAAAAAAACTTTTTTCTTGCATTGCCCCGTTTAAACAGTAGATTAAAAAGTTAGCTAATTAGGCCTAATTAAATAACTAGGTGCACAAAGAAAAATTTGTGCATTTTCGTAGGACACGTGATTACAACATACTGTTGGTTTCACTCCTGCAAAAAGCTTCCGTCTTTCCTTTTTCTTTGTGTTTGATGCAAGTATTTTGGGATACCCTGTATATAAAATTTCAAGGTAGTACATTTTTTTTTTCTTCTGAGAGCAGCCTTTTTTCCCACGCACAGTGATGCGCCTAAGGGAACTGGCAGAGCAGGGTACCCTTGCAGGCTGATTCGCTTAGTTATGCCCACTTGCATCAAATGAGGAGGCCGATAATTTTTTCAAATAATTGTTGGCCAAGTTGGAAGCTTGGCAGTTACCTGAACTCATTCAGCCTTTCGCGTGTATTTTTTACAGTGGAAATTCCCTGTTTGCTGTGCCCGCCAACCAGGAATTTGTGTATGTGAGGACGACCTCCTCCATCCGCGAAGACACAGTTGACTTCTTCCTGCAGAAACTAAGAACTTTCTGCTCCCCCGATTACTACGAGTCTCTCTCAGGTTTGTAGACTCAACATTGTTTGATCATCTGCTGGCTAATTTTCCGGTAGATGTTGCAGAACAGATGTCAGTATCGCCCTCCAAGAGCACAGAACCAGGTCCCAGCAATATGTCACCTGCTACTGCTTGCATTAGAACTCATAATACTATATATTTATACTCTTTATCATTTAAAAAAAAAAGTGAGTCTTGGGCATTGCTCATACTGTGTGCAAAAAAGTTTTTGGAAGGTCTGGTTGTCAAAAAAAAGGTGATGATTTTTGTTATTGAAAGGCATGTTTCGATAAAATAACAAATGACTGGTCTTACGTGCACATACAGTATTTTAATGTAATATATGAAGAGGGAATTAGTAATGCTCTGCAAGCGCCAGTCTTTTTTTTACTATGCTTCTTGAGGGGAAAATGGTATATAGTAGAACAGTGGTTCTCAACCACTGACGTTTCGCGGACCCCTTTTGGATAGGCGGAGATGATGGAAGACCCCGTTCATGGTGAGGGGAAGGGAAACGTATAGGTCAATTATGATGGTGACTTAAAAAGTGAAAAAAATTAAGGGCTAGGATGAAGTAGACTTCTCTCATTGCCATACACACGACAAAACTCGCCCAAAAATTAGAATGTTTCCTCTCAATCTAAAAAAAAACTTTGTTGGGCTTGACTGACTAGGCAGGACTTTGCGAACCCCTACAATGCCTTCGCAGACCGGTCTGCAGACCTCCATTTGAGGACCACTGTAGTAGAAGATGTACTAACAGTTTTACATAATCTATATTTTTTATTTTTCGTCCATGCTAGCTTTCTCGAAGATTGTTTCAACATTGCTTTAGAACTTGTTTGGGGTATTTATGCTTGCCAAGGAGCAATGGTACCAAAAATGGCCAACTGCACAAAGACTAAAAGCACATAAAAAATGCTCGGATTGACGTCAAATTTCTCCCGGAGGTTCCTGTAAACAAAGTAAATTATTGGCTTTGCAAAGAAAATTTGGTACATTTTGGTCTGGGTGGGAATTGAATCAGGGCCTCCGGGGTTTGAGATGAGCACGCTTCCCCGACGCCGCGGCGGCTCCACGGTTCTGGCTGACTAAAGCTGTACCTAGTGCATGCGTCATTGCGCACATCACGTTGCAGGCAAACATCAATGGAGAAGTTTTTACCACAGGGACTATATCTATAATTAGGGTTAAAATGTATCAAAATGAGCTGTTGGGCTAGTTGGTTTTGCATAATTTCAATTTAGCGCAGAGACAACACAGGAAGAAGACAGAAATTGGAAAGAACGCTTTAGCTTTTCTATTTTTTTATTGTGTTGTCTTTACGCTACATTGTAACTTTAATTACGGTTCTATACTTTCGGATAAATCCGAAAAACTCCAGAAAACACCTGCCGGTAAACTTTTGGCCGATTTGGATTATCCGATAAACTCAAAATTTTAATGTGCCCCCCCCCCCCCCCCCCCCAAAAAAAAAAAGAATAATGAAGACGGTATTTTACGATTAAGTTTGATCTCAGCGCACAGGGTCAATGGTCCCGGGAAAATGGTACCACAGTTGTCTTTCAATTCTCGGATCATTGACAAACGGGTTCTTACCGCTTATCTCGTCAAGGTTCAGGACGAGATGTCATTGTACTTTCGGGTCACGACAAAAGCCTCTTTATTGGTTTTCAATTTGGCTCATACTATTTGTGTTTTAAGAGGAAAGGGAGGTTGTGTTTTACAGCGGAGCTGTTAAGGGCTAGTTTCCCCAGTTTCGTGTCAGTGGACAAATAAATCTCGACACAACCCTCTGGACAGCTACCGCCATCTATGAACAATGGTGGGGTCCAGTAGTTAATTTTTAAGGTATTGACGTTTATGGAAGCCACACGTGTGTGCAACTTTTGCCGTGGGGCAAATTAGTATTGCCAATGGCAATGGCACCAACACCAAATTCACGAAAAAACGGTTGAAGTGCAGGCAAGCTGGTGTAAGTTATACATGATGATTGAAACCTGAGACTGTGGTTTGAGAAACGGAAACTCGTGAAGGAGGAAGAAAAAGGGACAGACAAACATCTCAGACTTGGCTAAAAGCTTTATTGCCCCTACACCTTATAGAAACTTGTGAAGGAGGAACGAGTTTCTGTTTTTCAAACCACAGTTTCAAGTTTCAATCACCAAATCCAGCTGAAGAAATATTAATTGGTATGAGCGCGTTTTATTTTTCTTTAGCATACGTTTACACCCGGGTAATATTTAATTATTTTTCATAGGAAACACTGCGAAATTAAGCTCTGAATTCTCAGATTTTGGAATCAAAGAAAAATAAGTTCCTATAAACTGAATTTTCGGAAAAGAATAAACTTCGATAAACACCCTCGAATTCGACGAAAAATAAACTCCAAAAACACGGAATCCTACCATTAATGCTTTTGCATTCCCACATGTAAGCTGTCTTAAGTGTCTCTGACGAATTTTTTATTTGTACCTGACATATGAGAGCCTAATTAACCAAAGCACAACTTGCAGCTCGACAAAGCTCGAAGTTTGTTTTCTTTCCACCTGAAAACCGCCGATCAAGAACTGCCCAGTTTGAGTCGCGCTCACTTTCTTCTCCTTGGTCACGTGCCATTTTCTATGGTTTAGACACGCACACCCAATATTAGCAGTCGTGGGTCATCAAAGGCGCACACTCAAAATTAAGAATAGAAAAAAATATGAAACCAATTTTTTGTGGCTTCTAAAAAAATGAGAAAAAAAAACAAAAAAACGATGTTGCAGAGAGAACTGGGAGCACCTTGTGCATTCTCTGCGTAATTCTCAACATTGTGTCATATCGCGGGAGTCACGGGTTGGACGGCTGAACGAAGCGGACTAAGCGATGGTGGCAGGCGACGGGCGTAGGACCTCTACTTCAGAATTGTTGTTTGTGGTACCGGCGATTCTGTCTTTGAAAGAGGAGTTGTTTACCAGTTAAAACAATTAGGATTTATTCCGTATGACACGCCTTACCACCAAGCTGATTGGCCCGAAGGCGTCGCCAAGTTGTCGCCCCTTCTCCTGGCTGAAGACATCGCTCGTCTTACGAACACGAATTGGTAAGAGCTTGAACAACGCGAAACGTCAAGGACAAGGTGTTCGACTTTTGCGTTTTTCGTGGGATGTGCGACGTGTACGTTTTTCGTCTGCTTCACACAACCAAAAAAACCAAGGAAAAAAAAAAAAAATGAAAACACGGTTGGGTGCAGCCACGTGACTTCCGGCAACTCTCTCCTCTATATTTCTTCATCCTCCCCAGTTCAGTTTCGGTTTTGGCTTTGAGTCGTTGTGGTCTTCTGACACCTCACTGACTTGCAAAAAAATAAAAATAAATTTTGGGGTGTTTGAGCATCCCTTCAAGCCAGTTTTGCAACTCGTCTGTGACAAACTCTCACAATATTTTAACTACTTTCTGTGTGTGTTTTTCTTTTATTCATAGGTTTTTCAAAAGCTAATTAGTCTTCATTAACAGCTTTGTATAGTAAAACCAGTTTTTCCAAGAAACATGTGTCCTTATCGTATCAGCACCTCATGAATCATCTTAACTTATCTTCACTATGGGAGAATTCATATGTATAAGTTAACTAGGCAACTGAATCTTGCATATTACTAACCCTTCATTAAGGATGGCAACAATAAACATGCAAAGAAGGCAAAGTAAAACAAAAATCAAGACTTAAAAAGAAATTAAATAAATCTGATTTATTTGATTTAAATCAGATCAGTTTGATGTAAATTACCGGAGCTAGAAATTAGTGCCTCTTTATTACTTCACATATTTTTAAACATGGCAGATTGATTGATCAAACCTTCCAATCACTGATATCAATGTGGAAGATGGAATTACTGCAAGTTTAAAGTATAGTTTAACAGTTCTATTAAAGTAACCCCAGCCATACAGTAACAAAAACAGCTTGATTTTATTTTTAGATAGCTATAATGCTCTATTTACTTCCTGTGTGTTATGACTTGCTTGCTATAAAACATTACTTACTTACTTTGTGTTATGATTCGCTTGCAATAAGACATTACTTCTGTTTCGTGTTTCTTTCTTTAACATTCTTATTTGCTTACAATAGGACATTATATAACTGACCAAGTGGAGTGTAGAAAGGAAGCTCAATGACTAGATTTGCTCAGAAAGGCAGTGCTTTTTGCTCGTGTTCAGCCTGATGCCAATCTTTCTTGCTTGATGATTATTGGATTTCGTTACAAGACAAATGCACATAGAAGATAGACAAAGAATAAATAAACACTATTCTTTAAATTATTTTTGAGGGTTTGATTTAAATCATCGTATTAAAACGGGTCTGATTGAAATAACCATTTAAATCATGATTCAAATCATCTTGATTTTTTTTTCTCCACCTCGATATATAAGGACATGATTCCAGCGTAGTTTCTGTGAAAATGCCTATGATAGCCTATGGCATTTTCCTCCTTTTTATTTTCCGAGACTTTTGCTTCATTTTAACCTCCTGATAAGAGTGCATTAGTGAATTTTATGTTGCAGAGGGCTTTCTTTCCCTGTCCTTGGACCCAGCACAGAGTGAGACCCCCTCGCACGAGCACACCTTCTCGTCCTTCCTGTGGCAGCACATTGAACTCGCTCTGTCCAAAGGCTTCGATGACAACGTTGGAAGGCATCCAATCCCTGCAGACTTTGAGGTGGGGATTAGGCTGCCTTTCCTGATTTTGTAGAAGTAAGGTTTATATGACAAACTACTTCATTTCATTGTACAATTGATGTAGAGAACATTGGGCTTGTGAAAGCGGCATTTTGGTTAGTTCTAGATTCCTTTAAATAATCTGCATAATACTTGTAACAAAAAAAAAAAAGTTTTTTCTAGATTTTTAGGATTGACGATTAGTCTATTCATGTCAACTACCTATCCCACATATTTTTCGTAAAGTGTAAGACTTCAACCTTGGTTTTACGGTTTTACAAATAGGTATAGAAATTGCATGAAAAATAGCTTCATGCAGTTGCTTTGCCATGTTTCCCAAGAAAAGTGCCGCAGTGTCAGGCACGTGTGCATAACTGCTAAACATTGCAAACATTAGAAGTGCTTCGTGTTTGTAGGAATGGGGGGGGGGGGGGGGGGGGGGGGGGGAGTGTGGTCGACCTGATATTTTAGAAACTATTTTTACTCCCTTTCAGGTGCAGCTCCAAAATATGTGCTTACTTGCCTACTTTATTGCATTTTTGTTTTGTTGTCCCATTGGACATTTAGTGAAGCCAAAAATTGTGATGGTTGATTGAAATATCTTCATCTGTTAACCCATCACAAGTATGTAATCCCAGTAAATAACCCCTTCTCCAGGGATTATTTTCGTCAAACCTGTTTTGTCTTCTCTAAAAAAAAAAAAAAAAAAAAATCTTTATAATATTTAGTGGTATAGCCCACCGCTGTTTTCTGTGCAATTTCTGTGCAAATTGTATTGCCAAGGTTCATGGGATTTGTGCAATGGAATATGTAACCTTGCTGCACAAATCAGCTTGCAATGATTGCAATTGGTTCTTTGATTACTTAGAGAAGAAGTGAATCAGCAAAGTTTTCAAATACTGTAAAAGACTTAATTTCTGCAAGAACCTAACTTTCACAAATTTTACGACTGAAGATATCTAAAAAAATCAGTCACATGAATATATTACCCTGTGGTAACGAGTGCCTATCTTGAAGCATGCCACTGTGAAACTTTGTGCCCTCGAAATATTCCCGAAACTCACACTTTGCAAACTCAGCGAAATATTGAGCCTGCGAAAATGAGGTTGTCTACAATATTATGATCTTTGTAGTGCTGTCTTGGGCGGCTTATGTAGGCATTAGCGGGTGAGAATCTAAGGTCGAGCATTTCTTTTAAGGCTGTACATTGAAAGTTACAAGGGTCGGCTATCTTTTGGCCTTTGTTTTACTTTACTACCAAACTTTTAAAGCCATGTTAATACTCATGTTAGCAGGTTAGCAGTGCCTTTATAGGCTGTTTTCAGGCAACTGAAAGCCTCGATTAAAGTTTCCTGCCATATTCATTGCATATTATCCTGTGTACTGCATAACAGATTTTCTTTGTTGTTTACCTACTTCATCTGCAGCTTCCCACAGTGTCTGTCTGGTTCAAGGTCGCAGCTAAACTGAGAGATCTCATCTTGTTCAATGATAGCAAGTCCTCTGTGGCATCCTCTCTCAAGGCTGCACTTGACGTCGACATCAGGTTTTCCGAAGGGTGGGTGAACACAGTTGTGACCGACAATTCCGTTTGCAGCGGTCCGCATAAATTTTTTTATCTCTTTGATCATACAATAATTTCAGACTTTGACAATGATCAAGGTGTCAAAAATATATCAGATAGCTTTATTCTTGTTTCACTCAGTTCATTTACTACTGCTCGCACTCTTGACATTCGCTTCTGTTGAGCCAGCTTTCCCAAGTCGCAGCTATGCCATGTCATGAAACAAACACCTTGACATGTTTTAAGACCATCCTTTTAGCTGTGTCTACACTGTCTGACACGCTGGCATTCCATGCATTCCTCAGAAACGGCCTCGTGGTCAGTGTGGGGTTACAATAAATTGCTTCCCCCAGACCCTTTTTGACATAGAGGTGCATTTGCATACAGATGTAACTTACGGGGGAGGTTTCACAGTGAACAGCACGGAAAACTGATGATAGAGTATTGTTTGTTTATTTGCATTGGTATTGATTGCTACAGTCAATTTATTGTTGAGTTTGTCACAATAGCGGCTGCCTAGACCAGTGGTCTCAAAATCATTTGAGCGTGGGGACCAGATGGCCGACACTGGGAAGGCTGAGTGCCAGCGTTAGACAAGGGGGGGGGGGGGGGAATAAAAGAAAGATTTAGAAGAGAAGAGACCTCGTGCTCCATGGTTTTTCTAAACTCAGTTTTGCCAGTGACATTTTTAGATTTGATTTCTTTATACTTTGGGCCCTTACCTGATGCGATACCACTAAATAAAATGACACTGCCCCGCCAACGTGCTCACATTTTTAATGGGATAAGAGAGCAAATACGCTGTCTTTTCTGTTGCTCAATCCACTCAGGAATTAACCAAACTCAACGTGTCTCTAAAAAACAATCAGTTATTTGACAGATTTTCCTTTCCCGACGATTTCTATTGCAACATCCATTCTTGTGTTTTAATGGTGATATTTCTTTTAAGGCGAAAATCCCAAGCTCGTAGCTTTATCTTCGGCAATTGCTCCTCTGATCGAGAGTTCGCACAGCTGAGATGCATTTTTCAACGAAGAGCTCGCACTTCCAGCCTAGTGGCGGAATTGTTGTACATTACAAAAAGTTGGAAAGCAAAAGAGAGCGAAACAAAGGACAAGTGAACACGGATAAGTAAAAACTGTGTGAATACATTTAAAAAATGGAGCAACTTTTCAAGCGAAAATGAATTGGCGAGATGAGGTTATGATGGCGCATGTCATTTTTAGCACTCGAGACATGGGAATTGTAACTCGTAGGTAGCAATACCAGCTAGAACACAAGGCCTGCGTGTTTTTTCCTTTAAACATCATCATTAGTAGATCCCCTCAGCACACCCTAGATGGCCCGGATGAGTACCATCGTCTGCGACATTGTCTGCTGTATCGTCTGCTTCAGTGATCATGCTCAGAATGAGCTCACATTAATAGACTGCTAAGGCGGGCAATCTTGATGGTGTCACATTTTTCGCTAGCAGCTTGCGCTCAGCAGTCGCGCACACAGCTATGGCCGCCAGTAAATGCGAAGTACTTGTGACGTGGCCCTTAATCTCATCAAGCTTCGACATGTTTGCTAGATTACCTCCCAAATAGGCTTCACATGCATCCACCAGGTGCACTGTGAAAGATTGTTTAATTAGCTTTAAAATTAGTTTTCTTGGGGGGGGTCGGGGATTCACTAACGAAACAACATGCGCAGGCCTTGGTTTCTAGGCAATATTGCTCATAGCCATTTGCCTGCGGGCCACGTCTCAGTGAGTCGTGTGCTGCGTTTGAGACCTCTGGCCTAGACTGTACTGTGCGTTACTGTAATGGCATTGTCATATACTACCTAGTACAATGAAACCCGTTTAGAACGAACCCACGTACAGCAAATTGTTGTCGATATCCAACTCGTGGAAAATTTAAATAAAAATGCATGTAAAAAGTACTTTTTATAACGAACAACATATTGGCCATATCAAACTTTTCCCTCCTGGGAAGGCTTCCAAAAACGTGCAAACAATCGTCTTCTAGCCTGTCCCCCCCCCCCCCCCCCCCCATCAAAAAAAAGAAAGGAGGAAAGAAAGAAAATTCCGAAACCTCAAGCTGTGAACAAAATTGAGCGAGGAGAAGCGATTCAGAAGGGGGAGAAAGCTAATAGCGAGTTCGTTTCACGGCACTCGTGCCCACGCGTGCCCACTCGCAGCGTGGAACGGGTTCGTTTCGGCCGGCACTCCACGAGCGGTTGCACTCTCCGAGTTCGTTTCAGCGCTGACACCCCACGCCTGCATGCACTCGCTGCACCGAGAAAATCGGGAGTGCGCCAAAATGCAATCCCGTCATGCCTCGCTCCGGAGGGGTTGGTGAGGAGCGGGAGCAGACGACGAGAGTTCGTCTAACTACAATGTGTCGCAAAACCAAAAAAAAAAGAAAAAAAAAAAAAAAAAAAAAAGATTTTCTGATAGAAATTGCATGCCGCGGGCAACAAAATCAAACGTGAGCTTGAATTGTGAGCGTCTGCTCTTTCACGAAGGAAGCAATTGACAACCTGTGATTTATTTGCAGGTTTTAAATTGCTCTGTTGCCGTACAAACGCTGAAATGTACCAGTGTGTAAAGAAATGCTCAGAACAAATGCAACAGTGGCCCCCAAGATGTCTATCACCATCCGTGTGTGGGTGAAAAATTTAACATTTGTCGACAAAACTCCCCCAGCAGAAGCCTCCGACTGCCCAATAAGCATCAGAGAAAGCTACAGATCGTGACTTTACCCGAGGATTGGGCAACATCATCATGTCTAACATTTACCTACGTCAGCTAACTTGCCCCGTCGTATTTTGTTCGAGAAAGCTCTAATCCACCTATAACGACGATCCAAATCGAAAGTCCCGGTTTTGCTGGATTCCAACAGGCTAGTTTTGAGCCGTACCCTTTCAGTGGTTCCCGCATAATACCATGCTCAAACGGATCAAGCTTCTGCTCGGACAGCATCATCAGTTTTCTTCAGTGTAAACGGTTATAAGAATCGAAAGATCGCAACCAGCTGCTTTGTAGGCAGCTGGTTGCGGAAATTTACGTCGTCTGTAACTATCTCTACGGCAACCGAGCTGCTTGAAGTCATCGCAACTATAAACTACAGGTTGCAGCGACCAATGTTTGTAGATAAACGTTGGTAGCGACTGCATTCTCGCAGTACCACGCATCACTTCGAACAGAAAGGCGCTAGTTTCGGTTTGAAGTCGGTACCTTTTCTACAACATAGATGGCGGCAGCATCAGTCTTCTGCACTCGGTGCATTTGGTGAGTTCGTTTGAGTCCAGTTTTCCGTGCAACACTCTGTGAGTGCGATGCATTCTGGGAGAGAACCCGAACGGTGCCAGTGCGTGTGAAACGAACTCGCTATAAAAAAACACTCTACGCATGCACAGAAAACAAAATTTCATTCCAAAACGGTTGCCAGCAAAGAGATGCAACTCAGAAGGAAAAAAGCTAAAAAAAAAACAAAAAAAAACTGCACGCATGCATGCAAAAAAAAAAAAAAAAAAAAAATTTAGCGTTTTGTTACGAGGCGGAAGTGAAGAGATGAGAGAGAGAAGCTCTCGCCTTACAACTAATGCATCGTGGAAGTTCGTTGTAAATGGTTTTTGCTATATCAAACTGATCGTTATAAACGGGTACGACTGTATATATAAATGTTTTAGGTTGGTTGGTTTTTAGGGTTATTAGCGTAATTTTGGGCAACAATTGACTAGTAATAGTCAATGTTAATTTATTTCCTCGTATAAATGTTATGCTTCTAAAGAGTATGTCTGTATGCTTCAAGTTATAAGTTGATTGTAATTGCCAAAGAGTCACCTGGAAAGAAACTTGGACGTCTTAGTAAAAACTTTATTTTCTAGGCGTTGCGGTAAGGTCCTTCCAGTTGCATCTGCCTCATACCAGGAAAACCTGCCTAGTCATTATACTGCCGACTACCACCAGAGAAAGGTTTGTGGCTTGCTTACCCTGTTTGTCATGCTACCTAACCGTTATATACTTGCGAATGTTCAAATTTTAGAGTAGTACCGTATTTACTCGCAAAATGAACACACATTTTTTCCCGAAAAATTGTTGCACACGGGTTAAAATTTTTGCATTTACACAGTTTGTGCGAATGTCATTTTAGATGGCAATATAACATGGCAGGGTGCTGTGGCACATCTCTACTGACAGAGGCACACCCATGGCTGGTCGTAGGCACGCCACAGTAACCATGCTTTATAAATTGCAAACCTTTTTAGAGCGCTTTCGGGGTGCCTTTTGCCGAAGGAAAAACGCTCTACGAAGCTCACTCAGCACGAAAAGCAACACGACCGTTCTTAGGCGATATATATTGCTATAGTTCGTTTCACCTTATGTGCGAGCGAAGGCAAAGCTGGAAGCGCAAGCACAGAGGCTCCGTGCGTTCAGGCTTTGCTCGAGCGCGCATGCTGGGGAGAAACACACAAAGCGCTGGTCTCGCGCTTCTAGCTTTGGCTTTGCTGGCAGGTAAATTGAAACAAAGTATAGTATCCGGCGGGCACGTTCAGGTATAATCCGCAACTAGGCGTATAAGAACTCGTACGAAATCCCAACCCCCGACCGCCGAAGCCCGCTCACATGGATCAAGTTTCGTTTACGGAGACAAGAACTCATACAAATCCAACCGCTGACCCCCGAAGCCCGCTCGCACGGATCAAGTTGCACGGATCAAGTTTCGTTAGCAGCGTGCACCTTGCTGTGCCGTTCTGTTGCGGATTAAATAAACGCATTTACCCGGAGTATGTGAAATTAGGCCTTACCACTTTCCCAATTTTGCTGTTGGAAAACTGACCACAGACGACAGCTTGTTTGTTGACATCAATGCATCCGATAGGCAAAGAATGTCCGGGGCTCAGCTATTCCTCAACCCAAGCTTCGTCAAGTGTGCGCGACACTCGGTTTCACGGTTGATCACTTCCGTGACTCCCGCAACTACGCACTTGCAGCCATTACGTGAGCATCCTGGCTTGGCCTGACTTAGCCTGACCGCTTGGCGGCAAAAGAAAACTAGCTTGGTGGCTTGCTAAATTGGACACAATTCAAGACTCGCGGATCCGAAAATGGGAGGTACGTTGATTGCGGGAAAGTAAAAAAAAAAAGTAAAAATATTGGTGCCCGTTGTGGGGAGTGCATTTATTATGCGAGTGCGTTTATTATGCGAGTAAATATGGCATAGTCTTGAATGATATGCTATTGTTCACTTCAAGATAAATTATAATACAGTAAAACCTCATTGATTGGGATCACATGGGACCGGAAAGATACCTGGAAGTCGAAATATCGAAAGGGCAAAGAAAAGTGTGCGAAAATGTTTCCCTGTGACATACCTTTATTTTGAGAAGAAATCTGTTATTGCCGCCTGCTTTCTGGACGACATTTGGGCGGAGAAGACAACTTTTCTTAGCGCGGTCAGGTGCTGCACTGTCGGAGGTGTTGTAGCAAAATTCTTCGAGCACAACAAGAGCCTCCAAGGCCTTTCGCACAGTGCAACGCCGCGGCGGCTCCTTACATGGACAATCTTCATCTTCGTCCGAAGCACACCCATCGTCACATAGGGCATCCCTGATGATCTCATCGTCTCTCGGCTGACCAGCCACAACAACACCGTCATCAATCGCAAGGTAGTCAGCAAGTTGCACTTGGGCAGGAAAGACACCTCAAAACGGCCGTTGTCGTCTTGAGCGAGGTCTGGGGTCTCCACCACCTGGCAATCTTCGTATCAGACAAAGCTGCTGTGGTTAAAACAGTTTGCGATAATCTCAGCGGGTGTGTTGTTCCACACGTACAACAAAATGTAGATCGTGCTGAGGAGCGAAACTTTGTTTTTCTTTGCAGCCTCAGTGCACAGCAACACTCGCTTCTATACGTGCTTCCTGCATGTGCTTTTCACGTACTAAATCGTCTCCTGATCTATGGGTTGAAGGGCAGCAGTAGTGTTTGGAGGCAAAAACACGACCTCAATGCACTCCAGTCCCGACACGTTGAAGTGGGCACTGCAATTATCGACGAATATCAACACCTTGAGCTTCTTGGTGCAGAAGTGTTGGTCTAGCTGGTGCAGCCAAGCTTGAAAAAATTCAGACGTCATCCAGGCCTTCCGATTCGCTTGGTAGTCCACGGGAAGTTGTTTGAAGTTCTTGTTCTTGAAACATCTCGGTTTTTTCGCCTTTCCAATCACAAGAAGTGGCAAGCGCTCCGTACCAGTCATGTTTACGCCGAAAAGAACTGTGACCCTTTCTTCTTTTGCCGCCTGTGCAGGGGTCTCTTTTTGGTATGGTGGTTTTGTCTGGTAGGGCTTTATAAAACAATGCTGTCTCGTCTGCGTTAAAGGCGTTGTTCGGCTCGTATGCAGCGAGGTGGTCGCGAAGCTTGACGTTTTTTTAGTCATCGACTACATCGCCGTCGACGGCACCTTTCTCTCCACTCATGTTTCTGAAAGCCAGTCCATGTCTGTTTTTGAAGCGGGCAAACCAGCCCTCTGATGCTTTGAACGAAACAATCTTCATCTTCACTGCATACTTCCCTGCTTGCACGCAGATCAGAGGACCACCCAAGGGCAGCTGCGCATCCTGTGCACTGACGATCCACTGCAGCAAGGCCTCTTCTAGTTTCAAATGCGCCACCTTCCGCAGCCGTTTTCTTTTCGCGTTAAACCTCTCGCTCTTGAAAGCCCGTAGGATCTCAACCTCATTTTTCACGTACGTGGCCAAAATGCTTTTCTTGACGTCGTACCTTTCCATCACTTGTCGAGAGACGCCGTCCTTCAAGGCCCCCAGTATTTCCACTTTCGTTGCTAAATCCTTGGCCTGGTACTTTTGCCGCTTCGCTGGCGGCACCGCCATGGGGGTTGCTGCAGTTGCTGCTCGTGACGACGACATGCCAGAAGATTAGCATGCAGACGCATGGCATTCCACAGCAAAACTGGCGTGAAGCATGGAGAACCGGAAGAGCGAAGAACCATGGGAAAAACCAGAAAAACACGTGTGCACCTCGGATGGATAGTGGCTATACCCTTTGGAACGGGCGGTAGCTTGCGCCACCTGCCAAATTCATCCGAATCAACTATAGCGTGACTAACTGCCTCCGAAATAATGAGCATTTGGTGCCATTGACTAATACACGTGTTTGACGTTACCAAATCGGCAGCTCAAATTATCCGAATTTTTTAATTAGCGGGGGTTGAATTAGCAAGGTTTTACCGTATTCACATCTTTCAAAGTAGTGGCTGAAGTCGTGGTTGCATATTTGTTTACTGTTTTGCAAAGTCAGTACAGCAGGATTTTGTTTTTGTCTGAGAAATGGACTCGCAAACTCCTCATAAAAGGACTTCAACAGCCCTAGTTTTAACCCCTTAATCGTTTTTGGACGAGCCTAGCACGTCAACATGGAGCCGTCTCCAAACCGTTCAGTATAAGTACAGCTCATCTGCTTTCTCGGTTCACGCACTCAATCCTTTTGGACAAACCACGCTCGCTCATAGCTTAATTTGAGGCTCTGCCAACAGGTGGCAATACTGAATTTTTAAAAATTTTAGCTCCCATTTCATTTATGGCAAGAAACTTGATTTTGATGGTAACAAATGTAACTCTGGAGACAACAATTAAGCAGTTAAGGGTCAGAAATTTCCCCAAACTAAATTTGGTTAAGGGTTTAAGCACAAGTTGTGGTATGTTACCAAGTTTTAGGTAAGAGTTTGGATTTCCAAAACCTTGGTACTTTCTGACCTTCCCTTAGGGGACTAGAGAGCCCAGAACAAAAACAACTGTAAACTCTAGGTAAACGTGATAAATATAAATATCAAAATAAAAATGGATAAAACCTGGCAACGTTGGAGCCAAGCTTTTCACACAGGAGCTTTTTGTTTGTTTTTGTTATCAAAAAATATTTGGCTACAGGTGGTGTAATTGCTTTTTAACTCAGAACCGACTATACCCACAGATAGTGCCTAGTTATCGTCAGGCACGTAGCCAGGATTTTGTTTCGGGGGGGGCCGCCGCCTATGACAAAATGCTGTATGAGGGGGAGGGGGGAGAGGAGGTCCCAGCAAAATCGAAGGTTTCGGGCGGGGGGGGGGGGGGAGGGGGGGCCGGGCCCTATGGGCCGCCCCCCTGGCTACGTGCCTGGTTATCGTACCTTATGGTATTGCTTTAAAGACGCTATGACAGGGGTGGCCAAACCGCGGCTCGCGAGCCGCATGCGGCTCTTTGCTGGTCACGGTGCGGCTCGTGGATCCCTCGTTAGAACCCCCCCCCCCGCCCTTTCCGCGTTTCCCCAGGAAAGAAGGAAAGGATTTTAGAAAAAAGAACAGCTTGCAGTTAGGCAGCCTTCTGCCCCCCCACGTACAGTCGAACCGCTTTTCACTCGTATGTTTCCACAGATCCCGTTTCTTTCATTGTTTGAGAGAGTTTGCCGGACCCTAATTGGAAAGTCATCAAGGACAGGGACTGTCAAAACATCCGTGCACTTTGGCTTGGGGTCGAGGAAATGTTCTGTCTTGCGGCCTTTGTCACTCGCCGGTGATACTGGTCCCCTTTAGGTAACCGTTGTTCCCTCCATATCGTTTCTTGTTGAAGGTCGCGGAAGCCCGGTTTGACCTCATTCATAGCTTCCACTAGTCACAGACGTTATGTTCAAGTTCACAAAGGACCAGGAACAATCTCATTGTTATATTTACCGGCTTGCAGTTGTGACCCGCAAGCTGCTTTATGCTTTTGGGGGGGGGGGAGAAACCAGGCAGTGGTGTTTGTTTTGTCCCCCCCCCCCCCCCCCCCCCGCCCTGGCGGCTCTTAGAAGTTCTGTGGTTTGCTTTGCGGCTCTTAGTCCGGGTCAGCCTGGCCGCACCTGCGCTATGAGCATAATTGACATTCCAGCCTGCAAATGCCTCTTATTATTGATTATAGTCTATATTGTGCAATTCTTTGGCACAACAAGATACATCACATTGTTGTATGACATTAAGTGCTTTGGGGACCTCTGAAGCAAACAATGAGGGCAGCATGCACAAATGACAATCACGAAAATAAGGAGAACACACAGTGCATGCTCCACCAACTACCTCAAGCTTCAGTCTTAACATGTTTCATCTTTGAAGCAGCACTGTCGGCACGGGGGGCAACAATTAGCGAGGTTATGTTGGGCGCACGTCTTAAAGTGCCATCTTGGCACTCTGGTTGCAGCTGGCACACGCCTTCCAGCTGTTCAGCATGCACGCAAGGGGCCCTGCATTTCAGCGGTACGCCCAGCAGCTGAGGGAGGATTGCGACGCCATCTGGAAGGCAGGCCGACAGATGTGCGAGGTGCTCAGTCTCACCGGCAACCACTGCGTCAACCCGGTGAGCTTCGTGCCGAGACATTGCGGGTCCCACGAGGCACGGTTTGAACAGTTCTATTCCCATAAACCAAACTTTTTACATTTAATTTATTTATCTATTTACGGCACACTGTAGGCTATTGCAGGCCCAAGCAAGAAAAATAATTTCCTTCTTAAGGTTAATCACGAATGATTATTTGGATGAAGTTGTAAACTTAATGTGCCCATTTTTAATGCTTTTAATTAAAAGAAACTAAAAAAAGTATGTAGATAATTTTAAAAACATTTAAAGTATTTTTTTAAGGCTATGATACTTTCTTGTTCTTCTTTGCCCCTCAAAAGGGTATATATACTAGTATATACTCCACCAAAGCAGTGTTTAGAAGAGGGAGAGTGATGTTTCAAAGAGGGGGTGGGAGAGGGTGGAGGAAGGGTAAATTGGATTTCACTTCTGTGCGGCTCTTAGGAAGGGAAACGTTGGGAGTAAAACATGCATTGTGGTTTTTGACGGACAAGGTGGGATCAGTTTACAAAAGCTGCTAAAGAACTGACTTTTAGAAGGTGAAGGTTTTATAATCTCTAGCTCTTGCAGTGTAGTCATGTGGGGTAGATCGTATGCAAAGGATCTCCGACAAGAGGGCCTTGTTTGGCACTTCATAGATGCAAAAAATCTTTTATGACCTCTAGTAAGTTGTACCAGGCAATGAGGCAATATTTGAGTGAGTTCTTAAAAAGAAACTGACAAAAAAAATCCTTCCTTTTTTTAATGCAAAATACTATTGTTTTGCTAATATTTGAAATTTCGAATAGTAGTTCTGAGTAATACACTATTCGATATTCGCTTCGAAAAGAACTGCACTATTCGCGTTTTTCGAAGTGTTGATTACGGCGGGTTAGCCCCGTTGAGTGCACTTCTTACCAAGCACCGGTGCGCTGCGGAGAAGCGAAACCCCGCGGAAGTGAGCTCCGCGGGTGTTGCTTCTCCGCATTACATCGGTGCTCGCTAAGAAGCGCACTTAACGGGATAACCCGCCGCGATTAACAATATCGTAATAGACCCTTTTCGGAATTCAGTGCCATCTGGTGACTCAAATGGCAGTTTATCTTTTACTATACTAATGGCGGCAATGAACCTGTGGACTGCAGTAATTAATGGGGCACCGTCACTTTTTAAGGTCAACGGTAAACGAGAATGTGCGCTTCACTACAATTATTTTTCAATCTCCTTTAGTGTCGATGGCAAAACAAATGCAGCCAGTCGCAACGAAGCGCCAACCCACATAGACGCCTTGATAGAGTTCTATACATCAAGGGGCTTTGAAGCCGAGTGAGTGCTACTAACAGATTGACTGGGACCGAGTTAGAAATGAACGCTTACGCAGCTCTTGCGTCCAATTCCTGCTTCACGCCGCGCTAACATCTAGAATGTATAGGCCTCGAATCGTCTGCTTAGGAGCATCTTCAACTTCTTCCTTCATCAGTAAACAGAAGGCCGCCATTAGTATAGCACATATGCCGTTTTCCGATGATGATGATAGTGATCAAAGTGGCCAGACTGAATTCCTGAAAGGGTCTATTGCGTGCTCATGAAAAGCATACATTCAAAGCGGGATGGTGCACTTGTGCCGACTGTATTTGAAAATAAATGGAAACTTTGTGAATGTGTATATCTACACTATAGTAAAAGTTTCAAAATTAAACTTTTATGGTAGAGTATACTATGTTAGGCAGAGATGATTTTATTACCTGTGTTCATCATGCACGACTCATTCTTTTTTAACTTGAGATTAAAGAAAGAATATTTTATATATCAAGATTTGTAAATTCACTTAATTGGTACAGTTAGCCATCTATATAGGATTTATTTTATGTCAAATCCATTGTTTACTTGCCATCCCAAGACACCAGACCTTCTGAGATCACAGTTCATAAATATAGATAGATTAAGCTTACCTTATGAATGAAAAAGTGGAATAACCTTCACAGGCTTAGCTCGGTTTTCGTCTAAGCATTATGCAATGGTAGTGAAAGGCGTGGAAAAACTATTCGATATTCGAATCAAACATATTCGGCCAAAACCACTATTCGCTTCGAATTCGCTTTGGACTCAAAATCCACTATTCGCACGAGCCAAAACACTACCCAACATTTTTCTTTTTTTTTTCTTTCTTGCACAGTCACATATTTGCTGAGAAAAGTGAGCGAAGTAAAGTTGAAACTACTGGATCAGCACGAGACTCGGGGACGTCGCAGTGTGTGGGAACCGCGAGTAGTTGACTATGCGCTCATGCTTTCTTTAGCTCAGTGTGTGTTTGCTGTTTTAGCGGTCATTAAATGAAATTTTATGTAGGGTATTTTATTATTTTTAGTTATTGTCGTGTGTCTTAGATGGGGTGGCCTAAAACTTCTCATCACTCCACGTGACCAAAAGAAAGGGAACAAGGGCAGCTCCAAACATCGAATTCTCGATTGGCGGTTTTCGGGCTGAAGAAAGCCAAATTCCGACCCGCACATATTTTTTTCTGGGTAGTTGGGCGCTCGTAAATTCGGTTTCAGTAACAATCTCTGCAGGCGCGTGGTGTACCTTGTCGGCGTCCGTTCAAGGAAGGACTGGGAATTGCCGTGTATCCCACAGCTGCACAAGACCCCCGAGAATGCGGAGGACGAGAGCGAGGAGGACAGCCTGGTGATGCCCCACTGCAGCCAGGTGAAGCTCATCTCGACCTGCAACTGCGGCCGGCAGCAGAGCACCCGCGACGACCCCTTCATCCTCAAGGCAGGTCCCGCGCCCGCACCTTGCCACTTGGCAACCGCTCAGTTGGATATAGGAGGTTGCAACGGGGTCGTGTGCTTCATCGACAATCTGTGTTGCCTTCAGAGGGTGAGCGATTGCTGTAAAAGAAGTGTACGACCAGATCGCTGACAGAATTCCGGAGCAATCCGGCCCCTGACGTCCGTTATGCGTATATGGTTCGTCAGGGGCAGTGGCTTGCAAGCGAACCATGCATTCATTTTTGCTTAGTGATTGAAGAAACGTTCTGCTGCCTGGCGTTATTTGCTGCAGTTTACAATTATACTTGACTCTTTTGGAAAGGACTGCTCTCTCCGTATCGTTTCTTGTTAGTGGTGCCCCCCCTCCCCCTTTTGTCTGTGGCTCTAACCCTGTGCCACTGTGGCCACCCCTGATTTAGAGCATGAAATTGCGTGCACAGTTTTTGCTCGAGCTTTTACCTTTGCTGAAAATGTTTGCGAGTAGAAGGCATGGATACAGTAAACGGTGGTCTCTCTGGTGATTTGCGAGCGAGCAAGCGGAGAGGTTCGTAATCAATTCTGGTCGTTTTCCGTCACCCAGACAAGCGCCGTCGTTAACGTGTTTTCCAGCTTTTCTTGACAAATTGTTGTTTTTGCTCCTTGTTTGGAGATTCAACTGTTCCAATCGTGATTTGTACTCGTTTGCAGGCAGCCAACTACAACTTCTACCTGATGCTGAGTGCAGAGTGCTGTGGGGTGCTGGAGCGCATCAACTTCCCTGTCTTTGAGCCCAGCAGTGCTGAGCTGGAGCCCTGTGCTTCGGCCTGTGCCCCTCCGGAGCACTTTGAGCTCGAGCCCAGGTCGCGGAGCCGTGCCAAGAGTCTCACACGCAGCCAGACCAGGAGCGACTCGGGCACACGAAGCCCGCTGTCGGACTCCGAGTCGGACTTCAGCTCGGAGTCGCCGGAGAGCAGTGATGCCTCAGGTTGGCATTCCACAACCCATGTCCAGCAAACTGCTCCTATGCAGAAACATCCAGAGAAACACTGGCAAATGGGGGTTGCGGGAGCATAACCATCTGCAAAATTAGTTGCGCAACATGTATATCATCAGAGGGATATAGGGGTGAATGAACAAAAATTTACAATATCCTGATAGTATATATCTCATATGCAAGTTTGTGGCAGCCTTTTTGAAAATACAAAAATCAGGTATGTTAATAACTGGGGTGAAGAGGCAGTTCTATTCTATAGATGTTTGACGCACAGAGGAGGCTCGAACTCTAGATGTTCACTGCTGTATATGAACTTTGTATGTGGGATCAAAATAAGCTTGATAGAGAAATTATTTGCTGATGAAGAAGTACCTTATGGTTGAAGTACTTCTTTGTAAGTTATTGAAAAAGATATTTCGACAGGGCTTCAAGTTTGTAAAACTAAAATAACATTTACACGTGCTGATCTGCTTGGAACAGGCTACTATGATAGCGGGCATTTTGATTGGCATGATGATGAGGCTGTCTTCATTGTTATGTGGAAATTGTTTACTTTAGATTCCAATGTTTAATTCCATTAAGTTGTTGAAAATGACGACTTGGGGAGAGTAATTCTTTCTTTGCTGAAACTAGTAGCCTGTAACTTCACGAAAGTTGTAAAGCAGTAGTCGAGAGAGAGCTCTGAAGCACATAAACCAGCCGATAGCATTTAGACTTTGCTGATGCAGCTCATAATGTGTGAATGAGTATGAAATTTGGAAGTATAAAATGCAATGCAAGAGCTACTTGAAGAAAGCCTTTTAGATGTTTGTTTTATAGGAATCTGAGCGACCTGATTTAGCTGCATCAAGGTTTTGACTGAGCGAGAGATTTTCTGAATGCCTGAAAAGATTTGAAGCTATCTTCATGAGAGTGCATTGACAGTCAACGAAATACCTCTTTTATAGACTCAAGATCATCAGACATTGGTGACAGTGAAAAGAGCATTTCTCTCTCAGAAGCGAGGACACAGCACACTGAAGACCCAGACGACGATGGTGAGAGTCAATGCTGCTACCTCGAAACTAAGAAGCAAGCCAGATTGAAAATGGAGTAGGTTTGCACATTAATTTACCTGAGCCACACTGCGTTCATTTTACTGATGTGCTCTCTCAGAGCCATTTTACTCTTGTTGCAACAATGGCAGGCAATGATTCTAAAGTAGTTGTACATTGTGTTAAATACACAATAGTGACTTTTAGCTTACCCATACATACTGCCGCGCACGCAGCTGGCCAAGTAGGCAGTGCGCGTGTGGCCTAACGGTTTATCGTCCCTGCCTCCCACGCGAAAAGCCAAGGTTTGATTCCTGGGAGCGACGTGTCTTTTGTTTATCCCTGCAATTTAGTGTTCTGGTAAATTCGAGAGTTATGGTGCTTGTTCGAGGTGCGAATGTTCTGCGCGTCGAACCTTCTGCGCCGATTATTCCAGAAGCCCACGCGTGTACATAAGGGGCTTCGCGTAGCGAGCCAGAGTCAGTTTCGCCTCAGCGTTCGACTCTGCTGTCACGCCGACTTCGACGCCCGCGACGCTCTGCTTTCTTCTGTTCCTTTTTTATTTTTTTGCGCAAGTTCGCCCCATTAAACCTTTCAGTTTCCCCAGTTATTCTTTGTTTCACCTTGTCATTTGTGACAATACATTATTAGTATTCCGATATACACCAAGTTTGATAGGAAGCAAGTAATATAAAAGGGCAAGGAATAAATATCCTTCCGCACCATTTCATAAGGCCATCTAAGGGTAAAAATACTGTTGATATCTTTTGCGTGCCTAACTCGAGTACTGATATTGGAGCTTGTCATCTGATGTGCAGTGGGCTTAAAGTAGTCATGCAGCCATGGAGTCTGTTGCTACATTATAATTCCCTTATTTTGTTATGTTTTGTTTCTACGTGCATTAATTTGAAATCTGGAATTCATCCAGACACCGGAATCGACATTGTTGCTTATAGGTTTTGTAGCATCATGTTCGAGTAATGAGACAGACAAATGCCAAAGACGTTTAACACCGACATTGAGCTCCTGAAATTGCCCAATCCCATTTATAAACTTCCAATTAAAAAAAGATTTGCCGACTTTCCTCTCTAGAGGTGCTGTTGTTTCGAGACTGCAAAACGTTGCCATCTAGGGATACCTATGAATGTAAATATAAAAGCTTTGCCATATCGTTTTCATGATTCGAAAATTCCCCTCAAAACTGTGACCTGGCTCCATTTGACTGCAACACTCTTATGCGAGTAATGACGATTGATCTTTAATAGTCCCTTTTCAAAAGTCCAAGGAGCAACGCCGGCAGCCACCATATTTTAGTTATCGCTTCCTGTGCGATGCGTTTGCTTGGATTTGAGTTCCTGCCGAGTGCCCACGTGGCGCTCATATTCAAAACATGCTCAGGGTGCCGGCCCGAACAACGGCAGACTAGGGGAATGGGCGCTGCAGCCACTAGATGGCGCACACTTTTGCAGAGGGGCAGACTTACCAATAGGCAGACTAAGCAGCTGCCTAGGGTGTCAGAATTTTGGGAATTGCCAGTTTGTGGCCGCCCCTAAATTAATGGGCTCATTTTTAGAGCGCAGCTCTTAGGGGCCCGTTTCCAGCCTGAGCGGCGTCGGTGTCGCCGTCGGCGTAACCGGGCGGTGTCACGTGCCCCCCCCCCCCCCGAGGTCACGTGACCCCCCAAGGTCACGTGACTTCCCAAGGTCACGTGACCCCCCCGGGGTCACGTGACTACCCGCAGGTGACGTGACCCCCCTCAGTACCCTTCTCTACTCCTCCTCAAGAGCTGCACTCCAATTCGGCGTTACAGGGATTTGTAAACGGCTTTCATTTTTTTTTTAATCTAGCTCCGAATTTAGCTACTTTGGGAATTCTAGCTCCAAATCTAGCTACTCTTAAAGGGGCGGTGCAATGATTTTAACACTGAACGAATGCGCAGCTTGTATTTTTTATATTGTTTACTTCGGCATAAGTAAGAGAAAAAGTGCCACCATACCCCAAAATACCTCTATTTCGCTGCGTAATCGTAAAATAAAAAACGCTTTTTTTCCCAACCTGCGGCCACATGGTGGCCGCAAATGGAACCTGTGGTGTGACGTCATTCGGAGTGGTTTTTGTAAGTGATAGTGTTAGGCGATTGTAAGCTTGATTTAAGGTTAAGTTTAAAAAATCTTGTTGTTTAGGCATGCAGAGACGCTTCAAAAGCCTAATATTGCCGCTAAAAGGGTATGAATTATTTGTGGCGCCATCTACCGCAAGTCAACAAAACCTGCCGTCGCCGTCATTCGTCGACGCCCGAGGCGCCTACGGCGGCTACACGAGCAACCCGGACGTTTCGTCTTTCCCTCGCTCGACGGAGTGCGTTGGTCGTGGTCCGTAGTATCGTGGTATCGTTATTATTCCTGGTGTCTCGACCTCGACTTCGACTTCGACTGCCCGCCGCGTCGCAAGCATCTTGCGCTCGTCGTCGCTCAGGCTGTCCGCCCATGCCGCCATGTTGGTCGGGAATCGGCGGGAGAGCAGCGAGCCTGGCGAGCCGGCGAGCGCTGGGGAAACGGAAGCCAGAAGAACCCAACCGGAAACCAACGCCACTCCGAATGACTTCAGAGGCGAAGCTGGTGCCGCTTCAATGTTGAGTTGAGGGGTGCCAGAGATACCAATTTCTTTTATTTTTTTTAATGAAAACTGGGGCAAGCAGGAAAGAATAGTTTTCGGTCCTTCGTTTATATGTGGCCGGGATCAACTCCCGCAATTAATTAGCCAAAGTCCGCAAATTGTTGCACCGCCCCTTTAATAATTTTAACTACAAACATAGCTACTTTCCCCAATCCCCGCTCCCCATGGTCACCGACCATGGGGGGCGGCACTATTAAAGGCTGCTTAGGGTGGCAAAACGTTAACTCTGCCCTTGACCATGAGGTACTACATTAGGCTTCCAAGTATGAGTAAACTGTTGTTGCATACAGCCCGTCGGCCGTAACCCTTTAGCTCAAGGCCCGTCTCCCAAGGGTCCTTGTCTAGCCCGGTTTTGCAACGCCACCCGTCTGCCACTGCAGACGCGACCAAGGCGTCCCTGGTGCCTTCCAACACGGAGTACCTACCCGGCATGCTGCACTCGCTGAGTCCTGCCGGCCTGCTCCCGTGCTACAGCGCCTGGTCCCTGGTCTGCCTGGGACCCTCTAGCCTCTACTCGCACAACATCGGTGAGTCCCCCTTTCATTCTAGAGGTGTCGACTGGATGAGAACGGTAGGGGGTCTCTTTCGGACGCTAGGCCGTGCAACGTGATTGTTGCTTTCCGAGTCCTGACATGCTTTGGCTGTGTATACACGCGCAAAGCTCGCAGGATTCCAAAGCGTTATCGAAGGTAGGCAGATTCCACTCGAGGTGGACAACTGAAAGACCTCACCGCTGTTCTCATTCCGTCATTGACTATTGCATACTACAGTGGGCCCCCCAAAAATATTTACGCACTAAAATGGCCCGCAAAGATGGCAACTCGACTCTGTAACTTCTTTTGAATGGGTCTTTTACTGGTGCAATTTAAGCGTTAAATTGTGAACTCTGAGTACAAAAGAAAAAAAAAAAAAGAAGAAAAGATGTTTTCAGTGGGAGAGCAGCGGTTGTCGGGAAGAGATGGGACCAGTGGCATCACTACGTTGGGGGTGGGGGGGGAAAATTGACTTGGGTGCAGCACTCGTGGGGGGGTGCAGCTGGGCAGTGAAAGAAAGTGGGGTGGGGGGAGTGTCGTGACCCTCCCCCCCCAGTCTCTCGTTTCAAGCTTCGTTGCTTGAAACAAAAGCGGGGGGGGGGTTCGGTTCGCGTCAGGCTATTACACTGGGTGCCGCTGACCCTGCTGCATGAGTGGTGCCTAATGGCACCACTCATGGCAACTTCCGCTCCAGCACATGCTTCCACGAAAAGATGCATGTGATAATTAAATTGTCAGTGTGAGTATTCGCTAAGTTTATGAAACCTAAATTTATTAGAACTTGTAAAATCAGCAGGGGAGGCGATTAAGCCCAGGGTACCCAGGCTCTGAAGTGCAACTTTAATTATCTTTATCATTTATTTGAGGAATAGCTATATAGACAAAAAACTGATTGCATACTGCAACATATTTTTTTGCTAAGTATTGTTAAAAAGCATTGTTAAGTCAAAAATGCTTAATTTTGTAACGAGCACATTGATACATTACTCTAGTCTTTGACGCCCTAAGAGACTCTCAGGCACCTTACCATCACTGCGCAGCCAATGAGCTTGTAGCATTAGCCGATAAGGATGCAGGAGGATGAATTGCAAAGCGAGAAGCGTTAACATAGTAAGCCACGGCCTGCGTTTCTTAGGCTGACGGTGAGTACAGTCACTGATTAAAAAATAAATAAAACGCAGAAAAAACAAAAACATAAGAGTAGTTTTGTTTGTATTTCGTGAAGGCATAATGCCATGGTTGCCGGGTCTGCCTCGTTTCCGTTTGGTTGTTCAAAGCAATATTGGCGGACACTCGTATCTCCTTCCCAGGAATCCAGGACCAGCCAGGCTTTCTGGCTGGCACCAACTTCCTCCTGCCCTGGGATGTGGCAGTGAAGTTTGACAAGGAGCGCTGGCCTTCACTCTGGGAAGGCAAGAGGGCACAGACATGGAAGGGCAAGAAGAACGGCAAAGGTAGGATGTCTGGGATAAAGTAGGGAAGTTGGAAATGCGCTCGTGCTTGATATGTCCTTTTTCACTCGGCGTGTTTTCAAAAGCAGCTGCTGCAATGGGGCTTTTTAGACAGAAAGGAGTGATTCTTTCACACCATTTTTGTTGCCTCGTACGGTGCTTCTGAGCACACCTAAACAGTTGGTCAATCGTTTGGGGAAATTAAACAGTCTGCCGTACAATGAATGTTGGTTGCGATTTTAGAATGACCAAAAAGTTAATTTTGGAGCAGTAAACAAATACAGTATAGACCACTTATAACGTAACCGCTTATAGTGCAGGACCGGGTACAACGCGGCTTTTTTAAACCACCGGTTCGCCTCCCATAGAACTCTATGTATTCACATACCGCTTAAAATGCAGGCGCGCGAAGGGAAATACCGGTTATAGTGCGGTTTCTGGAACAGCCCACCGGCCCCGCTGACTGACCGGCGCAGCGAGCACGCTTCCCTGTGCGACTCTAGATAACGGCGCCAACTGCGCTAGCCGCACGCGGCACTCGCGGGGGCAAGGCTGGCAAGGAGGTTGCTCGAAGAAGCAAAGAGAGCGGCGAAGACGAATGACTGCGCGCGAGTTACAACGCAGCGAGGTAGCAAGGTGCGACCTAGAGCACTATATAGCTCCTACGGAGCAGAGTAACGCAATCCTTTGAACCCCGTGTTTTGCCGACAACACGGCCGACAGAGCGGCTCGGCGCGAGTCACGTGGTACTCGGGGTTCCAGGAGGCGGCCCGCCCTATGGGAGAATACATGGAGATCGACACAACACGGCTGATTAAAAAATGAACGGCGAGTTCACACTTTTCAAAACTAGTCTGTCGTGAAGTTAGTAAAGCACTAAACACTTTATCAAAGTTTTAACGATATCGGATGCGTGTGCAAATTTCGAGAAGGCAATTTCCAAGGCAATGGCGTTCGAAGCAGACGATTTTTGCTCGCAGCGGAGATGGGCTTTTCGGGTTGGCCGGAGCGGGTCACGTGAATGGTGTGACGTCGCCGTGTCGTCTGCTGCATGATGCCGCTCAGGCAATTTTTAAAAAAAAGTCAGGTCCTTGCGGGGCACAAAACTTAGCGCAAATTATTCTAAAGTGTTCCATTATTATGTCAAAAATGATTGCGATTCCGTACATTCCCACAATACTGGAGAAACAACGATTTTCTCACGTTCTCCATGCATTTCTGACCGCAGTTGGAACCTCCGGGCGTTCGCCGCTAGTCGCCGAGAGGCGGCGTTCTAGATTGCGCTACTCCACGGCTCTGCGCTACTCTGCTCCGAAGGAGCTATATAGTGCTCTAGTGCGACCGACAAACGCACGCGCGTGCTCAACTCCGAAAGCCCTCCATCGAGCCACTCCCAAGCCTTTCACCCTTTCGATTTCACCCTCTCGCTGTAGTGACGCAACACCAATTTCCTTTCTTGCCCCGCGCACGCGCGCCGAACGGAGGCTGGATAGCTGGATGGTTTCAGTTTCGCTTCTTGCAGAGTGCAAACTTGCACCACGTCGTCTGCTTGGACCGCGTGTGGATCGCCTCAAGCATATCGTGCGGAAATCGACCGTCCATCCCGATCTCTCCGTCTCCCAAGCCCAGGATGGCCAAGAAACGACAAGCCCTGTCTCTCGAAACTAAACAGAGCATCGTCAAAGATGTCGAAAGTGGCATGAGAAAAGCTTCCGTCGCGGCCAAGTACAACGTCGCTGACACGACGGTTTCTGCTGTCTGGAAGAACCGGGAGCAGGTACGGAAGCAGCTACAGCAAGATTCTGCGTCGCTCTCAAGAAAGAGGATTCGTACGTCAAAGTATGAGGACGTCGACGAAGCCTTGTTTAGGTGGTTTCGCGAAGTGCGAGCCAAAAACGTCCCAGTGAGTGGCCCGATGCTACAAGCGAAAGCGAAGTCTTTTGGACATTTGTTCGAACACGAAGGCTTCAACCCCCTCAACGGATGGATCCAGCGGTTTAAAGATCGCCACGGGATCAGCTGCAAAGTTATCTCGGGCGAAAGTGGGGAAGTCGACGACGCCAGCATCCAGGCGTGGTTTCGCAGGTATTGATGTCGCTGGCCTGTAATAAGGCGGAGCCTCCGGGGCAATAACGGGGGCGCGCGTTAACCCATCCGCCGCGCTGCGCTTTACGCCGCTTCGCGGCGACAGTCTGAGGCGGCTCATTACAAAAAATGTGAACCCACATGTGTGTGTGTATTGGCCCACACGTAAACGCCGCTTCGCGGCACCCAAGTATTCGCTAAAGTATCATTCGGTGAACCGCCCCCTCAGGAGGCTCCGCCTTATTACAGGCCAGCGACATCAACACCGTTTCGCATTCATCTCGAGACGATGCTTTCCGCGTACACGGACAAAGACATCTATAATGCTGATGAAGCTGGGCTGTGCTACAACATGCTTCCCGATCGCACTCTTGCGATGAGAGGTGAACCCTGTTCCGGCCGCAAAGTCTCAAAGGAACGTGTCACGGTTTTGTTTTGTGCAAACATGGACGGCTCCGACAAGCGACGCTTGTTTATCATCGGGAAATACAAACGACCCCGTTGCTTCAAGAAGCGAGAATGTCTGCCTGTGGTGTACACAGCAAATGGAAAGGCTTGGATGACCCAAGAGTTCTTTGCTAGTTGGCTGAAAAGTTACGATGAGGCCATGGTCGCAGAAAAACGGCGTATCGTCCTTATTCTGGACAACTGCAGCGTTCACAATGTGCAGCCACAATTAAGCGCAGTCAGTTTGAAGTTCCTGCCGGCAAACACCACTGCTAAAAGCCAGCCTCTCGATCAGGGCGTCATCGCTACAGTCAAGGCACTCTACAAGAAGCGCATGTGCGAAAGGGTCGTCTTGAAGTTGCAACGAGATGAACCCCTTAAGGTGGACTTGAGGGGCGCCATCGACATGATCACAGCGTCGTGGTGGCAAGTAAATGCCACAACCATCCAGAAGTGTTTTCGCAACGCAGGGTTTGTGCGCGATGCCGGGAATTCGGAGGACGCCGATCTGCGCAGTGATGCGATCGACGAGGCGATCGGAGCGAACGACGTGTGGTCCGACCTTGTGGAAAACCGCTTTGTTCCTGCAAACGACACGTTCCAAAACTATGTAGATGAGGATGACGACGACTCTCCTATCCGTGAGGAAGCAACCACCGATGAGGCTATTGTTGCAGCGGTGCGAGGTTCTGGGGCGAGTCCACCCGAAGACGAGCCGGACGACGACGAGGAGAGCACGCCGGAAGTTTCAAGTAAAGACGCACTGGAATTCTTACAGAAACTGAAGGTTCACTGTGAGCAGAACTCCTTCAGTGATGAGGTGTTAAAGTGCCTTAGCGTTGTGGAAGACCAGGTCGTCCGCAACGCCGTTAAAAGGCTGCGCCAGGCAAAACTCACCAATTTTTTTGAAAATGTGTGACACTTGAGAGAGGTGTACTAGTTTGGCGATATAAGGATCGACTTTCCTCAGACTACGCTTTATTTTTCATTTAACATAAAATAAATTGTTTTACAAAGGTAAGTTGTCTCATGGCATGTATTTTGGCCTGAAAAATTGATGTTTTGGTAATAGCGCGGTACCGCTTATAGTGCGGATTTTCGCGACTCCCGCGACATACGTTATATGCGGTCTACACTGTACTATCTTGGAGCACAAGCATGGAATAGTACTTTGTTCTCCTCTGTTCCACTGCAAATATTCCATGTCTTTAGATGCACATGCTAGCCTTTGCACTCCGTCTTGGGAGTGGGAGTGCAAAGGCCAGCGTGTGAAAATCCAAAACATTTGTTTGCTGCTCCAAAATTAACTTTTAGTCATTCTAAAGTGACATGGACCATTCACCTCATTGTCAGTTTATCATCAGTCTTTTCACTTGTGAAACCTACCTGCTGCTCCACCTGGTTCATTTTTTGTGGTGCCATCATTGTATGGGAATCCCCCTGAAGTTGACAAGGAAACAAAAATCTGGAATTTGTGAATTTGAAAGTAGAGGGACATTTCATATTTCATCGCCACAGCCCGGAGAACATGGAGCGAAAGCTCGCGCTGGTAGAACCCGGGGCTCCCGGGGTAAATTTTCATTACTGCCCACTTTGATCTGAACGAGCATCACAACGGTGCGCGCTTGGGCATCCCTACCCCAGGCAGAGACATTGGATGCCCATAGGGACCGTCTAACTTCCTGCCGGCTAAGCTAATAGACGACATAACTGCACATGCGTCATTCAATCTCTTTCAGGGGACGGCCTCCAGTTCACGGTGAAAGTGTTCATCGGCGTCGAGTATGAGTGCCCGAGGGGTCACCGCTTCATGTGCGCGGCTCCTGACAGGATGCTGCGTTCCACCAGCACCGGACTAGTCAAGGTCTGTCTGAGACACTCTGCTCGTTCCCTCTTATCGGAAGGTTGCATTTTCGTCTTTGACGTGCATAGTAATTTTCTAGATATTTGTATCGATGACTTTGTTACGCTGCAAGGCTCTGCCTTCTCTGTCATTGCAGGACAATGCCAACAAGATTGCCAACAGTCATATGCCCCTCTATTTTCCCTGCCCGTGCCGGTAAGTGGACAACTAAATTTTCGACGTGAGAGTATGTTGATCCTACTAGACATGTTCCAATATTCAATTGTTTCGGATACCAGTAGGCAGTCAAATCGGGTGCAGGTGCATAATTTGAGAATGCTCGTGCCAACAAGTAAAGTAAAGTTTATGTACTAGTTTACCCTTACCAACTTTTCTTTTATTATAAAATATTAGTTTTAAGAAACATTTATTGAATTTTATTTACTGTGTTGTTTCTTTTCGTTGAATGACATGCGATTGACAGGGTCAATGGAACATTCTTCAGTGTGCATGGGATTGACTGTTACCATCTTTTGGGGTGTAGAGCAGCCACACATTGAATGTGCTTGATTGAGTGCATTGCGTTTCCTCGTAACCGCACAACTCTCACGCACACTGGAATACTTCAGACTTGCATATAACTACACCGAGGGTTTTGAAGGGTATTGGCTAGATCAAACCTGCTCTCAGTCTACGAGAAACGGTTGCTTATATCTAGGATTCCCCGTTTTCAGTATAAATACCAACAAACCCCGATAAATAACCCCCGAAAGGGTTTTCTCGGAAACCAGGGAAAACCGAGGAACCCCGAATGAAAGCTGCCCTCGAATAGGGAAATCCCAGTTTGTGGAGAAAGATATCTGCAGCATTGTTTTTGTGATCCGGAACTCAACCCTTACTATCTGTCCTCGAGGTTACTTTTTTCTTTGGGAACCATGTCCCCTCCCGTGTCGTTTATGCTGGGACGACGTCTTTCGAGTACTTGGGACGGGGGCACATGTTCCACGAACCCTGGAAGGGGTCACAAATTCATAGACGTGCGGTTGTTTTATGACGCTAGCCTTGACAAACCCCGATTTCTTACCCGGTGCCGTAAATAAACACACAAAAAGGCGGATTCTCGTAAAAATAATAAACCCCAAAGATACGGAACCCTACTTATAACATTGCCAGAACTATTTCGAGCCCATGGTAAAAGAGTGATCGGTAAAAATGACAAAAAATATACATACGCAGGTCGGAAATGTTCCAGGACCACCCGACAGATGGCAGCAGTACGTTAAGCGATTACGAGGGAATGCAGCACCCTCTAGCATGCAAATGTGCATACTAGCCTTTACAAGGCTATAGATGCCTCATAGTATGGTGCCTGGAACGCGTCTTAGACCATTCTGTTTACCGTCACATCCTGCCCACGCATTGAGAGTCATTCCAAAGTTGCAACCAAGTGTGTTGTAGTAGCCGGCACGACACGCCATCAGATTTCGCGATCCGAGCGGTCGGTCATAGAAATACTAACCAGAAAGGCGAGTGTCGCCATGGCGTCCCATCTCATGTCGGCTTTGGTTTTCGTCGGCCGTCCGGCCGCAGGGCGACCCACGGCAGAACAAGTGTCTGCCGCATCCGTCTCCTCCACCTTGACACATATTTGTGGCGTCATCGGACGGAAATCGAGAGACCACTTTTGAGGACGCAGAAACGCGCCAGTCAGAGACGCATTCTAGGCACTGCGCTCGTAACGACCCCTCAAAGAAAGGTGCGAACGATGGGACGGCTGGCTGGCTGCCGTGTGCAGGTCCGTGAAGCCCCAGGTGGCCCAGCTGATGCGCATCCACGTGGTGACCCCCAAGGCCCCCGTGCATGTGACCCTGCAGCCCAAGGTGCAGCCGGCCCCCCACCCTGCACCCACCTTCTTCCCGGGGAACAAGGAGCCCGTCCGACTCTCCCAGTCTGCCTACTGGGTGCTCAGGCTGCCGTATCCTTGCGCGTGCCCTTTCTCTCCATTTGCGACGGCGGTGCGATGTAATAGACTACTTTCATAGATCCCTGCATGCAACACTGCGTGCGTTGCACTCTGGGAACTAATTGGTCAGGGAGGAGTGTGGCATGGTTTTGATTTTGATCGATACGTAGACATTATCTCATGTTCAGTACATGAGACGTTATCTCATGTACTGACCTGCAGCCAGTCTTGGGCAGTAGCTACCCTAGTTACTAGTAACATGTTACCGGTAACTAGTTTCTTTTTTCAGTAACTTGTAACTGTAACTCGTTAGTGCTTAGTGAAAATAACTTGTAACTGTAACAGGGATACTATTTTTCAAAAGTGACTGTAAAGAGTAAAGTCGTTACAGTTACTTCTCAAATTTATGTGCAAAAATATTGCAAACACAACCACCAAATTGTCTCGCAACTCATGACAGAGTCCCAAGTCCTGATACAGGAAGGGCACAGCAAAAACTGCTGCAGAAACCGTCTGGAACACGAGGAAAGAAAATAAAAAAAAAACTTTCAGCCTTTCCAGTCTGGTGAAGAAGGAAGACCAGCAAAGCTGTACTATGGTGGGAATGAAGTTATGGCCGGCCACAAGTTGGCAAGCCAGAGTGGAAAGGCTGGAAAGGTTGCTGCCATCTGTGAGCGACGGCGACAACCAGACAACCAGCAAGCCGGTTGTCTGGTTGCCGCCGTCGCTCATAGATGGCGGTAGCTCTCAGAAGTTTTGTGTAGACGTTTGTTTGCCTTCAGACACGATACTGGGGAAACTAGCCCTTAACAGCTCCGCTGTAAAAAGGCCCGATGTACACCTAAGCACTTCTTATGAGTTGTGAATGCCAAAGCATGCACGCTGCTCTTCCGCTCCCTTTCGTCTGCGGCGTACTTGCGTCGATGGTCGAGCGCGTGTTGTTCTTGGTGCGCTGACCTTGGGCGTGGAGCGATGGAGCCGCTGCCTCGCGGACACACAGCGCCATGGGGTGGTGGTCGTTGAAACTGATGTGCCTATCGGAGTATCGTCGATGCGTGCCAGCCAGTGGGAGCGAAGCCGAAATTCATCAGCTTTACTCCGGTCCTTTGGGATCGGGGAAACTAGGTGCCGTTTGGCTAGGCTTTTCGCGTTGTTTCATAGCTGGGAGCTGGCTTCAGTTGGAGAAAGGATTTAAGGTGCCGTTTGGTGCGACTTCAAAGCTGATGATGTCGGCTCTCTCCATGGGACAGTTAATGCTTTTACATTAAAAATAAACTAAATATTAGATGGGCCCGTCTTGGCCCATCTAATCCCTATCCCCCCAACTGGAAGGATAGGGACGTACATCACCCACAGCTAGTGGTATAGCCAGAAAATATTTTCGGGGGGTGTTTCAAGGGGCTGGTGCAATCACACACACAATAAAAAAAAAAAAAAAAAATAATATATATATATATATATATATATATATATATATATATATATATATAATCAAGTTTTGGGGGGGTGTTCTGACACCTAAGCACCCCCCCTGGCTACGCACCTGCCCGCAGCGCACGCAGATGTAACAAAGCACAGCATCTTTAAGGTGTTTTTCGTTTCTTCGTTTGGTGGAGGGAGCGAGTGCCTTTCGCAGAGGAGTTTTTAGTAATTGTTGCACCAAATGCCCACAGGCTTATGGCATAACTGATTTTCTGAACCTCGTATTTTTGCTGCCAAGCATACGTTTCCTTCCCCTCTAATTTGAATCGTCCAACTTCCAGATGCACTCTTGCAGGGTCTTGACCTTAAACCCAATTGCTCTCCCTTCCGTTTCTTTTTTTTTTTTGCATCCCAATTATTGGTTTTGTTTTTCGTCACCTGTTTGTTGTCTCCCTTTTCTCTGCTTTTCGGGTTCCATCACTTGAGAAAGAGTACTCGCTCGAAACGTCTGTGTCGTTCTGCTTGTTTGTTTTTCTTCTTGAAATTGAAAGACCGTCCTAAGCCCCGGGGCGTTATAGATATTCATGTCGGGGGCTTTCCGGGTGGTTTCTTCTAGTTGAGGTGGTGAGATGGAAGAGCGCAAACGTGTCCGACCTGGTTAGGAAGTGGCGGAGAAAAGATTGCAAGAACCGTTTAGAATTCTACACACAATGGTTGTTTGCACCTCGATCAGTGCTCCTTTGCACCGCTGCCATATTCAGCGGGTATGACGGAGGAATGTTGCCGCAACATTGCTCTCCATGTTTTCAAGAGAAGCTGTGTGTTTCATGAAAGATTGTTGTGTGCACGCAGTGGAAAACGATTAAACCGACAAGTGGATTGGAGTGGCATAAGAACACATCTAGATTGCAAGATATATAATATTATTATTGACTTTCACTTGCATGTTTTTTTTTACTCCTTCCACCCCATTTTACCTCACCAAAAAAATCCGGAATTAGAATTCATTGATTGTAAACTTGCGCCTTGATTGGATATAGTACCCGAGATCTAGACGCGTATACCTTAGTGTATACCTTATGGAGGTCGCGCTTATTTTGAAGTTCTTCGTGGATAATCAGCAGGTATCTGCTTGATTAAAATTCTGAAAAAACTAAAGTCGCTTGTAATTTTGCCAATAAAGAATCTATATAAATACTTCATCACATAGTGGATTTACCCCAACACTGCCTTAAATTATGATCTTCAGGGAGCTATTCATGGTAAAATTTAAATAGGAAGAACCAAACATGTTAATATTGATTATTTCTTAAAAAATCAGATTCACTACCGTGAAACAACACAATGTCTTATGAAAAATTCATGCTAATTTAAAGGCCCATTAAAAGGTTCATTTTGAATGTTTTCTAATATTTTTTGTGTAGTAACGATGAAGTAACGGTGTTCCCTTAGCGAAGTAACTGTAACCGTAACAAGTTACTCTTTCAATTTTGTAATTAACTGTAGCAGGGTTACTTTTTTCTTCCATGAGTAACTGTAACTGTAACACTGTTACATTGTAGCAGTAACGTGCCCATGACTGCCCACAGCACTGCACAAAGTGAAGTCATTACCCGCTTGCATTCTACAAATTCAATATCGCATATGCACATGAAGTTATCCTGCCAATCATATAGGCACATTCGCACATAGAAGCCATTTTTTAGAAAGCAACAGTTGAACACATGCGTGAAGAATGTCGCACCGTTCACCGGACGCCTGTATACGGGGGTGAACCCTCTATGCAATGCGCTAAACAAACTAAAGGATTCAAAGTGCATGTGGCGCTTGCTAATGATCATAACATTTGTTATGTGTTTGCTTTCTTCCGGACTGAGTATGCCGAGATAATATCAGACACACTGTTAGACAAAGATCTTGGGCATCGGTAAAATCTCTTCCAGAAAGGCTTAGCGAAGAAGTGGGGACGCTGGTTAGGATCCGTCGTAGCTAGCCGATCTCGGTGTTTACGAAAACTTAATCTTCAGTCAGCATAAAATTTGAGTGGGAGATATACAATGACACGAGGAAGACTTTATAGTAACTTTAGTGTTGTAGTGAGGTTGAATTCATTGCATTTTCTTAAAAGTTAATGTACCAAGGTTGGGCTCAACTCTGAGACTCCTGTGAGGATGCGGCTTGCTTTTCCAATGAAGTAACAAGAGTGGACTTTTGGCAAACAAAATATCTGTAGGGCTCAAAGTGACCAAATTTCAGTCATGGTTCACTGGTACTAGACAGAATTATTGAAATTGAGCTCAAAGATACAGTTGTGGGGTGAGGTGACTAAGTCACTTCCTACTATGTTTGCATACACACGCACAATATCCGGCATTCGAAAACCAAGAAAAGTGCCTTGGTCTTCCTTTCATATCGCTTGAGAAATGAGAGTATTGTGCATTCGTGGGAAGTCAGGTAATTGAAAACGCAAGCAGAGCATTTGGTCACGGCGTGATAGCATGAACTGAAGCTGCTCAATCAGAACCGAAACTGAGTAGTCTACTAGTTCCCAGAGTGCACTGCGTGGCACTTTGCCACAATGGAGTGCTTCGAATTTTGGAAGAAGTCTACTTTACCCAGGTTCGAAATCTGAAAGCACAACTTTCCTGTACCCTGCCAAGCGACGGATTTAATGCCATCACATTGGATATTAAAACACCATACAAACCTCTTACATTTCATTATCCTTTCAAGGTGAGCTCCAGGTTAGGGTGAAGGCTGCTCTCCTTCGCTTGTTTTGGTCCAAGCTTTATCGAGCCGTGAAACCTTGGCACATAACTAACTCCGGGCTCCGTTCAAAGTATGCACGAAGCGTCTAAATGTCCCTGGCGGGTAGTTTATATGTGCTGCGTGGAAACAGAGATTCATGTTCTTTGATTGAATGTCATTTGTTTCTGGCATGTATATGGCGTGTTTATGGCATGTAGAAGCAGGGATCCACTTTCCTCGAATGATGCGCATTTGTTGTTTGTTTCCTTCACTGTCCTGGCAGATTTGTGTATGAAAGCGATGCAGGTCCCTTCTTGCCACCCAAGGATGCGGTCCCGGTAGAATCTGCCCGGCTTCTGAACGGCGTGTACGGCATTGTGGAGCAAGCCCCCATTAGGTGAACCATGTAGATGGCCCCTTGCATGCGAGGTGGGCACAGAGTCCTCCTTGATTCGTTCCTGTACATATGGAGGCACAAAGTCAATGTTGTGGCTTGAGATTCCTCTTCATTAAACAAAGTTGGTGGCTCTCTCACTGTAAGTGTAAATATAAAGTCACGCTACAAATAAAATACTTTTAACGCAACAATGTTATTTATTGAATTTTTTAGGCTCTTGCCTATTTTTGACACGCATGACTTCATTCATTCAGCTGTGGTGACAAAGATGCATAAGTTTTTCTAATGGGCATGAATGGGAGGCAGACACAAAAACAAGCGGGTTTTTCAGACACATTCCCTTTTCATCTATTTTTACTCCTTCCAAGATTTGCTGTTTCAAAATACTACAAGCAAACAGTTTTTTTGTAAATAACTACTAATTTTTGTGAATTTTTCAATTTTAAAAAATATTGTGGAAAAACTGATTACGCAAATAGATCACCAATCTATTCTCTCCTTTTCGCTCCAGTTGAAATGTGGTGATCGCCAGTGTGCAAGTAACCTTCCAACACTTCTGGTTCTAAACTAGACGGCAGGTTTTGCAATATTTGTGAGGTGTGCTACCTACGGGAAAATGGCCGCTTGTATAGCACTGTCAGGCATAATTCAGTCTTATGGCAAAAAAATAATGAGTAAAAATTGAGAAAAAAAATATTCCCGAAACTCGGATCTTGTAAAATATTCATAGGGGAAGTATAGGTTAGAGGTCTGAAAATCACATAAACAGGCAGGTTAAAGGGGTACGGAAACAAAAATTTAGAGCTTATCTCTTTGCCTAATAACGACCCATCAGATAAAAAAACCTCGAAAACAATGATCGTTGGTCCGAAAAGGCAAGAAAAGATATTTTAAGACGAATTAAACAATATACAATTTTCTCCAAGTGGATGCCCCTGAAGCTTTGTTGGAGGTTCCTGATGTCATTGGCCCCGTAAGAGTAGCACTGTGCCACAGGAGTACAGCATACTAGAGACCATTCCACTAAGAGAATGGAGAGACAGATGCTTTCTCTCCTCTCACGCCGGCGTATCGTCTGCTCTGTAGACTGGACAATACCCAACATCCGGCTGGAGTGCAAACACTGTTGAAAATTGCGTCACTTCGGCAATATTGGGCGCAAAAGTGCGGATTTAGATGTGCAAGTTATCGCATGTTGTTAAGTCCGATAAGGAGACTAGCCGGGCACAGTCCTGCAGTCACCTGCCGCACAAGTAAAAGAAAAGTGAATACGACCCTGTAAGCAGTGCGGTCGATCTGTCGTTTCCGGAAAAAGGTAAATGTGGTCCCGGTAGCTTTTTGCAAGATGAGTTCGCACTGATTTAGGACCTTGGCAACTATGTTTGGGAAGTCTAAATTAAAAAAAAACATGAAAGCAGGTTCTTAATAACTATGAAACAACAACCGTACAATGCTTTTTTTCAACAAACAACAAATCTGTTCAGAATTCGTTACCTGATGGCCTTGAATATGAAGACCTTAAAGGACTTGCATTATTGTGGATGTTTCTAGCGGTCTATTTGTAACCAAAATAACTTTTTGTTATGTTTACGTGGTGTAGGTGGTACTTGGGAAGCGACTAATGGGTGCGCAATCAACTTCGATTCACCGCCGAAAACCCAATGATGTGGATGTGCCGGCGGCGTGGTTTGTTGTTTGTTATATATAAAAAATAAAAACAAAGCAGCTAACTTTGACGTGACAGCACTTCTCTGGCTAACAAAATTCTATCACATTTGGCTGAGAACATGTAAGGAAAACCGCTCTGGGTTTTATTGTTTTCAACCCAGGAGTAAGAAAATTTTTATGTGTGCATGGCATTTCACAAAAAACCAAGAAAGGCTTTTTCGAACTCGCTATTGTACAATCGGGATTGGGCTTTCTGCCGATGCAGTAGACAGCGGTTGAGGTAGTGGTACTGCCGGTGGACTTTGTTGCTATTGAAGCAACCGAACGAAGGTACACTAGCTGATCATTTACTGGAATAAATCAGTAGAGCACAACAAACTGATGCTCAAATATCCATAAATGTTCTAGAAATGCGAACCACTTCATAGCTGCAGCAGCGAGTGAGCGTTGGTTGTTCGTTCGGTACAGCCAAAGTGCAGCCCACGGGTATTGCCAATATACCTGGAGGACCGCCTGTTCGTCGTCTGCTGTAGGGATTGGGTGCATGCCCATCCCTCTTTTACCCCGCCGAATTCTTCATAATGCCCAGGTGAAACAAAATGGCGCCGCTCTGAGAGTGCCTAATGGAATGGTCTATAGTTGGTGAGAGGTTAAGAGGTCAGGGGAAGCTCCTCCCGCCTCTTTCCACTTTAGCAGAGTAAATGCTGGAGAGGTGACCTCCTATTCAGCATTTGCTCTGTTAAAGTGGAAAGGGTGGGAGGAGCTTTCCCGGAACTCATAGCCTGTCACCAACTACAGTGTACAGTCGAATCTCATCAATTCAAACTCTCTTAATTCAAACTTGCGAATAGATCAAACTAGCATGCAGGTCCCATCCTATGCGGAGGAAACTCCCGGTAATTCAAACTTTGCTTTATTCAAACAAACTTTCGGTTCCCCTCGACTTTGAATTAACAAGATATGACTGTATATGAACCGGGCCTTAACGCTAGCACAAGAGATCACCAGAGAATGCCACCGTTGAGTAGGCCATGCTGGGCTGCGTGGGCAATCTTCGTAGAACCGTCCCTGCGTTGACGAAGTTGATGGCCGTCCCCTTCGAAAAGATTGTTTGCTTCGTTGGACGAATCAAATGTTCGTCATCATTCTGTGTGTTTACAGTGAGATGCTGTGCTGTTGCACAACAGAGGGTTTAGGCAGCAGCGTGGTGTAGCAACTATTGTGAGATGCCAACGCACTCGTGCTAGTCTGTCATGCCCCAAGCTTGTGCGGCAATCATTTATGTATGTACTAAAGACTTTAATATGAAAGGAGCACAAGGGTGCTAAAGTAATACTGTCGAGGCCGGTTATAACGAAGTCCACAGGAATCGGAAGTCACTTCGCTATATCCGCTATTTCGTTATAACCGACTTCGTTATAATTGGTCCAGACAGTATGTGGACCGAGCAACAGCATGGCTTGACCGAAGAACCGCATGCTTGACTGTGATCTTGTTGCAAGCAAGCTGGCGCAGCCGACTAACGTCGTCGTCGAAGTAATAATAATAATAATAATAAATAATAATAAATTGTTTTATTTTTCTCATGTCCACAAACAACCTCTCGGTTTACAGTGTGGTGCACTAAACATACGTGGAGTAAAACCTCCATGTATGTTTCAAATAATCTTCATGTTGAAGTGTGGATTTTGAGTTAGAAGAAAATACAGGGTTTGGCCGAATATTTTCGATTCGAATATCAAAGTTTTTCCACGCCTTTCACTACCATTGCGTAATGCTTAGACGAAAACCCAGCTAAACTCGTGAACGTTGTTCCACTTATTCATTAATAAGCTAAGTTTATCTATATTTTTGAACTGTGTCTTTATCAGGTCTGATGCCTTATTAATACTTTTCCAAGTGTTTATTGCGGCGGGTTACCCTGTTGAGTGCGCTTCTTACCGAGCACCGATGTAATGAAGAGAGGCAACATCCGCTGAGCTCGCTTTCGCGGGAATTGCTTCTCCGCTGTGCACCGGTGCTCGGAAAGAAGCGCACTCAACGGATCTAACCGACCGCAATGAACACTTCGAAAAATGCGAATAGTGCAGTTCTTCTCGAAGCGAATTTTGAATAGTCTATTATTCGAAACTACTATTTTAAATGACGAATACTGTAAAACCCTTTATTTTCGTGGCCCCTATTTTTCGCGAGTCGGTCACATATGACATAATTGCGACCACTAAATTTCGCGAATTCCAGACGCCTGCATTGAAAATCTTCAGGACCGAAATTTTCGCGCGCCCTTAAATTTCGCGAATTCTTCAATTCGTGAAATTCGCGAAAATTGAGGGCTCGCGAACACTAAGGGTTTTACAGTATTCGCACAACCCTACTGTGAACGCGTTGGCGGCGGCGGTCGAGATGGAGCGGTCACGCTGTCATTTGGTCTTCGCGTACCTCGACACAATGAGGTTGTAACGTGTCGACTCCACCATGTGGCAAAGCTCATATCTACCGTATGCTTGGCTATGCCAGGAACAATGACGTAATCGGTGCACCTGACTTCCCAAGACGCATTGGGCACTCGTCAATGGCTGATTTTGAAGCGCTCGCAAAACTCCGGCATTAAGAAAGAAACATGTAGCCATTCCGCTCAAAATATGCAAATGTGATTATCATTTACAGGTACTATTGATCCTATTCCACTTGTTTCTGAACGTTTTCCATACATTAAAAGTTTCATTTTCTGCACATTTAAAGTTTCATTCCTTACATTTAAAGTAACACTTTAATAATATAAAGTTTCAATTCAGTATTTCTTTAACGCCCAGAACCTATATGGAGAAACGTCAGTGGTACTTAAATAGAAGCCAGCAAATGGAATGGCATCGAACTACAGAAGTTGGTCAGAATAGAAGTAGACTTTCCAACAAACAAAAGCAAAACAAAAAGGTCAGGCTGGGTATTGCTGCTGGCAACAGTGGTGTACTTGTCAGTGAATGGGCTTTCAATTTAAAAATTCCAGGGTAAGAAACTTATGCTCCAACTCATTGTGTGTGTTTTTGTTGCATTATGTTTTAGTCAAAGCAAAATAAAAATGCTTAAAAGGAACTAGGCATTTACAGGGTCTTGAGTGATATTTGGGCATAAAAAAAAGTACAATGAATGGACCACTGGAACTTCTCACAAAGGTGTCTTTAAATTTGCCTTTTTCATACTCAAATGCCATTCAAAAACAAATTTCAGACTCAAATTAAGCCTAAGAAATCCCTTTTTTTTTCTATATGCTCAGGGACATAAATGGCCAAGACTGTCTGATTGATGCTGCCATTCATAGATGGTAACCACACGTGTTCGAACCTGCTGGATGTGATTGCAGGTGTTCATCTCGGAGAAGTTTTCATGTTTTCACTTTACGTTGTGCCATCTGTAAGTAACAGCATCGACCAGATTTTTTAAATATTTTTTTTCTTATTGTGCATAGAAAAAAAGCTCAAGGTACACCTAAGCACTTCTTCTTACGAGTTTAAATGCGCAAGCCGCTCGTCCACTCCCTTTTTCGTCTGCTGCATACTTTTCGTCGCCGGTCAGCGCGCGTGCTCCCCTGGTGACCTTGGACGCTCTATGTTAACGGCCCACTGATGGACACGCAGCGCCATGGAGTGAGCGATTATGGAAACTGATGAGCGCAGCGGCCAATGGGAGCCCCGTCGATGTGTGTCAGCCAATGGAATCAAAGGCGATTGCGGTAACTAGGTGCCGCTTTCGCTCTTCAAACTGATGACGTCAGCTCGCTAAAAAATAACTAAGCCTAAAAACTCTTGTTTTAATGCGAAAGCATTAAAACAAGTTTTTAGGTTTAGTTATTTTTTTTCCTGAAAATTACTATCATGAAATTTGAGTATGACAAATGATCCACCTAAAGACGCATTTGTGAAAAGTTACAATGCATTTCTTTTACTGGCTTATTTATGCAAATTTCTATGCACCCGAATAACGCTCCTGTAATGATGTGCCCTGGGGACATTACCTTTCTTGTCATGCATATAATATAAAGTACAAAAAAGCAAATCATGTTTAGACCAAAAGAAACCAACTGAAAAATTGACCTGTTTTGATCAATTGATAAATTACTACACCATCTTGGTTGCACACTATTCCGAGACACTGAAATGTGGCTACAAGAAGTAATTGTGTCTGAAGAGGCATTTATTGTCCAAAACATCCACTGTTTCAGGTAAAAGAGAAAAGAATCAATAAGAATACAACTGAGACTAAACATGTTGGAGATAAAAGCATATTTTTAAAACCACTGAACGTCAGCACTCCAAAAGACACATATACCTTGTTTTAATAAGTATCGGTGGCAGTGGCGTCACTAGGGTCCGCAGCATGGTCGATGTGACTCCCCTCCCCTCCCCCCCTTTCACTGCCCAGCTGCAACCCCCTGAGCGCTGCACCCAAAGCGATCTGCTTCCCCCCACACACACTTAGTGACGCCACTGATTGGCGCAACAGATGCTGTCAGCCGATTGGGCCAATAGAGTAATTCTAAAAACACAAGGTCACAATGTTCATAATCTTTCTGTGCATCGGCTATCATCGACGAGACCAAACAAGCAGAACGAGCCGCGACCTTGCGCTTTCAGTACATCCATGCTCACATTCTACCCTTTGACTGCACTTGGACTTCTAATGAAACTATATAGGTATAACTCGGGCACCAGTGCAACACCAAGTGTTCAAAGATGTCCAATACTTTTCCAGACGGGGAACGCAAAAATTTATTTGACTGACCAATAAATGAGACGGCTGCCATTGGCATTAATTCAAGGTCAGTCAGCTGGTTGTGAATCCACCTTTGCTTCTTATGCAGTATATACCCATCTAGAGCAGCATTGTCCTTGGGAGGTTAATGTACACTGTCAACACAGGTGAGCCCATGTACACGTGTTTGTAGGTGGTCGACCAGAGTGAAACTCTGATCACTAACATCGGTGAGGCCCGTTTCTGGGTTGTTATTTTCATTCAAATCTCCATCACTCTGCTCGGGCTGGCTGACTCTTTCACAGCTAGTAGGACGTACCAATGTCACTGGATCCTGGGAAACTAGTGCCAAGCACCCCCGTATGGTCACCATCTTGGTTCATGGAATGGGCAGTTTCTCTTTGACCTCGCCATTTTTGGCGAGCCAATCTAAATTCGCTTGCGCCGGGTAGTTTTATACACCAACTCATGTTTACAAGCGAACCGGAGCGCCACTAGCAGCGCACCAGCGGCACCGCGCATTCACAGTGGAGTATGGGGAAGAAGCACCGCATCCCACATCAACAAACCATCGAAATCTGATTTTGTCGGCGCCAGTGCGAGCCCATGTGCTCTTTCTTGCATTGGACTTGTTGATTTTGTCTCCTAACAATGTCTTACTACTTTAGTGGCCTGAAGAAAGTTAACAAAGCTCGTTACACTGCAAATCTTTGGTAAATAATGTGGCGTGCGGCGACTCATTCCGCGTGAACGCCGCAGATTGGACACTTAAGCCTGATTAGCATGAAAAGATTCTGCTTGCTATTTTCAGTCGCGATGACGCTCGGTCTGGAAAAGCGTGGACGGTAGCTGCGAAGCTCGATGTTGATAATGAAGATCGCAAGCGGAATTGGAAGAAGTGAATCGGGCATAACAAGTCGGTGATGTCCACTGGTAACAGTGATCAACATCTCCTTGTATTGTACCGTTTACACTAAGCTTACTCACCCCAAACAACCTTCAAACTTACAAATCTTACGAGGCCTGCACTTACCTCTTATTGAGATATTTGGTCAACTGGTAGCTGTCATTTGAACAAGCAGACGACAGTCTGAATGAGTTCGAAAGAGCAGACGACAATGAGAACAATCAGACGGCCGTTTCAACGTGAAGACTCACTGAATGTGGCCCGCAGGTGGTCTGGACAACTTGACGATTTTCCTGTGTTCATGTTGGAACAAAACAAAAAAATCTCACGACCACAAGTGTCTGTGAATTCAACCCAGAGTGCTTCCCACACAAGCAATCATGGTCCGATGGTGTCCGAGTTTTCCTTTTCACAGTGCCTATCCACGTTCTCAGACGAACCGAGCAGTCAGAAAACACATGAAAACTGATCTTCATATCTTTCCGAGCTGTTTTGATAGAGCTCCAGCTGCCGCATTTAGACGAGAAAGCAGTTTCTTTTTTGGTTTCTTTCAAATTGCCACAAAAATGCCCGACCCACATGATGACCTCTGCTCACAGCCCCAGACTGGAAGTGTGCCTGATCTGCCGCCACTGCAGCATGACGTAGCAGAGTTGAGTTGGTGTGTAGAGATGTTTCCTGAATACCGAAATTTCGTTATCCACACCGGCGAAACAAGCGCACATCTTTGCGTCGCCACCACATGTGGCGCCAGTGTTGGATGGCATTGAAAAATAATTTTCCTGTTTTTAAATATGCAAGAACAACAATGCCATTGCAAGAGATCTGTGGAGATAAGCACGACTGATAAGTGGGCTGCATGCAGAGCGCCAAAGGCGCTTTTATTGGCGAGGGATGCTCCATGGCACTCTTGGTGCGACTGGTTTTGAACAGACCTTTCAAAGCTTCGAAGATCTGAATGGACCTAAATGGCGATTGCCATGGCAAGTAAGACTGATCAGCCAATCATCTGGCAAGGTTTGATCGTCTGTGTGTTGGTATCTGTTTGTGTCGGGCTAGCAGGCAGGAAAGGCAATGGCACTACTTTCATAGGATCCAGTGACTTTAGGACATAGCATTCTGTTGTCTCTCATGCTTTTGAATGTGCTGCGTCAGGTCTCCACGCACAGCAAAGGCTTTGGGACATTGCTTGCATTTGACAGACCTCTCACCCATATGCCTTTGAACGTGCTCTGTCAGGTTCCTAAGTGTGTTGAAGGTTTTGGAACAAGTCTCGCATCCATGTGTATTCGAATGCGCCGTATCATTTCTCACTTCGACTAAAGGATAAGGGACAACACTTGCATTTGTAGGGCACCTCGCGTTTGTGTATTCGCATGTGGCGGATAAGTAAATATTTTTGAGTAAATGCTTTGTGACACTGCATGCATTTGTAAGGTCTGTACCCCGCATGTGTTCGCATGTGAGTTGTACAGTCTTTACTTCGGACAAAAGACTTTGGACAGCTGGTGCACTTGAACGGCCTATTACTGACGTGCACTTTGATGTGATGTAGCAGAGCGCCCTTCCAAGTGAAGGCTTCGGGGCACTGTTCGCATTTGTAAGGCTTCTCATTTCTTTGGCTTTGCACGTGGAAACTTAGAGAACTTTTCTGAGCGAACACTTTGAGGCATTCCCCACATCTAAAATGGTTTTTACCCGTGTGCGTTTGAATGTGACTGACCAGATCGCTATTTTTCCGGAATTCTGCAGGACACAGTTGACACTCGAAAGTTCTTTCTGGCTTGTGAATCTCGGTGTGGCATCCCAAGTTTTCCCCTTTAGAAAAGTGTTCTGGGCAGTGCTGGCACTTGAGTTGTTGTTCACAATTATGGACAACCAGGTGATCGAGGATTGCACGCTGATCCCTGGTGATATGGGTGCAGAAGCAGCATTTGAAGAGAATGTCCGTCGTGGGTCCTGGTAGGCAGCCGACATCCTTCGAGCATGCACCTCCATCACCTGCAGAAACAAACGTCCCCTCGTGCATTGTGCAGCAAACATGCACCAAGACACACTGGTTTGGCTATTCCGACGCTCCTAAAATGACAAAAAAAGCCACACATTTGATCCGAAAGCACGTTCACCTGGTTGTCACTTCAGTTCAATATCACTGTGCACGTGTCCAACGGCAATTAAACGAGCACGCTTCTCTTTTGTGAATGCGCTCGTAATTGAAAAACACGTCAGAGGTGTCCGACCCCTTGCAAGCTACTCGCGTATAATAGCGCATATGACACTGATCCAAATGGAAAATTAACTTCCCTTCCTGTTCTCCCAGTTGGAACACTACAAGAAAAACGGTGAGGCCGCCGATTGGCCAGCACTGCACTTCACCTTGACGCGCTAACCTATCTCGGCGGTCGGCGGTCTCGCCAACTTGCTCGCCGAGCGTCCAACCCCTGGACTACAGGGATGGCAGATAGTGAGCTCCAAAGAGTCATTCTTGAGAGAAGTATGTCTGAAACCTTCCAATCACAGGGAGGTTTACGAAGCACGAGTTGCAAGAGACCAAACAGCAAGTGCCAGCACACATTACCTAAGCCTGAATTTCAGGGAGTGCTAATCGTGGCTATAAGATGTGTTAACATGGCTCTCTCCAACCTCGGCAAATGAAAAAATGGCCTGCTTCGGAAAAGTTCCCACTTGTAGCATGTGCCCGCAAGCGACGAATGCACGAGCAAACGTGCTGCTGCCGTTGTCTTGGGAAGATTTGCAAGACCCTGCTCACGACTCACAATCGGTTTAGACACGACAATCGTTTTTTGACCAGGTCAGGAGTAATCACAAAAGGCTCGAGGTACAACTAAAGAAGAATGACATGCATGCGAAAGCATGCACGTCATTCTTTCGCTTCCTTATTTTGTCTGCAGCGTATTTGCGTCAACGGCAGAGCGCGCCCTCTCCTCGTTGCTCTGACCTTGGACGTTTCATGTTGTCAGCGCGCTAACGGACACGCAGCGCCATGGGGTGGCGGTTGTTAAAACTGACGCACAGCGGCCAATGAGAGCCTTGTTGGTGCGCCCCAGTCAATGGGACTAAAACCGAAATCCCTCAGCTTTACTCCGCTCCTTTGGGATCGGGGAAACTAGGGGCCGTTTGGCTAGGCTTTTCGCGTGGTGTCATAGCTGGGAGCTAGCTTCACTTGGAGAAAGGGTTCAAGGTGCTGTTTGGCGCGGCTTCAAAGCTGATGACGTCGGCTCGCTCCACGGGACCAGTTGATACTTTCGCATTAAAAGTCGTTACACTGCAAGATGCTCATCTCCAGGAAATTTATTTGAATAACCTAACATTATTTGTTTTAAAAGAAACACCAAAAAAGGGGAAAAGAAACACACATTTCACAAAATAAATTTTATGCATAAAATAAAATATTTTAGTGCAATGCTTACACTGCGAGACACAATTTAGGTGAAGGCAGCCCTGCTCTACACTGCACTCATTAGTAAAAGGTGCTTAGCTAGCTAAGCACCAGCTGTTAATGGTTAGAGAGATGACTGACGTGTAGAATGTTGGTTGTGGAATTGTTTCTTCGCAACGTGATAGTCTTTTGTTCGACATATTTTGATGTTTGAGAAACAAACAATCGAGATAGTCATTATTGTTTTCAAAAAAATTGCAAGATTGCCACTTCCGTTTTGATTTCAAACGATAACAAACACTGCTGCCAACATTTGCGGCGAGTAATTCTATACACCGCGAAGTTGTCGAGCTCGATTATTTCTACGAGTGCGAGTCATCCTGCGTTCACAGAGGTGTTTAGAGGAAGATCTCCTCACTCGACTTAGTTCGCAGCAAACAAATGTTGTAAGCACATGCCTTCAGAAGTGCTGTGCGGGTGCTTGTTTTCATAGTGGGACTGGCATAAGCATAGCGTTCTGTATCCACTATTTTGCTTGATCTGGCTTGATTTGTTTGTTTGCGTGTGCCGAAGCTGCATAAAGATATTCCCGTAAAAGCGGCCCTGCTGCTCTGTGAATTGGGCAACCGCCTTGACTGCAGCCATGGTTTTAGTACTAAAAGGATACCTGCACAGGTAAGAATTTGTGAGCCATTTGGCTGGAGGCAATTGGCAGTTCGTCTTGCATCACTTTTGTTCAGGTATGCTCCCACCATTTTGCTCTTGGAGGTCTGTGGCTCTTAAGTTTTGAGCAGCGCACCTGGCTTGCCAAAGCGAATAGTTTTAGGTTTCCGTTTTGATTGTGCATCATGACGTTCGCCCACCTTGCTTGTGGACGCTATGCAAGAAAACAAGAACACAGAGGCTAAAGAAAACTCCATAGACGCTTTCAGGCAGCTGTGCATGGGCGCAGCCATAACCGACCTTCAGTTTTTGTTTCCTCTTATTCCGTTCGCTCCACTTCATCATTACCGCAGGTCATTGCCATTTTAGATTCTACTGCCTCCTCCTCCCTATCATTGACCTTTGTGAAGGCTCGTCCACGCCCACTCGGTAAGACAATAGAAGGTCGGCTATGGTGGCTTAATTTGGCGTGCGCTGAAAGCGTCTATACTTATTTTGTTGACTTTCTTTTAGTTCTTTCGGTCGCTTGTTAGCACACATTGACAGACACTTGTATTAAACTGTGTCCCGCGCACAATGGAACGCTGAGCACCATTTTCATAATCGCGTCCTACAGGCGTTGCAGATGGTGCTAGATGATGGATGCATGATAGATGGATGCAGTGAATGGCGGACGCTTACACGGCGCTGTCATGAACGAATTTTGCGTGCGTTGCAGACGGTGGTGATGTGTGATCTAATGGCAGAGGGGGAACGGTGGCCGAGTGGACTAGCGCACACCAGCTCGGAGCATGTGGAGCGAAAACTCCCGCTGCAGAACCCAGGATCCTGGGCTCAATCCCCACCCCTGCCCATTTCGATCTGGATGAGCATCGTACCGGCGTGCGGTCGTGTATCACTACTGCGTGATGCACAATATAGACCCCAGGCTAGTGGTTGTACTGCACTGGCTAAATTTCACATCTACAGCTGGGAGACTCGTCGCCCATTGAAGCAGACCAAGTTCTAGGCTGTATATACATACACACAAGCCAATTTTTTTTTCTAATGGCAGATGCCATACATTGTTGCACGTCTGCTTGCATGACCAGTAGGTGGTGTTAAACGGTAGTCTAGATGCACCGGACATTGTGACAAAGGGACATTAGACTCGCACATGTGTTGAACCGAGCAGCTGAGGTAATCCAGTAGTAATGGGCGGAGCCACTGATCTTCACCGAAATTGCATCTTGCAACATAAATATTGCACTAAAAATATTTTATTTTTGTGGGAAAGTTATTTAATGACATACGTGCCCCGCCACGAGTTTTTTTAACCAAAAACATGTTTCCGAATGGTCAGGTTTCGTTTTCAAAGGAATAATATAAAGAAGATGTCAAAGCTCAGGTTTGTTTTTTTACCTACCCAGTGGGAACACGTACAGAGCTTGCAAGCTGTTCATGTTTAGAAGCATCCAATGGAAATATTGAAAGCAAAAGGTTGTCACCTTCCATTCGATTTCATCTTTTCACGTCCGCTTCTACAACAACCTGGCGGTTTCAGATTCCAAACTAGAGGCACTTAACAGAGCTTTTTCGTCCAATGGTAAGCTCTCATTCCTGAATTCCATTCTGAGAAGCGTTAGAAGTCTGGATCGGAAGAGGCGGCACTCCGATTGCCACTACTGCCAGAGCAGCCAACATGCGAAGGGACCGTCTTGTGCGTATTAAGTGCACCAAGCATCAAATTTCAAAACTATACATAGCCCCAGCAAAGCAAAACACTGTGTGAATATAATGTTTGTAGTTTTCCAGAGACATAACAAACGGCAACACCTTGCACAGTGCGTGTGGTTTTGCGCTTAGGCGGGCACCTTCAAATGTGTGATTGCCACTGTAAATGTACAGCAACGACCAACAAAGGGTTAGTAAATAGAGTGTGGAACTCTGCCAAAAAAATGAACAACATAACAGAAGCTGAAAGAGGTGCATGAAGAAAACAAAAAGGGATCCTCGGAGTGTTTGTCTGAAATATATCGCCCCTTAGAAAGCAAAGTCCAGGCTCATTTACACCTGGGTTATGGAAAAGAAAAAATGAGAGAGTAATGATGCATTCATTGAACGAGTACATTAGAGTTATTCACATAGTAGCCATGAGAATTACCTGGTAGTACTGTACATATGAACAGCCAACACCATTTCCCAAGGATGAGATGAAGGGGAACAAGGGGGACAAAGGACAAACACAACCAAACACAGCTAGGTGACTGGTGCACGACCGAAAACATTCACTTGGTCTTGGTATCGAACCAGGTACCTCTCCATTTCCAGTGGAGTGCTCTACCAACTGAGCTAACCAGGAGTTAGACGTCAGTAGAACAATCGGGCTTCACTGGAAATGGAGAGGTCCTTGGTTCGATACCAAGAACAGGCAGATTTTTTTGGTTGCGCACCAGTCACCTAGCTGTGTTTGGAGATTTGTGTTTGTCCTTTGTCCCCCTTGTTCCCCCCCTCCAGGGATTATAATCATCATTTTTGTTCAGCTCGCTTGCACCTTTAAATTAATTGCATTATCATTATGAGATGAACCCCAATGAAATGAAAGAGGATACATCTCCACGGTGTGCGAGCTCCACTTTGATGAGTGGTTTGTCCAGAGATTTTTCTCTGGTGTTCTGTGTCGAAGGAGACATCGTCAGAACCAAATGAACTATATCCCACTCCTGGTGCCAGACACCGTTTCGAAGGTGTTCCCAAACCTGTCGAAGCATCTCACAAAGAAAGATGTGCCTAAAAAGCACAAAGATTGCACCCTCTCAAGGAAGCAAGTCAGACTGTGAAGTGCTTGTGCCCAAACGTTGCCCTTCATACAGAGTTCACTGACAGTGCCAGATTCAGATCTACGGGGTGCTCTAAAATGCATCACGAGGGAGAAATTTTTGCCACTGCATAAAAGATCATATTTCTTCAGAGTCAAATCTGGGCGCAAAACGCATCTCATTCATGGGTAAACAGGAGTGCCATATTTCTGGGTACATGGATTAAACTTTTGGCTTGAAAACAAAGTACAGCTTTGTCTAGTATTCCTTGAAATTGACTCACAAACAGTGAGGTATCTAAAATTTGTTTCATTCTTAAAACTTACTTGGAAAGTCTTCTGTGCACTCCACTTGTTTATGTAGTGTCCTAGGTGCAGGTAGAGGAACCATGTTCTCTTTGACGTACTCGCAGCCCTTGCTTCCACACACCGTTTCCGTGGATAAAGCATTCGGCACAGTTGCATTCCGGCTGGAGCTTGCCTCGATTGTACCTTTCTCCGACGTTCTAATTTGATCAGCAGTGAAGGTGTGACTTGTAGGCTGTCGAACTTTGCCTCTTTCTTCTTCTGTTTTCCAACACTTCTTCTGTTCAAGGTACGGCGTCAGCTCTGGCTTCTTTTCTCGGTTCAAGCCACTTTCATGCAACTCCACAGTTTCTGCTTGAGGTGCATCGCAAGGAGGTTTCGCTGCAGGTGCTGCAGCAGGGAAAGAATGCATGAAGAACACAGTGAACCTATGGGTAAAGGAGGACACAAAATGATCAAGCGTTGTACACCTGAGATGATTAATCAGAGAAGAGTGATTTTTTTTTTTTTTGGAGCGCAGCTCTTAGGCGCCTGTTTCCGGGTTGAGCGGTGTCGCTGTCGGCGTAACAGCGCGCATTGCATTATGGGAAATTTTCCTGCTAAATTTAGCTGGGAAGTTTTCCCGCTAAATCTAGAGTAAGAATTTTTCCACTAAAATTAAAATTTTCCAAATAAATTTAGCAGGGAAATGTTTCCGCTAAATTTAGCAAGAAAATGTTTGCTAAATTTCCTGCTAAATTTAGCGGGAAATTTAGTAAAAATTTCTTGCTAAATGGAGGGCATAAGGCGAGGAGGATACGGTAGGGGGAGAGGGAGAGGGTATATTCTCCCCTCCTCCTCCTCAAGAGCTGCACTCTAATTCGGCATTACAGAGAATTGTAATCGTCTTCAATTTTTTTAATACCCTCGAGGCTAGTGCACAGATTTGCGTATTAGTGTGCTCGAGTCTAGTGCGTTCCCTCATAACGCACCGACACTTCAGGTGGCCCCGGAACACTTCCGACTTGTGTATGACCAGACTGAAGGTTTTGCAGCAGTTGCAGAATCAAATCTACGCACTACCTGTAAAATTCGCCTCGGATATGCCATAGTTGGCACACACCGATGTATAATAAGTACAGACATTTAACACCTATTTCTCTCTTGTCGCTTATAGACAAAAGTTGGTGAAGATTTTACAAATCCAAAATTTCTGAACGATCACGTGATCGTCAGCAGTGAGGCTAGGAGGGTGTATTATTCACTTTAAAGGCGTCTTCAGAACACACATGATAAAGTTCATTGATTCACAAGAGCGTCTCAACTTAGTGAAGGGTCCCCCCCCCCCCCCCAGCTTTAACTTACAGAAACAAACTAAGACAGGACAGAACAGGATAAAACAGACGACTAACAATTTTGCTTTAGTACACTATTCATATGCGTAATTGTCTTCTTCAGAGGCTGTTCACATATACAGTGGAATCTCGTTAATTCAAGCTCGCAGATAATTCAAACTAACATGCAGGTCCTGTCGTATGTGTTTCTAGGAAGGAAACTCCCAGTAATTCAAACTTTGCATTATTCAAACAAAGTTTTGGACCCCCCGGGTCTAAATTAACGAGATTCCACTGTACGCAAAACGATTATTAGTTACAAAGGTTATTTTACACCAGGAATGGATCAAATTTAATGTTAACCGCCGAAATTCAACCAATTCAACTTGCTTGGCTTTAGCACTATGGAGTTGGACAAGACACCTGTATGAACATTGGGCGAAGGAGCAATGTCTGCATCTCTAAAGGTGACAAATATTTTGTTTTGAAAACACAAACAGCTGATTACATTCCAACAAAAGAAGGCAAGTGAAGCTTAATGCTCTATTGCAATTACCTCGCTTCTCCGTGGTTGGAAGATTCCACTCCGCATTGAGAAGCAGAGATGGAACTGCGTTGGCCTTCAGCTTGCGTCTGCCATTAACCAGATCAGTCTTGAACTCCTTTGCTTCAAAGTGGTCCTGGAATAACACAGGGGTCAAGTTGAGTCCCCAGACAACATTGGATGAAGCAGGGAAAAAAATTGTAGAGCCATTCCACTCTGTGAAGCTGGTTGGCCAGCAAAGCAGTAATGAATCCTACAACGATTTACCCAATGCGACATGGCGCACACTCTTTATTTACTTTGTAAGGACATTCACAACTGCTTTATGATCAGAGTGATACACGCTAAATTTTCTGTTCTCACTGTAAAGAAATTCTCAGCTAAAGTTCGATCAATGCATGATCCATGAATGATGAATGGTAGTTGGTTGAGTTACATCGGTGAAGCACATGAGTGCAGTGGCATAAGCAAGGGGGGGGGGGGGGGGGGGGGGGGGGGGGTTGGGGGTCGAAATCCCCCTGAAATGCCAAAGTTGCCCCCCCCCCCCCCCCCCCCCCCCCCCCCCCCTCTGATGGGCCCGCTCGCTACCCTGCTCACGCAGTCGGTCTTGCACGGGGCACAAGGCAAAGCTGGAGCACGGACTATCTCCAACTTATATGCTTTCGGGAGGAATGTTTGTGGGGTAGAAAATGCTCAAGTAAATAAAATAGTCAATATTTCTTCATTCAGGCTTATTTGATGGGATGTGGAACTTATCTCAGATATATAGAGAAGAATTTGATCTCAGATATGTAGAGAACAGATATTTCTAAACATTTGTGGGGTGAAAGATGGCAATTTCAAGGCAAAGTATAACCAGCTATCCTCACTCAAATACATAGTTAAATCAAACTAAAAAGTGGACCTAATAAAACGCAGATATGGTGATAATATAAAACAATGTCAGTGATGTAAGGAATATTAAATGAATTGTAAAAACAATTGCACTGTAAGCAATGGGTGGCGCTGCGTTCGCGCACACTTTGTGTACTGATCAGAATTACGTGCTTTCGACTAGAAATTACCGGGAATAAAAAAAGTAACGGTGCTAGTTATTTCAGAAAGCAATTTACAGGCTCTCTTGATCATTTCATTTATGCCAAGCGCCTACATATTCAGATGCAGCCGCCTCCGTACACGGCAAAGAATATTCAGGATGTCCACCGCTTGAACCTCAATGTCGCAGTGAACATTCAAAAGCACTAGACCGAGCAGTCGCTCATTGATGTCGACGCTCTCAGGTATGTTTTCAACTGTCGTAGTGAAGGGAACGAGTGCTCAGCTTCCGCCGTTGTTACGTGCAGAGTCACTAGGATCTTGAGGAGACGATAAACATTTGGGAATAAAGCCTCTGGACAGAGGGCGACCGCATGTAGCACAGATGCGACGGGCATTTCATGTTTCTTCCTCTTTCATTGGACGCCCAAAATTTTCCCATTTTTGGTATATTTTCCTATTTTTGGTGAAGTTTCCCTCACTTCGTGAAATTTGCCTCTATCAAGACGCACGTCTCGATGGTCACTCACAGATGCGATGAAATCTGTCTTGCTTTCTGCTTTGCATGTTGAGGTGGCATCCGATGCAATTCGTTATTAGATTAATCTTTTCGTTGCACGGAACGCCAGAAACTCCGAAGAGCCTGCATATTCTCACTATGCATAGGCACAAGGGTATTGAAGTTCGTTTCCATGTTCGGCGTGTGGTTTGAGTCTTTGTGTGTATGTGTAATGCCATTTCTCCGAGCGACGGTACGACGAGTTCCGACTGACTTCTCATTGCCCCAACAATGATTACCAGTGTGGCTTGATCCATTTACAGTGAGGAGAAGTGCATTTGCATGGAGCACTCAATGTCAGATTTGGGTGTATTCGGTGAGATGTAGACGTTGATGGCGACATTGTCGTCAATGCTTAGAGGAAGACTCTGGGCAGTCGTTTGTGCATCGATGGGGACGCTTACGACTTGGCCTTTAATCCCAAACTGTTTGCCTCCGTGAGCGAGACGTCTCATTGACATGAATAAAATCCGTGGTGCAACGAGATGTTCTTCTAAGATGTTTAGCGGAGGCAGATGTGCTAGGATTGGAGGATATACGTATCCATGAGTCTTGGAGAGTAGAGGCACTTTCCCTTCTAGTAAGGAATCCTTGCACGCACCACACACTTTAAAGTTCACAACTTCTTCCTCAGGAAAGAAACACGACCACATGTCGAGGGCGCTTTGCTTCTTTTGCGTATTGGTCACATTTGAGATGGACATCAAATTGTCCTGGTACCACAGTTAATCACACACATCACAAATAAAGCCAAATTGCACGTCACAAAAATGTCTCTTAAATTTTGCATTCGCTCCGTTGAAATTTTGAACTTTGTTTTCGTGGTACTTGTGTCGTTTGGCAGCGTTCTCTGCTTCAGCTTCACGTATTCCCTGAGCACCTATACGGCGCTGACGCTTGCGATTGGTTCTCTGGTGGCAAATACTGGGTCCTGCTTAGCCTCACGCATGCATTCAACATCTTGGGCGAGAGCTGCTGGGTTTTGCCTACGACGCTGTTGAGCAAGACGATTTTGCTTCCTGCGTCGCTTATCATATTCACGTTGTTCTTCGGAAGTTTTAACTTTACCTGGTCTACCCATAGCAGTCTTGTGACGCATGTGGCGGGAGGCTACGTACTTCGCATTGTTTGCAGGCGCTATTATCATCCATCAAATGGTTTGACTTCACACAAAGGCTTCGAATGACGTCAACCCCTTTTCAGAGCAGCTGCAACCGTAATCTGTACCGGGCAGTCTTTTAAACGTTACTAAAAAAAAGTAATCGATTACAATTACTATTACTCTTGGCTAAAAAGTATTTGATTAGATTACTGGATTACTCGACGGCAAAAGTAATTGGACATTACTTAAAGAAGTAATTGTTACTTTTCCGATTGCTTTATTGTGTAAAGACACATCTTTAGCGCTCATAACAACGAACTACTTCCAACCTATACTTCACATTTGCACAAGTACTGAAGAAGAAAAACTGGCTCCCTCTTCGTGGTCGTTGCACCTTCACAATGCGGACACAAGCATAGAATTCGTTTCAAGACGTTTAATGATTTGGGCAATCGCCAGTCTGTGTGTGTGTGTGTGTGTGTGTGTGTGGGGGGGGGAAACGGAGGGGGTTCTAGATCTTGTTAAGCTTGAGCAAGGGTTGTCGCTCAAAGTTTGCGTCGCTCATTTTATTATTCACATGTGGATGAGCTCGCATGTTATACAAAAGAGCAGCAGCTCCAGGATTTGAAACGGATCATGTGTAGTATCCATTAGCGGAAGAGATCGCCCCGACCACTTCTCAACTCGAAACATTGCTTGTCACAAAGACCACGAGGGGGAATGGGGAAATATTTCAGCTGCCTTTGTTATATTTTGCATCCGCTTAGGCATTCTTCGGTTCTGGTTCTCCTACGGGCTGCGAGTAGGTACCCTAAGCAGGATTTTTTAAATTAGCTACATTCTGCTTCCTCAAACTTCGCCCTGAATCGCCTTTGTCACACACTGTGGCTTCCCTGGGGCTTCCCACAAAAAAAAAAAAAAAACGGACATTCCACAGAAACTGTACATAGAAAGAGATTGACCTCGTTCCCTACAGCTCCGCAAAAATCTTTATTTTTTCCGTTCGAAAAAAAAAAGCAAATTTTATTTTTGTAATTTCATAAAAAAAAGGCGTGTGCGGGGGGGCCGTGGACAAATTGTAACGGTTACAAGTAATTTTATTACTTCAAAAAGTAATCAGATTACTCTTGTGATTACTGCCTAATAAAAGTAATCAACTGATTACAAAATTACTCCAAAAAGTAATCGATTACAAGTAATTTGATTACTTGCAATGCGTACGGTACAAGTCTGGAACCGAGAAATGCATGTTACGTGCTTTGCATTGCTCACATGTGCCTTGTCATCCATCATGGAATTTTGATTCTTTTTTTTTTTCTTGTTTGAAACGAATATTTCGCTTTATACTGTATGGCCTTGGAGTTTTTTGTTGACAACGACAGAAAAGAAACCATGGTGGGGTAGAGGTATACAGCTTTGCTGTAAAAAGTGGAAGTTAAGAGGGCGGCCTGCAGAGTATGCATGTAGTCATCACACGTATATTTCATATTTTCCTTTTGCATACATAATAAAATCCATTTGTTTCTCTCAAAATTGTGCAATTCGGAGAAGAACCCAACATCTCAGAAGTGGGATTACCGACACTTTGGTCATAGAAATTCCTCTCCAAAACCGATATATATCGGATTACACCGATGGCAAATCACAGATTGAGCTAGCAGGACTTTTGAATTGACTTTACAGGTGCCGTCTACTTTTATGTACCGATAGGTAACGCGAGTTCTCGGGGCATTGCTTGCAAGTCAATCTGTGCGACGTGTGCCGTCTGCTCCTTTCCCTATATAATGTGCCCCCCTGCCACGCTAGCATTCCTTCATCTCACTCCGAAGTGAAGGTCAAGCGCCTTGACATTAGAAAAACTACCTGCGTCTAGCATTGATCCGTTTGTGCTCTCACATGATCCATCGGTTAACCTCTCGTCTTGATATTAAACCAATTTTTTTCTTTTACACACGATTCGACTCGCGGGGAGCAAATGGCGTTCCCCGCAGTGAAAGTAGCAATGATGGCAACACACTGCCACGTTTTTCATTTATCCAAACCAAAATATGCTTCTGCAAAGCGTTTTTGTGCTTGACGGTTTGCAAATTACTACGAGACAACACTCACTAGTGTCGGTGATTCATAATATGTACATTAGATCAGATTGCTTTTCGATCACTGGCGCATCGAGAAGGCCTACTGGGAATGAGGTGATTAGGGCTGTTTTTGCTAGCGAAAGGAGGAAATCCGAACGGAGGGGATCTGTGTTTTCGATTTCCATCCATCGTGTAAAACATAGCGGTGACCGTGGCCCTAAACGTTTTATATAGCACGGTGCTCAGGTGAGCTGACATCGGTAATGAACTTCTTCACTCGCTACGCACAATATGCATGCAAAATGCTCCTGCTAAGGATCACACCCCAGCACACTGTCTTGTCAAACGCTTCCCATACCGCA